TCTCTCTCTCTATGCGAGAGCTCTCTCTCTCTCTCTCTCTCTCTCTCTCTCTCTCTCTCTCTCTCTCTCTCTCTCTCTCTCTCTCTCTCTCTCTCTCTCTCTCTCACACACAATGAAATATTGAAATATTCAGCTTTTTAATGTTCCAAACGGCCCAAAACTTCACAGGTTTGGTAACGATGCAGCCATCAACGCATCTAAGCGTATTATGGGGTGTCATCAAATGCCGTTGCCATGGCGACAGACCACTCGCCATGAAGCACGATGTCGCTGTAAGTCCAATGGAAACGGTCCGATCATCCCCCAAACTTCGCTTGTATATCACCGGTCCAGCCCTCAACAGCTCTACGTCAATTATGGGGTTTCTTCAAATGCCGTTGCCATGGCAACACAATGCTCACCATGAAACAAGGTTTTCTCATAACTTCAGTGAAAATGTTCCAAACGGCCCAAAACTTCACAGGTTTGGTAACGATGCAGCCATCAACGCATCTAAGCGTATTATGGGGTGTCATCAAATGCCGTTGCCATGGCGACAGACAGGGGCGGACTGGCCATCGGGACGTTCGGGACGAATCCCGATGGGCCGGTACAGAAGCCGATGTGGGCCGGTCGGATAAGTCACTAGCACCCCCCCCCCCCACACATGCATAAACACATGCATTCTTTTAATTAAGAGGTGTCAGAACAAAGAGGCTGTCTGGAGCAGTTGGGGTTTTGTGCCTTGCTCAAGGACACCTTGGCAGTGTCCAGGAGGTGAACTGCCACCTCTCCAGCTACCAGTATAATGGTCCAATAGGGACTTGAACCGGCGACTCTAGGATGTTGTTTCTTTGTTGCCCACTTTATGGTGGCATTGGTAAAAGACTGACAACACATTTTTTTTTTATCGTTTATTTGGCAGGGACAATGCACAGTAATGAACACTTAAAACATTAAAATGTGTCAAGCGTAACAGTGCCAGATTTAGCTTTGAGCTAATTTCCATTCGCAGTCCCTCACAGAAAACATTTAAGAAGTTTACATTTTACAAACGTAGCAAAAACAAAATACATGATATGCAAAAGGTCCAAAAGAGCAAGAGCAGCATACACAAGTATTTATGACATGGTAATACAATATAGCAGCAACGACATATAAAGTGCAAGAGAGGATACAAGAGCTACATAAAGTGCATTTAGCGGTGATTGCACGGATGTTTGTTTCTCAACCATTCTTTGAGTTGACCTTTGAAGCTATTGAGTGTGGGACAATCCCGTATCTCAGTTGGGAGGCTATTCCACAATGAGCTGCCTGACTATAACCCATTGAACTAAGATAAAAGGTTTTGTGGAGACTTCTTAGTGAGCAGGAACAGTGCACCAAAACCAAATTCATTATCTAGACTTTCTGATAGAGATGGTGCACAACATGATGTTCAAACAGGAAGTTAAAGAGGAAGGTGCCTGGATGTGATGGACCCAGCATGACCCAACTTTTCCACTTGCTTTATTTGTCCTCTCTGCACCTCTGTCAGGCTCAGTTTCTCTCTCTGAAATGTGCTCTTCTCTTATCGCTCTCTCCTATGTTCTCACTCTGAGCACTTAAACTAGGTTAAGTCAACAAATGGTTGGACACAGACTCCCACAACACACACACACACACACACACACACACACACACACACACACACCACACACACACACACACACACACACACACACACACACACACACACACCCACATTCTTCCTCTGCTGTTACTCTTTTCAAGGGAATTCTTACTCCCAGTTAAGAGTAAAGTAAAAGCACATGTTAACCCTTTGTATTTGACTTAAAAGGATAATATAAAAGTTGAACAGCATCAGTTAAGTTAGTATTGTTTCCATCCCCTGTGATTTAGTTCCACTCCAGCAGAATTGACCTTTTCTCTTGAGCCAGATGACTGCGGCCCTCAGGACTATCTCCCTTTGTTAAATTTCCTGTCAGGAGAGGCAGTGGCTTCTGACTTCCTGTAGGATTGTGACATTTCCTGTTCTGTGGGAGGGGTGGGAGGGGGGGGTTCTGGAAGGCGTCTTGCGAAGGCCTTTCAGTTGTTTGAAGAAACAGGATGCAGGACACTGGACAGGCCACAGTAGGAAATCACTGCTTAAACTGACACATATTTACCGCTGACTTCAGCCACAATAACGGCTCCCTGCTTCAGGACACAGACTTCAGAGGTTGGGTTAAGACCACAGCAGCTTCATTGGATTAGTCTTTTTTATGTGACATTAATACTAGTGAAAAAACATTTGAATTTTGAATGCCAAACAATATAACGTCTCTCTGGGTTGTGAGTGACATCAGAAGCTCTTCATGCTTTTCAAAATAAAGACATTTGCTGCATCAGCTATACATTTTTTTAATTAGTATATTATAAATAGTGCTGGCAATTGAAAAGAAAAATATTTCAATCATGATTTATAAGATGCTTTAAAGGACTAGTATTTACTTGTATTTTGGGGAGATATAACAAATACACGTGTGCTGTTGTAATTAAGAAATGCATGACAACTGGTTAGAGAAATCCAACGTTTAAAATAAAAGTGGTGACAAACAACTACCCTGAGGTACTCCACAAGTGACTGTCTTCATCTTTGACAGACTTCCATTAAAAAAACAGTTTGACTTCGATTTGTCAGGTAACTTTCTAACCACCTCAGCGTATCAAAATTAAAACCATATTGTTCCAGCTTGTGTAACAACAAAGAATGGTCAATGACATCAAAAGCAGAACTAAAATCAAGTAGTACTGCACCCAACTTCCTATTATCTAGTTCGCCCTTCCAGTCATCTGTCATTTGTGTTAAAGCGGTGCATGCCGAATGGGCAGGTCTGTAAGCATGTTGATACACGGTATTAAGTTTGTTACCTTCAAAGTATTTTTGTATTTGATTGAACATTATTCTCTCCATTATCTTTGCTAACGCTGGTAACAAACGTATTGGGCGGCTATTTGTACCAGAAAATGGTCCAGCTGGATTTTTTGCAAGTGGAATAATTTTTGCTATTTTCCATGCCTGTGGGCAAATACATTTTTCAATACTCAAATGTATAATATGGCAGATAGGCTCTGCAACAAAATTAGCAACATATCTAAGAAATGTACCAACTAAATTATCCACTGCTGGTGGTTTATCATTACATTGACCTAGTAGACATTCAACATCTGTAATTGTCACTTTTTCTATTTTAAATGTACACTTCTTATTTTTCATAATTAAATAATGTATTAGAAATGTGGAGTTACTGTTTATAGTTTGATTCATATTTCTCCTCAAATGATTCACTTTATCAAGAAAATAATAATTCAGATAATTAGCCATTTGTACTGGTTTAGTCAAAAATGTCCCTTCCACCTCAAGATATGTTGAGGTGGATCTCGGCTTACGGCCCATCATGCCATTCACTAAACTCCACAGTTTGTTCTTGTCATCCTTTATATCTTTAATTTTATTTCCATAATACAATTGTTTTTTCTTTTTATTTACTGCTGTAACATAATTCCTTAACCTTCTATACATTTGCCCATCTGACTCATAACTTGATGAGAGCTACATGTTTTGCATCATCTCTTTGTTTCATTAGATCCCTTAATTCTTCATCTAACCAGGGTGCTCTAAAGTTCCTTACTGTCTGCTTTCTAAGTGGAGCATGTTTATCAATCGCCTGCATAAATAACAAATTAAAGACATCAAGAGCATCATCTGGATCGACTTTCTCAAAAACATGTTTTGAACATCCTGTATAAATGACTCTTCACAAAAATATTTCATTGATCTCCTCACAATAACTTTTGGTCCTGCTTTTGGCACCTTTGTCTTTCTCACGATAATTATTAAATTATGATCAGTACACCCTACTGGAATTGATATTGCCTGAGAACATACATGGCTAAAATTAGTAAATATATGATCAATACAAGTTGCACTTTTTGACCCATCTTTCTTTATGCATATCCTAGTAGGTTTAGTCACCATTTGTACCAAGTTACATGTATTAGTTATTGTCTGCAGCTTGTTTTTAAGGGCACAGTGCAACATATTCCAGTCAATATTTAAATCTCCGATAAAATAAATCTCTCTGTCAAGATCACAAACTTTATCTAACATTTCACATAATTTGTCTAAATAAATTAGGTTTACATTTGGAGGTCTGTAACAACATCCTACCAACAAAGGTTTCAAGTGAGGTAAATTAATTTGCAACCAAAGTACTTCAATATCAGCAGACATCAAATCATATCTCACTTTAGCTGGTATTTGCTTTTGAATGTATACTACCACCCCACCTCATATGCATTCCTGACCTTTCTAAATAAACTATATCCATCAATGTCTTGGGGGCAAGTATTTGTCTGTAGACACTGGGCAGGCATTACTGTAGTTAAAAGCATTGACGTTAGAAATAATCAACGGATAAAAGCAGTTTGAAGTATCCAGATACAATCTCCTCCTGTTGCTCTAGTAGTGGGTTAGCTGTTTCTTGTTGTGAAGTGGTGGAGCAGCCTTAGTATACAATATCTTGTCCCTCCAAAGAAAGGTTTTCGGGTAGGACCTTAGAATCTAGGTTTCATTTGACATGGTAGACCCAAGAGAGACATGGAATCTATCACCTTGCACTGTTTAATGCTAGAGTTCCTGGTTGAGGATTATACACTTTTTTACTTCAAATTATTGATATGATATGATGAAAAATGATCAGGGACTCCTGAAACTCATGTGACCTGATCGTGTTAGAGAGGTTAAGGTCTAATAGGGTTTCAAAGAGCTCTTCTCTGACAGGGGCTAGCCAGCGGGGCTACTGGCAGCAACAATACTCTCCTGGTCAAGTTTGTTTTCGTTTCAGTTTCCATTTGACTCAGTTTTCCCTAGTTGCTCTATGACTGTGTGCCTTGGATGACAGAATATTATTGCCGGTCAGGTTGTCATGCTGTGTGTCAGCAGTGTGTTGATGGCTCTTCTTCTCTGCTCTGTTCAGGGGGTCCGTCCCGAGCTCTCTCCACCATGTCGCTCTCTGTTCGCCCCGCCAGACGCCTCACCTCCAGATCCATCACTAGGAGCCAGAGCTTCACTGGAGTCAACACCAACGACAAGCCTTACAGGTACACACACTCAAACATGTTTCTCGGTTTAAAAATGTATCATTTAACTTTATAATGTATATATCGTGAAACGTTCTCGTTTACATAATGATTTACCAACATAGGGTTATTTCTATCGTAGGAGGTGTAGCTTTAAAATACTTCTTCAGTGTTTAATTAGTAAAAACTGGTCCCAGTGTTAAAAATGTCACTTTTTTATTAAGATCAATTGAGTGTAATAACAAAGGCATTAGTTGATCTAATGACAAAAGGTGATATACTATCATATTATATTAAATGTCTTAAAACAAAGCTGCTTATCAAAACAGAATAATTTGAAAAATATATCATTAAGACATGAACAATTTGCACTGGGGACAGAACGTCCTTTTACATGCTACTTCAGCTACTTCCAAGGTGCAGAAGAAGGGAAAAGGTCTGAAGAGCTCAGAACTCCAGCAACACATAGAACAACTTTAATATGTGTTGTGGCACAGGATCAGCGTTCTGATGGTGTCAGTGTGATGTGATGCTGAGAATGTCATATGTCTGATGTTGGTGTTTCTGATTTGCAGGAGCCTCTCAGTGTTCAGCACTCCAGGCGTCAGCAGGAAGCCCAGCAGAGCCAGCAGGATGTTCACCATGTCCACCAAGTCCAACCCTCCACCCAAAGTCCCCCAACCAGAGAGACTTGATCAGGTCTATGAGGCGCTGAAAAAAGGCCTTCAGTGAGTACACACACACACACACACACACACACAAACACTTGCTGCACATGATCCTGCTTATTGCTACTTTTTTTTTACATTTTAACCTCTTTTCTTCTCTTGCGCTGTTTTCTTTTTCTTTTTCTTAATGGCTTGAATCCAAAGTTTTATGATCTCCACAAAGTATTTGGGGTGTTTTCTGAAAAGAAACTGAAAGCTAAGGTCTGTTTTTGTCGACAGAGCTGATGTTAAGTTGACTTATATGATAACACATACTCCCTTGATAAGAGCTTCATTAGCAGCGGTTTGCTATCCAAGACGAGCAGGCTACTGAATGTGCAAATTGACCAATCAGAATCAATATTCATCTAAGTCATGTAATAACATGTGTTAATGTATCCTTATCTACGTTAAAACGTTTTTTTCAGCAATTTGGGTTCAATTCTACAAAACTCTTAAAAGCTTAAACCCTGATAGTGAATGTGTGCTTTTATGTTCTGACCTGAAACCAGCTTTACAAATATTTTTGTATGAGAATTCATTTGTGATGTGATGTGTATATGTTAAACCAGTGTTTCTCCCTCAGCTCTTACCTACAGGTCCATCAGATGGACTCGGACAGTCTCAGCCGACAGATGAAAGAATCAAAGAGGAACTCCAGACTGGTACGTTCTGTTGGCTCGCACTACCGGTGAAAAGGAAAACGCTCCTTTACCGGTTTAATTCTATGACCATTTTCTTATGTTTTATGTGGACAGAAGCACTTGAGTTTTGTGGCTTATTGCAGGCAGAGGTTTTGAAAAGGTCTCTTTTTAAAGTTGAGAAAAATATCAAAATTAACAAAACATTTACATCTTGAAGGTAACTCTGTAAAAATGAAATTGTTCTGAAATAGCAAAATATTACTTAACATAAAGAGTGTACATCATATTGTGCTGCGACTTAATAACAAATGTTTCTCTCTTTCAGGGTTTCCTGTATGAGCTGGACAAGGTGAGCTACTCTCTTAGTTATGACCATATCTAAGTGAGACGCTATTAATGCAGACTCAATACTTTCTCCGTGTTTCCCTTCTGCATTCATAATTCAGTGTAATTTAAATGTCCACAGTATTAATTCCATCAGTACAACAGATCCATCTCGCTTTCGCTTCTCTACGCAAATTATCTACAGTCACTTTTACGTCTCCGGGATCTTTTAGCACGCTGCACATTCATTATGTTGCACAATAAAAATCTTTCAAACTGCTCAAAGCCCCTTCCTTCCAGGCTTTAAATCAAATATGTGTGATTGCGTTGTGTGTGCTGTGGAAATGTTACTATGCATATGCCTTTTTTTTGTAGCGCTGACCTAAGCCTTTATTTAGACTTTTCATTGTGGAAAAAGTCCAGTCTTTGTTGACCAATTGGATATAAAAATGACTCTGTGCCTCCCTCTGACAGCAAGTGAAGGTGACAGAACGGTACATCAGACGACTGGAGTTCCACCTCAGCAAGGTAAGACCACCATGATCTCAGTTAATACCTCGCCACAGCAGTTAATGTTAAAGAAAAATAAACTTTCAAGAACATTTTGAAAAAGTTACACAACTGTATAGGGGACACTGTGTATGTGAATACTGTTGTGCTGCATCTAGATGTTCCTGTCCTCTGTTAGAAGGTGTAGTTGACTCATATTAAAGTATGGCAGTCCAAAGTCTGATCCATATAACTGCAAAACGTTGTTGTTTATCAGCGGTATATGAAATTAAAAAATGCTGGTACATACTGTATATCCACAACACACAAAACATGCCAGTCTGTAGTCGCTTCACTGCGGATTGATAGGAATGTTCCTGCCGTACCGACCAGGTGCCGTTTGGATGAGTCCATTAATGATACGATAATGGGGGTGATGTGGAATGTTCCAAAAAAACTATTGTTTTCTACAGTCTGGTTACATTTAGAAGGTGTTTCTGTCTTCACATTAATGCACCCTGACATTTGATTGTGTTGTGGGATGACTCTGTATCTGTTGTTGGGTTACTTTATCTGCAGAGGCAGGTTAAACAGTAAAAACATTATAGTACATAGCATCAGTCCTGGACTAAAGAGCTTTTGCTGAAGATACTGGTTCATATTTGTGGACACTGACTGACTAAATGGTCATATTTAGATATCAAGTGTTGGAGATGTCCTACCTTTCTGTTCTGAAACCAAACATAAATAACCAGTGCATGTGGCAGCTTAAGTAGAGTTCAGACTAGCAACAATTGTATTGGTCAGTTTTCAGTCAACATTAAGCATCCTGCAGAGGTCGAAATGAAATATATTGTGTTTTATATTGCAGTGTGCAATGAGTGCTGGGTGTAGTGGTTATAATACACATGTATGTTGGATAAATTATTGAATTAAAGTAGTAAGTTTAAAATACTAGTATTTACTTTCTTACGTATTTTTGGAGGGGATGCGACAAAAACATGTGTGGTGTTGTCATAAAGACATGCATGACACACTGGCAAGAGAAATTAGACGGTTTTAACTTTATTATAACATGATTTCTGTATTGTTGGCATGAAGTCTGACAATTTTCCGACACTTAAAATATCGACAAAAACATGGAAATGTGATTAATTTGCATTAAAGGTCTCCTATCATGCAAAATGCACTTTGTGATGTCTGTTATACATAAATATGTGTCCCCGGTGTGTCAGGGAACTCACAAAGTGTCAGAAAACAAAACCCTCTCTCTTTTCCTCCGTACCCAAATCTAAAAAAACGGGGGTACAACGGAGCTGATCCAGATTTGCTGCCGATATGACGTAATATCGGAAATGTGTGCTGGCTTTACGCCCACGGCCCTATCAAAAACGTCGCTATCAGAAACAATGCGCGACGTGTTTTGGAAATAATCTGGTCTTTGTTTACATTAGCAATAATCGCTAACACTCAGAGCTAACGCTGTACTGGAGAGAGTATGTGTCAAAAAAGCAGGATATAAAAAGGTACTCACCTTGTGGTAAACCTGCAAGAGAAAAAGCATTTGAGCTCCATACTGTTTCAGAAATAATCCTTGATCTGGTTTGGAACATGACATGGCGTTTTATTAAATGTTTATATAAACTTTAATTTCCTTTTTCTTAAACAATACATACAGTTTCAGTTTCAGTGACAAAAAAAAGTGCAGGTTGTCTATTTACAGAATAAGACAAGATTAATAGTACAAAAACATTTTAAAATAATAGACAAACAGTACAAAAAATAAATAAAATCACAGCACAAAAAAAAAAAGAAGACATGACAAGGTCGAGATACATGTTAGTCATGGTTGACTATAGAAAATCTGTGTTCTAATTCAGTTTTTTATTAAATGTAAAAAAATAAATATATATATACATTTCCACGCTCGCGCCAGGGCCGGGGGAGGGGTTACAAGGCTCACGTCTTGTGCTGCATTCACTTGCACTCGGACATTAGGGATTTTCTCTCATAAATGTCCGATGAGCCACAACTTTTATTTCAAAACACAGCTGCCAACTGGGGTGGCAGCTGGGGTGGCAAGGCTATTTTTAGGGTGGCAGTTGCCACCCCATGCCACCCCGGTAGATCCGCCCCTGCTTGACCGGTACTTGCTTTTGGTCAATGCGGAAAACCCGCACTCACACAGGTAGGCGGAGGTGAAGGGAATGAGCACTTTTACAGCCTTTTTGGCGAGGTGGGGGAACTCGGTCTCCACAGACAGCCAAAAGTATGCAAGTGACGTTTTCTGCCAGACGCTGTCTCCTCTCTCACTTTAGGTAACTTACTAAAAATCAATCCATGTTACCGCTCGCATAAAGTTAGCTGAAGTTAACAAGCTAGATTTTCACTATTTCTAGTTTTTTTTTTTCTCACGCTGCACCTCCCCTGAAGCTCTTTGGCCCTGGGAGGCGCGCCTCACACTTTGAAAACCGCTGGTCCAGAGTATTAAAATACTTTTTTGGTATACAAGTTGGAGTACATTGAAACAAATATAAGAATTTAGGTAAGGTGTTCATTTTCACTACATTAATGCGTCCAATTAGCGATAATGGGAGATTGCCTCATCTCTGAAAATCTTTCTTAGTACACGTTCAAGAAGGGGGGTAACATTTTCCTCAAATAACTTTCTATACAGATTAGTAGCCTTGATGCCCAGATACGTCATGTGATCAGTTTTTACCTTAAATTGAAATGTTTCAAATTAAATTCCTCCGGCTATGATATGGCGTTTAATCACGGCAGCATTTAGCTGAGTATCTGCCGGTAGAATTCCCCTGCATTAGCACCCCCCCTCTTTTTTTTCTTCTTTTTTTTTAAAGCTACGGACCCAGAATCAGCACTTTTCTAACAGGGCTGAAATAGAGGGGGATGAGGCATGGCTAGAATGGGTGAACTGTTTGGTATTTTGAGCAAAACACTTCATAGACATGTTTTTTATATATTTGTATATATCCGAGACCTATAATATATGCCTAAAAATAGTATAATAGGAGACCTTTCATTCAATCTTAGGTTAATTGCGAGTGCTAACACCTTTTATGACCAACCTAAATTAAATGTGAATTTTATTTTAAACTTTGAATGTAATGTTCGTAGAAATTAGCTTATATTAAAATATGGTGCAATAGATATTTTCTCCTTTTGTGAAAATACAGACACTTGCATGTTTTCACTTTACATCTGTCATGAGGCTTATGTCTACTTTGGATTGGAGATGAACTGTGTTTCCTCTCCGCAGATCGAGGAGCTCTACGAAGCGTACTGCCTGCAGAGCAGACTCAGAGACGGAGCGAACAAGATGGTGAAGGCTTACACCACCTCTGTGAGCAGCAAGGAGGCCAAGGAGAGTTTAGCAGAAGCCAATAAAGGATACAAAGAGTACACAGAGGTAAGATGAAGAGGACGGAGGAGTGGGGAGATGGAATGAAAAAGTGGAATAAGATAGGATGAAGAACAATTGTAAATGTATTGAGGAAGAACAGGGCCATGGAGTGGTGCAGGAATGAGTCCTAAAACCCTGAAAAGCATTTAACCACTTTCGGTTTTGTTGTTTGTCATCCTTTTTTTTAAACATGTTTTTGGTTAGATGCCTGAAATGAGGTCTGTGGTTAACACAAACTGAAGAGATGTTGATGTTTTGTTCTAGAAAAATGAAATGTGTCACATACCCAACATGTCTGAAACTTCTATGTGTCATAAAAACGGCAGTTGCCAACAAGTGACTAATTCAGCATTCTTAAGCAACGTTAGCTGCCTTTAGCTTAGCAGTGGTGACATGAAGTCAAACGCAGTTTGTGTATAGCCTAACGTTAGCTTTTTACTTCTGGAGATTGTATGCACGCTTAAAAAATTATAAAATAGGTGTTATTATCCTGCTGAAAAAAATCTTATTTTCTGAACTATTTGAAATTGAATTGAAAAGACCCATTGTATTTCGTTGAGGGAGCCACTGCCATGCTAACTTCTGCGTTAAATAAAATAATCACTGCACCACTCTATTGCATGAGCAAGTAGTAAGCAAGTACATTCAAGTATAAAAAAAAGCTTAACTAATGTGGATAATTTATAAACTACAGCTCTGTAATTCATTTCTGTTTTGGTCAAATAAATAGTTTTTCTCCATAGAACATGTGCATGTTGGAGAACGACTTGGAGAACCATCTGGGGGAGTTCCACATTAAGATGAAAGGTGAGAATGAAACCATCTGTGCTTTCTTCCCTCCTTTATCCATCCTCTTCTTGAACTACTGTTTACCTTGACTTACCCGTGCCTCAACAAATATCACTCAACTCTGGAGAAAGAGTTCACACTCCACAACACACTGGTGATGAGAGGCTGGCGTAATAAAAAAAAAAGTTTTGATAGAACTATTTTTTCATGAATTATTGACAAGCCGTTTAATCTCCACATTTGGCATGCAGCATCTTTGGACTCACATTTTCGGGAAAAATAATATGGTTACACTTAATAATTTCCCTGTTATAGTTGAGTTGCAGCTACTCTGTAAAATTGAAAAGTGAACAAACGCTCAGATCATCAATCTCTTATTTTGTCTTTTCTGTAACAATATTAAAATACATTTCTTTAGTAGTTGTTCTACGATAACTGAAGAAGCATGGCTGCCATAGGGCGAACTAATTCAGCAGCTTCTAAATACTTCCATTTAGTTCAAACTTCCTAAAGGATTTGCATCTCTTTCTGTCTGTCTTTCAGGGCTGGCTGGATTCGCTAGATTATGTGCTGGAGACCAGTATGAGGTTAGTCTGTCTGTCTGGCTGTCTAATTATAAGTGACCATGATCACGTGCAATATTGCCCAAGTACTGTATGCTGAAAACATTATACGATACAGTGAAATATATTTTACGGAAAAAAGGACAAAGAGGAAAACAGAGTGCGTGCGTATGATTCATTTTGAGAACATAAAATGTAATATAGTTTAAATATTGGGAACACACTATTTTAAAAATACATGTCTTCATGTCCCTGCCTGGTTGTCTGGCCTCGCTGTGTGTAACCTGTGGACGCTTTGATTTTATTTTGTAAAATGTAAATGTTGTCGTTTTGTCAGTTTGAGGGAGTATCTCTCTCTTTGTGTTATCTACCACCTAATGTATGTACATTCATAGTGAATGCTCAATGAAAATATGAAATCAATCAATTAAAACATCCTCATAAGTAAAAACATTATGAGGACTGTGAGCACAAAGTATACACATGGCTCATGTGCCATGCTGAAGTAAGACTGTGTGTGTGTGTGTGTGTGTGTGTGTGTGTGTGTGTGTGTGTGTGTGTGTGTGTGTGTGTGTGTGTGTGTGTGTGTGTGTGTGTGTGTGTGTGTGTGTGTGTGTGTGTGTGTGTGTGTGTGTGGTGTGTGTGTGTGTGTGTGTGTGTGTGTGTGTGTGTGTGTGTGTGTGTGTGTGTGTGTGTGTGTGTGTGTGTGTGTGTGTTCTCAGATCTTTATGAGGTACGGTCGGCAGCGGTGGAAGCTCCGAGGCAGGATCGAGCTGAACGGCAGACAGGTGTGGGACAGTGAGGACATGGTGTTCCTGCCGCTCGTCAGCGACTTCCTCTCTGTAAAGGTCAGTCAAGTACAATAGTTTAATGTGAGACTTCTGGCCTGTTCCTGGTCCTGTTAGTGACGTTGTGTTATTTTTTTACCGGTGAGTCAGTCCTATCTTTCACTTTCTGTCTTGCTTTAATTTCTCTGACGCCAACAGTGTATGATTGATATGTCTGTGGTCTCCTAGGTGACAGAGCTGAAGAGCTTAGCCAATCACGTGGTTGTAGGAAGTGTTTCCTGCGAGACGAAGGACCTGTTTGTTGCACTCCCCCAGACGGTTGCCGTGGATATTAATGATCTTGGGACTATTAAGCTGAGCCTGGAAGTCACCTGGAAGTGAGTTTTCCTAAACATGCTGCTGAAAACTGAATATTATAATGAGCTTAACGAGTACTCTACTTTTGGTCCAAGAGTTATTTATTAACCTGTTACGCACCGCCCCCCCGGTACCGGGCGGATAAACGCGTTATTTGCAGGAAACAACGTCTAAGGAATCTTAATATTTAATAAACTATGAATGTTTTATATCCATGTAACGGGAAGAAACTCAACTAACTGATCTTTTAAAAAATAAAATAAAAAAAAAACCCACAATGCTAACACTCAGCCTCTGAATTATCCACGAGCGAAAAAATGTAACCTAAAACGGCACCTAAACTCACTCATAACTCCCTTATTACTTATTCTAGATGCACAGCCAACCCATCGATTAGCATCTCCTGGAGACACTGAATCTGTGTAAAAAACCTCAATACTCAGTGATAAACATTTGCGACGCTATAAACGAAAGCGTACATCGGAACATGTGGAGCTAGGTAGCTAGAAACGCTAACATGGCTTACCTTGGTCAAAACTGGTCTTCAATGGCATTAAAACGATAAAAAAACGATGCTGCAGTTAATCCATAGGTTAATCCAATGTGTCTGTGTCCTCTTTGAAATGATTTCTGATAATCCATAAGCAATAAAACTGCTTTTTCGTTTCCAAATGTCAGAGCTAGATTGCTCTGATGCTAAATTACATGCGCGAAGCCCCCACCTCTTCTCTTCACAACGTGTGTGTGTGGGGGACTCCCCCTTCGATTCTATTGGCTCTAACGCTCAGAAAGAGGTGTCAACCATCCAAATCGACCAAGGGGGGCCAGAGATATGGAAAAAAAAACATTTTCACCCAAATCACCTCAGAGGTGGAGTGGTTTTGGCTAAACCTCTCTAAAAAGGTCAAATGTCACTTGTTTTGCATCAATCTTGATACAGGGTACTTATTATATGTTGTACTTTGGATTCCTAAAGCTTTTAGTCTACGAACCCATCATCCAAGGGTGGTTTTCACTATAAGTAAAAAAGAACTTTTGGACAGACACTATAATTTACAGTTTTTTACTATGTAAAATCTGAATTTTCTTTAAAATAAAAAACATCTATATTGATTCTGACACTTCTACATCCAACTCACAGATGTAACCTTGCTTTGATAAAATAAATTATTCATATAACCCTTTTAGAAGTTAAGTTGTAGTCATTTGTTTTGGGCATGTCATTTTCGAGCCTGAAACATGAAAAACAGGCTTGGTGCTTAACAGGTTAAATAAACATAGTGATGCATAATTGAGTCATACAACTCGGACATGACATAGCAGTTTAGCCTTGTAGCCCACACATTTTTTTCAATACGTCAAATCTCTGACAAAAGGCGTATGGTAACAACACCCTTAGAGGCTTATTTGTCTCATAAAAATAAACAAACAAGGGGCTAAATGCGACTGCTAAATGCTAAATGTCATCATGTCAAACATGAGCTGCCTTTCGCTTAGCGGTGGTTACATACCTTACCATAGCCCTTTACTTCGGGCAATAGCATTTAGGTTTCAACTGATATAAAAATGTGTTAATATATGGAGATAATCCTGCTGAACAAAACTTGTAAGTATCCCAAACATGTTTTTGCCACAGATCTTATTTTTTGCAAAAAACAAAAATCCAATGGAAAAATCCCATTGTTTTTTCGTCATGCCATGCTAACGTCCATGTTGGCCAATACATCCTCGCTGCACCACTCTATTGCTTTAATATAATATTAAATGTTGTGTTGTGATTCCCCTTCCTCACTTATTTGTTCCCGCTCTTTCAGTCCATTTGATAAAGATGACATGGGGTCAGTGGCCAGCACCGTCACCAAAGCTCCCACCATCAGTAAGAGACTCTCCACCATCTTCAACCAGAGCCCGCCGGACACGCCCTCTCTACGAGAACAAGCCTTCTATGTAAGCCCTTCTCTATTCTGGTGGTCTCTCTTTGAACCTTCTTCTTTCCACAGTAACATTTTAACTATGCTCATTAGATAGTGACTCTGGAGTATAAGCTTAAAGTTGCTGGTATTTTGTGTGATATTCACTGTTTTTGTATTTAGTCATTGAATGAAACACCTAAATGCAAGAGGTGCAGACAACTGGGATGATCATAGACTCTTCATTTCGTATGTTTCTGGCCTTTTAGCCGAGTGTTTGTAGATTTCATATAAATTCTGAATCAGAATTAGTTTTATTGCCAAGTAGGTTTGCATGTATAAACACAGTGAGAGGAATTTAACTACAGGAATCATTGTTAAATAAAGAAGAGCAAAAATAGAACCATTAAAAACATTTAAATTTAAATTATAATTTAAATTGCAAAGAAAAAAAGTTTGCAAGAAATATACAAATAAGTAGGTACAATAACCATACAACAATTAACCATTAAACCTTGAATTAACAAACAAAACAAGACACAACCAAGGGTAACGCAACAAAGAGGCAGCCATCTTGGATCGTCTTAGGAAACTTATTTGAAAATCCAAGCAAAAACTTCCATATCAAAAAAGGATTTAGATTCATTACATGTCTGGAATTGGCTGAAAATGGAACAGTTGAAATCTCATGGTTTAGAATGAAAGTGTAACTGCTGCTGCCCTCTGTCCTCCTGCTGTGGACCCACAGTCTCTGCCCCGCAGTCTGAGCCGGCGGCAGCACTGGCCGCTGATGGACATCTTCAGAGAAACTCTTAGCCACAGCTGTCCCTGTAATGACAGCTCACCTACAGGACCAAGTGCAGTAAGTCCTGATGATTGGAACCCCCCAACCATGTAGGAGCCACTGGTGTAGTGACTAGAGACAGTGGTGTAGAACATTAGAAACCTGTAACAGTAGTCTCCATGTGTTGAATGTAGATTCACTATGCACATGTGTTACATAGTGATGTCACTATGTTCTTGAATTAAACAAAGGAGTCCAATGGAGGCGTTTCAGGCAGGGGGGGGAAGAGTGTGGGAGAAAAACTCCCTCTGGAGGGAACACAGGGATGTTAGCCTTTGCAGACCATTTACATGCATTAAACCTATATAACACACTACAGGAAAGGGTAAACTCCAAAAAGCTATATATTTATGTATATAGTACCTATATAGGAACTTGGAACGACCAGTAGCGACACATCTGAGTATCTTAGGTTGCAGAAGGGACATAGAACAGTAAGAGGTCTGACAAATAACTCGGGGAGAGGCCTCTCAGGGCTTTGTAACTAATACAAAAATCCTAAGATTTGCAGCTACTTGCAGCAGGTCTCCCTTGAAAATGAGATCGATGATCTCAATGGGATTCACCTGATTAAATAAAGGTTTGAAATTAAATGAAATTGGTTCTAAAAGCAACAGGTTGCCAGTGTGAGGAAGCCAGAATCTCTGTGATGTCGTCATATTTCCTAGTCTGAGTTAAAATCCTAACGGCAGAGTGTTGGACCGGCTGGAGGTGGGGATGAAATTATGGATTACAGTTTAGAAAATATGACTGCAATACTGGGTTTTGGACAGAGAACCAAGACTGTTTGTTATTTTGGTGACTGAACTATCATCTTGCCATGTAATCATTATTTCTGTCCTATCAGCATTAAGCTGCAGGAAATGTTCCACTTGCGGATGTCCTGAAGGCAGTTTAGCAGGATGACAGTGTTCTGAAAGTTATTGTGAGTTATGACACTGTAAAACCTGCAAGACTGCAAAGAATATAGAGAAACATCTTTTGGCAGTAGTTGTGAAGGATAGATAATGTTGATGATAAACTGTACTCACCTAGTTACTGCTGAGATCTGAGAAACAGTCTGAAGAAACACCAGCAGTGAGATAACAGGATTGTCACAATAAAGAAAAACAATGTATTTGATCATTGTGAAATGTGTTTGCGTTAAACAATCCAACGTGTATTTAGTTTGAAGAACGCTGAGGCCTTGTGACAACACTATGCTAATAGGATAATTATGACTGATGAACAGCACAACACCATGTGGAAAATGTCGTAGTTTTTCTGGATTGGTGCGGGTCACACTTATTATTTCATACGTCTGTTTCTGCATTTGGTTTGAATTTTACACTTCTGCCATCCATTACAACAATGTAGTCTGCTAAATATTACTTTATACTCAATACTGATGACTGAAAAATAATCCTTACATTCCCAATAGAGCAGCTTAAAAACAGGTCCATTCATTTAGCACATTGCTCTGTTTATATTCAGTTCAGTGTGATTTAAGGCCGCTACACACCAACCCGATTTTGGGAGTCAGAGGCCGTCAGAGGCAGTCGGGCATTCGCGGCGCCCTACTCAGGTTGGTGTGTCCCGCACCGTCGTCTCTTTACGGCACATTTTCACACCTCCCGCGGTCGATTCAACATGTTGAATCGGCCGCGGGAGGCCAAAGAAAGTCGAGACAAAGAAATCACTCTGATTGGCTGTTCAGCTTAGCGAGAAGCGAAGCGGAAGTGAGGAACCAAAACAAACGATTAAGAAGGCACACACAGACGGTTAATCTTTTTCATTTTCATCTCACCCGGACGCAAGAGTTTATTTTTTATGTTTACATGTTTTCGATCGACGAGAGAGAGTGAAAATGGAACCCAGACGCTATTTGTTTGTTTATATCACGCAGTCTGTTCTTCTTCTCTTGGTGTATAGTCTGTCTTCCGGTTGTTGCCTCTTTTGAATGACGAATACACACTACCGCTGCCTGCTGGTAAGGGCAGTTATTGCCACTCGTCAACTGAAGTCTTTGCGGTGTGTTCGTAGGCGGACGGCGTAGCCGACGCAGGCGACGTAGCGGACGTAAAAGTCGGGACGCCTTCGGTACGCGTTCTTTGGTCTCAGGTTGGTGTGTAGCGGCCTTTACACTTTCTGAAACTCACACACACTTGGGAGTGTGTCCACTCAGCTTGTTTGCATATCAGTTCTCTGTTGGTTGTTCTTGTTCAGGGTACTCAGTTTTCTACAAAATGTGGTCAGTGGAGCAGAGTAGACGGGACAAAGCAGAGTGGAAACTGAACTGAAGATAATTAATGAGTGTGTATTTGCCAGATTGTTTAATCTGAAACACCCTCCAATTAAACCAACACATCAGTTGATCGCTGTTTACAGCATGTGAAGTGTGACTGATCAGCAAAGTGGAAGAACCCAGAGTGATACTCAGTGAGAATGATCAGGGGGGACAGACAGTGTGTGAGATGTGTGAAGCAGTTTGTCCTGTGATCAGTGAATCAGTCTGCTGAAGCTGGCCTCGATCCAGGGTGGAAGAAAGGCTTTTTCGTCAAGTAGTCTCCAGGATTTTTAATAATGGAAAACAATTGAGGTTTCCAGGTTAATGGATTTCTCTGAAATACAAATGGTAAATGGATAGCACTTCTTAGCAACTTCTCAAAGTGCATTTAATAAAGTCAGCAATCACCTTTCACACACAGGGGCTGCCTTACAAGGGGCCACCTGCTCAGGGAGCCTAACATTCACACACACTCACTGGCCAATCGGGAGCAATTTAGGGTTACATATCTTGCTAAAGGACACGTGGACATGCTGACAGCAGGGGCGAGGCGATCCAACCTCCGACCTTCTGATTGGAGGACCACCTTCTACCTCCTGAGCCACAGCGCCAGTCAGTCCAAACCAGAATCATGTTTCTGTATTAGTGAGTCTTGGCTCTCTCTATGCAAGGCTGGGTTATCAACAAGGCACAGTTGGAAACAGCTTGATAGGTGTTAACTAGTTTGTGATAAAAAAAAAATAGGTATCACCATGAAAAGACATGTTAAAGGCACGAAAAGAGTAGTTCTGGAAAAATAAGTTTATTCACTTTTCTTTTTGGGATCATCTCATGTAAGTGTTTTAGGCACAGAGCGGGAGTCAGGGCTGTGTCTGGACAGTCGCTGCGGGGGATAAACAGCTGTTGGTTTATGCATATTAATCTCAACAACGACAAACCTCCTCAAACGTCTAACCTCTAGATTCCACCGGGTCCGTCTGCGCCGCGTTGCGGTTTTGGTCCGGCCTCCTCCGGCGTCATACCCTACCAGGCGCGTTTCAGAAGCATTTCAGAAGCAGAGCGTCTTGCCTGCCGGCTCGCAGTTTTTGTTGATTTGGGCATATTTCCTGGACAGGCTACTTTGTACAGACAAAGTTAATAATAACTGTAATATTCCAGTTATAAACGACATGAATCAAAGATGTGTTGCTGTATTTTAGTGGTAAAAAAATGCATTCATCATCATAATTATTCTATATATATAATTTACACAGTGCCTGTAAACCGGAGGAGAACGCTGGCATTTCTCCTCCTACTTGAAAGACTACGGAGGGATAGGGTCTGCAAAATTAGTTTGTGTGTGTGTATATATCTATATATATATGCTATATATGCTCTGAAGGTTCCACTTCCTGCCTGCCCGACCTTACGTTACGGCTGCGCCGCGACAAAAATAGGATTCGATCCTAATTTTAGAGGAGCCCTGCGCCGAGCCGCTTCTGGGACGCTTCTGAGCCGTAACGCGCCACGTGTGGTGGAATAACACCCATTGACTAGAGTGGCCGCGATCGCCGTGAGCACCGCGGCGCAGCCGTAACGCGCCCGTAACGCGCCGCAGACGGACCCGGTGGAATCTAGGGGTAAGGCTGCCTTTACACGGGAACGTTTGCGTTTATGCACAGTATGCGTTTTCAAAAAAGTATTCCGTTCACAGGCATTCGTTTAATTTAACGTGTCTGTTCACACGAGACCGCTGGAAACGCTGTAGTACATATGCCGGGACTGTAAGTGGCGCTGTACTTCCACACGAGACCGCTCGAAAGCGCTGGGCACGCTGTAGTACATATGCCGGGCCTGTAACTGGCGCTGTAACTTCCGCCACAAAATACAGCAAAAGCAGCGAGTATAAGATCCCCCCCGGATGTGTGAGGCACAAACAAAACAAACAAACAAGGTAGAAGATGGCTGATATTCGCGCGGTGGATTTAGCAACATGTAGTTCATGTTGTTCTCCATGTCCACTTGTTGCTTGTGGTTTTCGTAGAAGCACCGTAGATGTAGCACTAACATCTATATCATGGTCAATAGCGTCTGGAGCACAGCAGCAACCCTGTGATCTGCCATTGTTGTTGTTGTTGGCGAAACGCATCAGCAATGACGCGGGGGTCAGCAGCAGAGGTGGGGAGAGGCGGGGCTATCGTTATTTTTTCAGGAAATGATCGTATAGAGGCGATTACACGGAGCCGTTTGACCCCCCAGAGCGTTTCGTTTGCAAATCTATTCACCTTGGGACCCGTTATCGTTTGTGGGGTCCGTTTCTATCGTTTTGTTACGGCCTCGTGTAAATGAAAGGGCTATACGCAAGATAAACTATGCGGATACAACCCGTTTTGTTCTCGTGTAAACGGGGTCTAAGACAAGGCAAGGCAAGTTTAGTTATATAGCACCTTTCAACACAAGGCAATTCAAAATGCTTTTCAAAAATGAAAGACATTAAGAGCCTTAACCTGTTAAGCCCGAGAGACCCCGGTACCGGGGCAGTGCCGCAACATCTTGCAGGAAACAGTGTCTGAGGGCATGTTCATTTAATAAAACTATGAATGATTTATATCCATGTAATGGGAAGAAACTCATCTAACTGATCATTTTTTTTTTTTTTCTAAAAAGAAAACCCACAATGCTAACACTGAGCCTCTGAATTAGCAACGAGCGAAAAATGCTAACACCTTACTGCACCGAAAATCACTTATTAAAAACCTTATTATTCATCTTTTCACCACATCCAACACATCGATTCACATTGTGAGGTGACACAGAATTTATTGACACCGACATTACCACTGAATTATACGTATTTGCGACGTTATAAGCAAAAACGGACATCAAAACAGGTGACGCTAGAATGCTAAAAATGCTAACATTTTTACCTTGGCTCTGTAGTCTCTCCAAAGTGGTCTTCAATGGCATTAAAACGATAAAAACGCTGCTGAAGTTAATCCATAGGTTAATCTAATGTGTCTATGTCCCTTTGAAATGATTTCTGATAATCCATAAGCATTAAAACTGCTTTTCCGTTTCCAGATGTCAAAGCTAGAGATAGGTTCACTCTGATTGAAAATTACATGCGCGAAGCCCCCACCTTTTCTCTTCACAACGTGTGTGTGTGTGTGGGGCACTCCCCCTTCAATTCTATTGGCTCTAACGGTCAGAAAGAGGTGTCAACCATCAAAATCGAGCAAGGGGGGCCAGAGATATGGAAAATCCACCCAAATGACCCCAGAAGTGGTTTATTTTTGCTAAATCTCTCTAAAAAGGTCAAATGTCACTTGTTTTGCATCAATCTTGATACAGGGTACTTATTATATGTTGTACTTTGGATTCCTAAAGCTTTTAGTCTACTAACCCAGGGGTTCCCCTGGTCCGCGGACCGGTACCGGGCCGCGGAGGTGAAATAGCTGTGAGTTTATCGTAATATTTGCAGAATTATAAATATATAAAAATATTTTATCATAATATTTTTTTTCAAAAAGTGTTTAATTTTCGCACCTATGCCACCAGTCATATTATTTCATCCAGTAGCTAGTTAATCTTTCACCAGAAAACCGTTGAAAATGGCTTTTATGATGTTCCGAGGGATTCGGCGGCTCAGCCTAAGGTCTCAGCCTCTTGTGCGCACGAGCATGTTACTGGTGCGCCAAGTAGGAAGAGGAGCGCACAGGAGACAACCGTTTGATTGCAGACTGTTATGTTTATGTGGGGAAATGGTGGTGCATACATTATTTGAGATATATTTCAAACTCTGACTTCATTTTAAGGACATGTCGGCCAGGGGTGTAGAGCTATTTGTTTAAGCACCGGATTGGCAAAACAGGAGAGTAAACCAGTCTGCCTTGATCTATGAATTCATGTCCGGGACTCTCACGGTATCTGCTGCCCGCAGCTATTTTATAGAAGGAAAACCTCCTTCATGAAATGGCTGCAGCATCAGGAGGCAGCGGGACGTATACTCGGTAAAGAGCTGTGCCTTTTTACGCACCGCCTTCGCTGTGTTTAACTTAATCAGAACAGTTTAAGAGTGACTGCAGGCTGCTACGTGTTAACCACACACACATCTACACACATCGAACTGCCCGATTACTCCCCCTTTTATTAGTTTTATGAAGGAGATGTCCAGTCAGTCACCAAGGCGCATGATGTGTCCGACACCGGCATATATGCGGCTGTTCCCAAAATAAATTAGTTAAATCTTAATCTCGATGTAGTGCTAAATGCTGTCGGGAGTGCACCGGAACGAACGACACTATCATAATATCTTCTGAAAACAAATGCCAGTGTCACACACACACACACACACACACACACACACACACACACACACACACACACACACACACACACACACACACACACACACACATAATGCGCCTTCTCCTCGTTTTCCCAGCATTCACTGGATTATCCGTAAATCATACAAACACAACCAAAACGTTGATTTATCTGTTTTCCCGTTTTGGTTTAAAAACTGAATAACGTCGGTTTTTTGGTTTTCCGAAAAACCAAAAAACAACACCGGTTCTTTTTTAAACTTTGTTAATATGTTTTGGATGCATATTGTTCTAGTATTTGTTCAGGCTGTTACATACAATTAGCCTCTGTTGCTACCTGCTGGTGGTGAGTAAATATTAAAATCAGTTAAAATTGACAACCGGTCCGCGATTTTTTTTTAATGTATCTACCGGTCCTTGGCACAATAAAGGTTGGGAACCCCTGTACTAACCCATCATCCAAGGGTGGTTTTCACTATAAGTAAAAAAGTGGACGGACACTGTAATTTACAGTTTTTTACTATGTAAAATCTGAATTTTCTTTAAAATAAAAAAACGTCTATATTGATTCTGACTTTTCTACATCCAACTCACAGGTTTATCATTACTTTGAGAAAAAAGATTATTAATTTAACCCTTTTAGAAGGGAAGATATGGTCATTTGTTCTGGGAATGTCATTTTCGAGCCTGAGACCTGAAAAACAGGCTCAGAGTGGAACAGGTTAAGAAATAGTGCTGCGGTAACACATTATAAAATGGCATTTAAAAACAGTCATTAAAAAGCAAAGATAATCAAATAAACATAAAAAATACAAGAATAAAAGTTACAGTGCAGTGTTGGATATGAGTAGTTCAATTAAAAGCAGCAGCAAAAAGAAAAGCCTTCAGCCTGGATTTAAAAGTAGTAAGAGTTGCAGCGGACCTGCAGGTTTCTGGGAGTTTGTTCCAGATATTTGGAGCATAATAACTGAACTTCTCCATGTTTAGCTCTGACTGGGGTCAGAAAGCTGACCAGTCCCTGAAGACCTGAGAGATCTGGATGGTTCATAATGTATCAGGAGATCAGAAATGTATTTTGGCCCTAAACCATTAAATGCTTTATAAACTAGAAGCAGTATTTTGAAATGAATTCTTTGACAGACACTAAAATCAGAATGCTTCCACTAACTTACCTACTGAGTTAGGGAATATGTGGATATATCTGCTCCTTCTCAGTATCCCATCAGCCTTCCCCCTTACACTGCTGCTCTCTTCCAGAACATGCTGCGGCGTCATGAGGACATGGAGAACGGAACAGCGTGGTCCAACTCCTCTGAGTCGTCTGATGACTCCTCCAGTCCTCGGTTGTCTGGGCTACGCACCTCTGCGCATCATAAGGTAACACACAACATGTACCCGTGTTTGTATCTTTATTATAATTCAATCTACTTCATCACTATCTTTCCTAAGGATTGGTTAGCTAGATCGAGAGTGGAAGGAACACTTTGAATATGTTACTAACTCCTGTTGGCTGGTCAACCTAAACTACACCTCATTTAGGCGTCTATCAGAGGTGGTAGAAACACTCAGACTGTCATTTAACAGTTTATGTTACACTGAATCCTTTTTACACTTTACTATGAGCAGAGGTGGGAGAAGTACTCAGATCTTGTACTTCAGTAAAAGTCGAAGTACCAGAGTTTAGGAATACTCTGTTACAAGTACATTTCTGCTATCAAAATGTTTAAAATAAAAGTACTAAAGTATTAACATCCAAATATAGTTAAAGTAGCAAAAGTAAAAGTAGTCATTGTGCGGATTGGTCCATTTCAGAATAATATATATGATATGTTTTATAATGATTGCTCATTAAAGTGTTCTCAAAGCTGTTAAAGGTTCAGCTAGTTTGAATGACTTTGTATACTGCAGGGTAGCTTGTGAACGTAATTACTTCCAACCTCTGGCGTCTATTATACCATTATTTCACTCTAAACAAAGATAGAAAAGACCCTTTCCTGTTTGTAAGTGCAAACAGTCATGCTAGGCTCTGAGCAGCACTTCCTGTCAGGCTGCATCCTTTGTTGCCATCAACACACTTTGAGCTGAGTCTGTCCTAAAGCAGATTAGCCAATGAAATGATGGTGTTTGTTGGCATGTTCCACAGGGATTAGGATATATTTAATTGTCACAGTACAGAGCACACTGTTACACTGTTTACAATGTTTACTCTGTTTGTTTTAGGTGCTCTGAGGGTTTAATAACCACTAAGTCTAGAAGTCTAGATGTATTAGCTAGGGTAGGGGTGTGGTCTATACTTGATTGACAGTTGAGGTGGTGATGCAAGTATGGAGGAGAGTTTTGTGATTTTTAACAACCTCCCTCAACATTACACATGTATTAATAAATTCATATTCTGATTTATGAAACAGTGCACACACCAGCCTACGCCTTTTTCCCTTAAGATTCCCGTTATGCCCACTGTAGCCTATATATAGTAAGTGAAACCCCCCCCTATTCATATTTGTTTATACTGCCTACAATTGTAGGAAACGCCTTGAGTGGCTCAAAAAGAAAGTACATGTGCGGGAAATCAAAGTACTTGATGGGGATGGGATACAAGTCAATAATCTTCTCTGGTGAATGGAACAGTGGATGCCAAAATATACACAGCCTTATACAGGCAGACTGTTGGTAGGGAGTTTTGGAAAGGGGTTACACCCTTTATGAGAAACTGTCAGGAATGATCGGGGAATCCCTCCTGTCTGGACTCATGACTGGGGCAAACTAAACATGAGACACAGGGCCACACGCATCGAGTGACTCTGATAACGTCATTTCTCTGCCCTTTTTAGAAATGATAGTAAACCTACTGCATTCAATATGTGTTTACTCATTTATGTATCAAAACAATTGGGACTATTCACAAAAAAATCGATTTATATTTATGGTGTTATTTGTTCCCATACATCTTGTGTTTCTTGCGGGGGCGACATCACATCCACACGCTGTTGCACGGCATAATAATACTAACTTCATTTCTACGAGATACTTTCAACACATCAGCTGCCCGACGCGCGGGGGAAACATACTGGACCATGTTTATTCCCCTTTTCGACATGGATATAGGGCTCTCCCTCGCCCTCCCTTCGGCAAATCAGACCACATCTCACTGCTGCTGCTGCTTGCTTACAGGCAGAAACTAAAACGGGACAGACCGATAACAAGGACAGTACAGCGATGGAGTGAGGAATCAGATTCAGCTCTGCAGGATTGCTTTGCATCTAGGGATTGGAGTGTGTTTGAGGACAATAACATCAACACACACACGGATACGGTCATCTGCTACATTGGGAAATGCATCGATGATGTGGTACCGAAGGTTTCAGTACGGACATTCCCGAATCAAAAGCCCTGGATAAACGGCGAGGTGCGTGGCTAACTGAAAGCGCGCACTATCGCGCACAGAGCTGGAGATTTGGAGGAGTACAGGAAATCTAGGTATGAACTCCGGAGAGCAATCAGCAGTGCAAAGAGACAGTACAAAGAGAAGGTGGAATCTGACTTCAAAGGCTGTAACACCCGGAACATGTGGGTGGGACTAAGAACAATGACAGACTACAAAGGAGCAGCGGGGGGTGCTGCGGGAGTGTCTGCGAGCTGTGGCTCTCTGTCAGCCTGGCTACAGTGCTGAAAAGAAATCTTGCATTATTCTTATTCTCATCTATTAATGAAGAGTAGTAAGCTGCTCTCGCTTTACTCAGTGCTTTCTTATATTCATTGAGAGTAATATGCCAAATTAAACGAGATTCTTCAAGTTTAGTGGAACGCCATATCCTTTCACGTTGTCTCGACTTTTGCTTTATTTTTCGGCATTATGCCATGGAGCTAGTCTATGTTGTTTTATTTTCTTCTTTTTCATAGGAGCAACAGAGTCTAGGGCACCTGTAGCACTATCAACAACATGATCAATTTGGGGTGGTGTACATTTTGTATAAGTTTCCTCCCTTACATGCAGACATGCTATCGAGTTAAGTATTGATGGAATCTCTTCCCTAAATTTGGCTCTAGCACTAACAGATAGGTTTCTGCTGCAGGAGCTTTTGACTAATGGTTTGTAGTCTAGTAACAGTACTTCAAAAGTTACTAAGAAATGGTCGGATAAAGCAGGATTATGCGGTTTGACTAATAGTTGCTCAATTTCAATACCATAAGTCAGAACAAGGTCGAGAGTGTGATTATAACAGTGGGTTGGTTTATTTACACTCTGACGGAAACCAATAGAATCTAATATATCCAAGGCTGCGTGCTCAGCCTTCTCCTCTACTCCCTGTTCACACACGACTGCATGATCACACACAGCTCCAACACCATCGTGAAGTTTGCTGACGACACCTAGTCATCGGCCGGATCACCGACGGCGACGAGACGGCGTACAGAGAGGAGGTCGAAAACCTGACATCTTGGTGCCAGGATGACAACCTCCATCTCAACGTCAGCAAAACCAAGGAGCTGATTGTGGATTACAGGAAGCAGCAGAGAGAGGGACACGCCCCCATCGCCATCAATGGGACTACGGTGGAGAGAGTCAGCAGCTTCAGGTTCCTCTGTGTCCACATCACTGAGGACCTGACATGGACTCATCACACTAATACCATCACCAAAAAAGCTAGACAGCGGCTCTTCTTCCTCCGCAGGCTGAGGAGGTTCAACATGGACTCCAGGATACTCTGCAACTTCTACAGGTGCACCATAGAGAGGATCCTGACCTTCTACAGGTGCACCAGAGAGAGGATCCTGACCTTCTACAGGTGCACCATAGAGAGCATCCTGACCTTCTACAGGTGCACCATAGAGAGTATCCTGACCTTCTACAGGTGCACCATAGAGAGCATCCTGACCTTCTACAGGTGCACCATAGAGAGCATCCTGACCTTCTACAGGTGCACCATAGAGAGCATCCTGACCTTCTACAGGTTCACCATAGAGAGGATCCTGACCTTCTACAGGTGCACCATAGAGAGGATCCTGACCTTCTACAGGTGCACCATAGAGAGGATCCTGACCTTCTACAGGTGCACCATAGAGAGCATCCTGACCTTCTACAGGTGCACCATAGAGAGCATCCTGACCTTCTACAGGTTCACCATAGAGAGGATCCTGACCTTCTACAGGTGCACCATAGAGAGGATCCTGACCTTCTACAGGTGCACCATAGAGAGGATCCTGACCTTCTACAGGTGCACCATAGAGAGCATCCTGACCTTCTACAGGTGCACCATAGAGAGGATCCTGACCTTCTACAGGTGCACCATAGAGAGCATCCTGACCTTCTACAGGTGCACCATAGAGAGGATCCTGACCTTCTACAGGTGCTCCATAGAGAGCATCCTGACCTTCTACAGGTGCACCATAGAGAGGATCCTGACTGGCTGCATCACGGCCTGGTACGGCAGCTGCACCGCCCTCAATCGTAAGGCTTTACAGAGGATGGTGAAAACTGCACAGAACATCACCAGGACGGAGCTGCCATCCATGGAGGACCTTTACTCCCAGCGCCTCAGGAAGAAGTCCCTCCGGATTATAAAAGACCCCCATCACCCCAGCCACAAACTGTTCTGTCTGCTGCCGTCTGGCAGGCGTTACCGCAGCATCCGGACTAAAACCACCAGACTCAGGGACAGTTTCATCCCACAGGCAATAAGACTGTTAAACACCTGAACTGTTGAAGCAAAATCTGTTAAACACCTGAACAGTTGAAACAACATCCCTAATATTCATCTGGCTGCTACTTAAACATTATTTTACAATTATTTATTTATTTACCTATATATCCTATTTCAATAACTTGCATATAGACTCTTATTGCACTATTTCACTTTTTTAAAACTATTTTTCTTTTTGTATTACTATTTACTATTTACTTGCACTATATTTGTTCTGTTTATCTGTGTTATTGTGTTGCACTGTTGGAGAAGCCTGTGACACAAGATTTTCATCGGCATAACTACACTGTAGCTATGTTCGTATGACAAATAAAGAACCTTGAACCTTGAACCTTGAACAACAGCATTCAAAGAGTTCCAAAGGGCTTTACAATAAAAAGGGTGTTCATCACACTAGCTAACAACTGAAGCTACAGACTTTGTTGTTATTGTGTTAGATTGACTGTCAGTGACTCATCGTGTCCCTGTCTCTCTCCAGACGGTGGTGGTGACACCAGACATCCAGCCAGCTGTAGGCGGGACTTTTTCCCCTCAACCAGACATTTCATTCTGCCCAAGAGACTCCTCTTCAACTCCAAACTCCACCCACAAAATCAGCCCCGTCAGTGAGGACCCCCACACGTCTGCACGACCAGCACCGAGCAGCAGGTACAGCGGCACTCTGGTTCTGTACAATTAAGATTTTCAGTCGAATAGGTTTACTTATTTTGGTATTATTATTATTATTTGATGTATTATTCTTTTTTACTTTTTATTATTTTTGAAAAACATTTTCTTGGAAGTGAATAAAACGCGGCATAGATAATTACACAATTTAAGGATTTTTTTCAGACAAGGACTTGAGACAAAGGACCATGAATCCCATGATTTATTTTTTGTGAACATTTTTCCAAGAATTGTATGTTTCTGTTTGTTAATGTCGTTTTTGGCTTAATAATGGTACGGCTTGATGATGAAAGGATGATACTTTCGTTTCTCTTCTGTACTTCCTTACTTAGTTATATGAGATAAGTTTGTTTTACGTTTGTTGTGTTTATGTGGTTATAGTGTGTCTGTTTGACTGTGTGTGTGTGTGTGTGTGTGTGTGTGTGTGTGTGTGTGTGTGTGTGTGTGTGTGTGTGTGTGTGTGTGTGTGTGTGTGTGTGTGTGTGTGTGTGTGTGTGTGTGTGTGTGTGTGTGTGTGTGTGTGTGTGTGTGTGTGTGTGTGTGTGTGTGTGTGTGTGTGTGTGTGTGTGGTGTGTGTGTGTGTGTGTTGTGTTGTGTGTGTGTTGTGTGTGTGTGTGTGTGTGTGTGTGTGGACCCCAGGAAGATACCTATTGCTAATGCTAGTGCTAATGGAGAACCTAATGAGGAAATAAAGAATTAAGAATGATATGTGTTTTATCTGAACTAAAACAAACTGAGATATGATCTGATTTACAGGGAAGAGGAGTCAGTCGCTGTGACGACAAAAGCTGACAGTGAGGAAGAGGATTCAGGGAAGCGGTCTCCGATAGCAACAGATGATGGGAGGGTGACCAACAGCCACCCCCCCCGCAGCTACTCCCGCTCCCTGAGCCACATCAGTGAGAGCAGCGCCGACGGCATCGTGCTGACGGACAGGGCGGTCCAGTCCGGAGGGGGGGGTGTCTCCCACCTCCGGGATCTCCATCACTGACATAGAGATGGAGGTGCAGAGCAGAACCCCCCCCACAGACGAGAACACAACGGCTGACAATGCCACAGACCAACAGGACACACACTCCTCTGAACCAGTGGACTCAGAAACACACACACAGCCAGACATACGCCCAGAGAGCGGGGACGTGACGTACGTGGCGCGGTGGGTGTCGGTGGAGGAGGAGACCCCGGGGGCAGAGTCTCCATCCAGGGGGAGCGGGGGTCCGGTGGACAGTGGGCTGGAGGACGCCCTGACAGCCGTGGTCTCCTCCATGGATGATTACAGAGGACAGTTCCCCGAGCTGCAGCTGCTGGAGCAGGAGCTGAAGCTGCTGCAGGTCACACTCAAGGTGGGGCGGAGCTTAGAGATGCTTCCACAGGGGGGAGGGTAGCTAAAAACTTTACTTTAATTGCAAAAACAAATGCTCCTGACTCTGAAGAGACCATTATAATATTTATCATAAAAGTAAGATCAATGAAGGCTCAAAGAAAATGTTTTTTTGTATATATTATTGGGTATAATATCACCATCTTTGTTTAAAATAACATTCAAAATGAGTAGGTTGGTTAGAAAGTTTTAACTATTGCCTGATTAATATAATCAACAGGTTTTCGCTTATCTCAGATATTGCGCTGATGCTTTTATTCAAAGTGACTAAAGTATCTTGCCCAAGGAAAATTGTCTGGATTTATGTTCTGTAGAATTCTAATAAACAGTCTTTATTAATTTATTAATAACAGGTTTACATTTTTGAAGGCACCTACTGTATAAGCACAGACATGCTTTTATTTTTTTAATCTATTCTTTTTTTTTAAATCACATTTTCTTGGACTGTAGGACTTTTTTTGAAAATATATCTATTGATGTCATGTGCGCGTTCGTGTGTGTTGGAGGAGGGGCTCTGTAAGGAAGTCTGAAGGAATAGGCAGATTTTTTCCGGTTGTGTACTTTCAAATTCTAGCGCACTCGAGCTGGTTTCTGCAAAATTACATACCCCACCTTTAATTAAACTAGATAATTTTGTTTAAATTTGTTGGGTTTATGTGGTTATAGTGGTTGTGTTTGACTGTGTGTCTGTGGACCCCAGGAAGATACCTACTGCTAATGCTTGTGCTAATAGGGATCTTAATAGAAGAAAGAAAGCATCAATAATGCTGGTAGAAGAATGTTTTTATTATATATTATTAGGTATAATATTTCATTTCATTTCATTTAATCGTTTATTTGACAGGGACAATACACATTAATGAACACTTAAAGGAGAGGTGTCATGGCCATTTCCACTGATCATAATTCCATTGTTGAGGTCTACTAGAATAGATTTATATTGTGCAATTTTCCAAACTCACATTGGTTTCTCATACAGCATCTCTGTAAACTACGTGTATTCACTGAATTTCACTATCTGCCTTTAACGGCTCGTTGTAGCTCCAATAGCTCCAGCCCCCACCCTCCCTGTGAGCACAGTGTGTTCACGTTGTGAATCGCGCTGAGCTCCGTGGAGGTGTTGTTTCCTTGTTTAGGATACATAGCGAAACACAGCCAAACTCATCCTGAGCACACACAAACTCACATCCGAAGTAAAAACAATAAGTGTGGCTTGATATTGAGTAAGAAAAAGGTTGATAAACGCTGTGAGAATGGGTCTGCAGAGAGAATTTTGCTGCGATCCCAACTGTCTGTTATCAGCCTGCAGCCAGGGAGGAGAAATCAGCTGAGCTGCCTGCTCCCTGCACACAGATGTGTGTGTGAGGAAGTCCGTGGATTGGTTAATTTGGACCAATCAGCGGGGGCTTAACGTAACGGCTCCGCGGACGTAACGTAACGGCTCTTCGGGATTGGTCCATTTCGTTCCGGGTACCGCTTGACATCATGCCGTACCCGGAACGAAATGGAAGACTCAAATGGGCAGTGACGTATCTCCAACGAGGCGTTTTGGGGAGGTATTTTCTGTGTTAGAGTTTTACTCGCTACAGGGTGTACTTTGAGGGTTTTGACTCTGCACACCGTTTACATGCATAAAAACCTTCATAACACACAAGGGGACGGGTAATAACCGGAAAAGCATGACATGGGAGCTTTAAAACAAAATAATGCGTCAAGTGTAAATATGCCGGATTTGAGCTTTGAGCTCATTTCCATCCCTCACATAAAACATTTAAGAACATGACATTTATAAACATAGCACAAAACAAATACATGATATGCAAAAAGAGCAAGTACATACACAAGTATTTACCACATGGCAGTACAATATAGCAGCAACGACATATAAAGTGCAATAGAAGATACCCCTGTGTTAAAGTGCATTTATGGTGATTGCACGTCTGTTTGTTTCTCAACCATTCTTTGAGTTGACCTTTGAAGCTATTGAGAGTGGGACAATCCCGTATCTCAGTAGGGAGGCTATTCCACAATGAGCTGCCTTTAAAGGAGAGGACATTTTGTCCAAAAGTGGGTCCGTCTGTGGTGGACTTCACAGTCTCCTCTGGTTTCTGACCTAGTGCAGCGTCCAGTGTCTTTTTGTGGATGAATTCCCCTAAGGGAGGGGGGGCCAGTCCATGTAAACATTTATAAAAAAAAACACATACTTTTAAAAGACTTAAAATGGTCAAAACTCAAGAAATTGTGTTTCTCAAGGATGGTACAGTGGTGGTATGAATTTGGCTTTCTGTCAAACACCTTGATAGCTCTCTTGTACAGCTGTTCTATTGGTTTCAGGTTTGTGGCACAAGCAAACGACCAGTTTGTCAAACAGTATTCAATGTGGGATAGAATCATACAGTGGAGGTATGACTTTGCAGCATTGACAGTTAAGAAAGGTCTGATTTGTTTAAAATGTTGCAAGTTGAATTTAATGGTATTGGATACTTTCTTAATAGGTTTCTTAAAAGTCAAGTTCGAGTCCAGTATGACTCCAAGATACCAAGTGGGAGACTAGTTCTATTTCTGCTCCGTTTAAAAACACGTTGGATCCTTCGATTTTGACTGGTCGTTTACTGAACATCATGCATACTGTTTGTTTTTTTACGTTTAACTATAAGCAAATGTTCAGCCAGTGTTGAACCTTGTCCAAAGCATTTGAGAGACAAGATGAGATTATTTCAGTCTTTTCCCCGTGTATAAAGATGACCGCATCATCGGCATACATTTGCACATTCAACTCAGGACATACATTAGGCAAGTCATTAATGTACAGTGAAAAAAGTAACAGTCCAAGAATGGAACCTTGTGGAACCCTAACAGGGTTGACAAGGTAGGGCGATTTGGCACCGTTGACCAAAACACACTGTTTTCTGTTCGATAAGTAAGATTTGAACCAATGTATTGAAACTGCCAAAAAATTGAAATACGTCAGCTTTGTAAGGAGCACTTGGTGGTCAACAGTGTCAAATGCCTTCCTGAGATCAAGGAAGACAGCACCTACATATGGGCTCGTGTCCAACATACATTTAACCTTTTCCACAAAGACACAGTTAGCTGTCTCAGTGAGTGGTGAGCACGAAAACCAAACTGCATTGGGTGGAGTGGAGCGAAACCTTTATCTAAATGTTTGGTGATTAGTTTTGACACCCATTTCTCAGCTATCATATGGCGTATTTCCATTGCAGGGCCTCGCTCGGCTTAGTACGGTATGGTTAGGCCTTGTTAGGCCTTGTTAGGCCTTGTTAGGCCAGACTCACTTTATGCTGTGTTTCCATTACAGTTTAGTAGCTGGGGCAGTAACTATAGTAACGCAGTGTAGGCGGAGCCGTGACGTCATCATCAATGCGAACCACAGAAAAACAACATCAGCCGTTAGCTGTTAGCACTCAAGCTCACAGCTCCTCCTATCTGTTCAGAAACTAGACAAAAGTTAAACAAGTACAAACACAGACTGTCTGTGTCATGGCGAATACAGTCGCTGGTTTATTTATGTCTGTATAGGCCGTTGTTGTGAGTGTGGACGGTCGGAGCATATACTGCGTTAGCTTAGCCGATCTCCATTTAGAAAATACGCATTTTAAAAGGTTTTTCGCCTGCTGTCTGTCTGCAGACTTGTCAAACCATTAATTCATGGTTTTTACTAACCGGTATCAGTATGTTGTTACTTCGGCATCATTTTGAAACGTGTATTACAATTAAATCACGGTCAAATATGTTCATCTTGTTGTAGTTGTAGCCCCCTTGCCAGCGATTCTCTCTCTAGTTTAGCATACCCGACTCAGCCTGGTTGTTAGCCCGCTAAGAACCTCGATTTTATGGGGCCAGAAAAACTGTGAAATAGTACCCGCTAGCCGGTACTACGCCTAGTGGAAACGCAACCAAAAACGGGCACGGCACGGCACGGCGCGGCGCGGCACGGCACGGCACGCTTAAACCTCATTGCCTTATCCCCAGATTTAAAATTGGTGTCACCGTGGCCACCTTCCAGGACGATGGAACTTCCCTTGTGCTGATAGATTGATTCACTAGCATAGTAATTGGTTTTATTAGACCGTCGATATGTGTTTTTATAAAGTTGATGTCTAAATCATCTGCATCCCTAGCCTTAGAACCTCTTAACCCTAAGATTATATTTTTTACCTCAGCCTCTGTGGTTTCCTCCAGGTCAAAAACGGGGTGTGTATCCACAGTCGGGCTGGGTGAAACCCCAGATGGCGAGAAGAGCTTTGTGATGTCCAAAGCACTATTTAAGAAATACTCATTGAGAGAGCTGGCCAACACTGCAGGGTCTTTTATCAGGGAATCATTGATTTTTAATTCTAGAGCATTATTTTCCTGTTTGGTATGTTTACCTAATAGTTTATTTAAGATTTGCCAAACTTTTTTACCGTTACCTTTCGCACCTTCAATTATATTGATGAAAAAGTTTGCTTTAGCCTGTCTTATTGTTTGTGTTACCTTGTTGCGAGCATGAGTGAATTTCTGTTTATCAGTGGATATCAGTGGATGTTTCCCCAATCAATCATTTTCACTGCATCCATAAAACGTTGTTGCAGGTTTTTGGGGATGAAGCGAGAACCCAAGGCAGGGGTTTTAGGTGTGGCCATGAACCTTTTTTTTGTGAGTTTCCTGGTAAAAAGAATAAGATTATGGTCAGAAAGACCAGTCAGGAAGTTGTAGGTTTTAACTATTCTCTCAGCTTTGTTTGTAAATAATAAATCTATCATAGTCTTGGAGGTTTTGGTTATTCTAGTCGGTTTATCCATTAGTTGTATTAAGTTGTGATTATCCATGATCCGTTTTAAGCTCTTTCTATTTTGTTTGTCATTCCAGTTGATGTTAAAGTCTCCTAGAATAATTCACCACCTATGTGTAAAGTGACTTTCAAAAAGTGATATGTTTAAGTTGGTTATAAAGTTGAAATTCACCGTTATTTCACTGATGCTTTTATCAATTTACGGTAAAGTCTCTTGCCCAAGGACACATGTCGACTGCTGGGCTGGGAACTGAACCACTGACCTGCCTTAACACAGTTTATCCAACCAAGTCAGACAAGAGATATGACAGTTTTATATTTTCACTGTAAGATGTGGCTCACTAATTAACTTGGCAAATGTTGTTAATGAGTGTGTGCATGCTCAGCTTTAACTATTGTGGGCATCTAAAGACATTTTCTAGAACAGCAGAAAGTCTTCACATCTTAAGACTGAACTGTTTCAACTGCACATTGGCCATTAAAACTCAGTGCATAAAATGGTTTGGCTTATTTGAAGCAAAAGTTATTTCAGGTTTCTCGCTGTTCTGAGTTTCATGGTTGAGCTAAATGAAATCTAATGTGTGTGTGTGTGTGTGTGTGTGTGTGTGTGTGTGTGTGTGTGTGTGTGTGTGTGTGTGTGTGTGTGTGTGTGTGTGTGTGTGTGTGTGTGTGGTGTGTGTGTGTGTGTGTGTGTGTGTGTGTGTGTGTGTGTGTGTGTGTGTGTGTGTGTGTGTGTGTGTGTGTGTGTGTGTGTGTGTGTGTGTAGGGCGGGAGGCACAGCCGCTCCCCCAGCGTGGTCAGCCTCACCGTGGAAACAGCTCTGTGCAGCTTTGACTTCCTCAACACGTCTGACTGTGAGGAGGAGGAGGAGGAGAGAGGAGAGAAGAGGAGCAGAAGTGGCAGGTCAGAGCTCACAAACTGTGTTTTTTATATGTGTTTGTTAATAGTAAATCCACATCCAGGCCCAGTTCCAAACCGCCCCCTACACCCCACCCCTACACACTTCCACTCCATTGAGTGCTGTTCCAGACCAACAAGTGTGGAGGGAGAGTGGGTTATCAAGCCCTCTAATGGCGCATTTCCACTACACGGCCTCGCTCGGTATGGCTGGGCCTCGTTAGGACTGGCTCACTTTATGGCGCATTTCCATTACAGTTTAGGAACTGGGGTAGTATCTATAGTAACACAGTGTAGGCGGAGCCGTGACGTCATCTTCAATGAGAACCCCAGAAAAACAACACAGCCGTTAGCTGTTAGCACTCAGAGCTCACAGCTCCTCATATCTGTTCAGAAACTAGACAAAAGTTAAACAAGTACAAACCATAGACTGTCTGTGTCATGGCGAATACAGTCGCTGGTTTATTTATGTCTGTATAGGCCGTTGTTGTGAGTGTGGACGGTCGGAGCATATACTGCGTTAGCTTAGCCGATCTCCATTTAGAAAACACGCATTTTAAAAGGTTTTTCGCCTGCCGTCTGTCTGCAGACTTGTCAAAGCATTAATTCATGGTTTTTACTAACCGGTATCAGTATGTTGTTACTTCGGCATCATTTTGAAACGTGTATTACAATTAAATCACGGTCAAATATGTTCATCTTGTTGTAGTTGTAGCCCCCTTGCCAGCGATTCTCTCTCTAGTTTAGCATACTCAGCCCGACTCAGCCTCGTTGTCTCTGGCCCTAGACCCGCGATTTTATGGGGCCAGAAAAACTGTGAATTAGGACCCGCTAGCCGGTACTAGGCCAAGTGGAAACACAACCAAAGACGGGCCACTGACGTCACAGCTCTCTTAAACGGGGCTCCGCGCTGTAGTGGAAACGCGCCAGCTTGCATCGGTCCTTTACCTGCTACTAAAGCTGACCAACGCTGTGTGTGTCCGTCATCAAACACAAACATAAACATCAGACTTTAAAACAAAAAAGAGACATCATTAAAGATTTTGAGAATTGTATTCTAGTTATAATTTATTGATACAAGACATGCTGATTTGGAACCGTTGTTACGAAAAGTTACGGCATTTCCTGTTTCTGCTGGAGAGAGGGGAGTTCGTCCCAAAGCTTGCTGCTGTTTTTACACCCTCTATCTGAAAGAAGGGAGCTTCGTTCAGCTGTGAGTGTGACTGCAGACGAAGTTCACTGTAATGGAGTGGATGTGGGTAGGGGACAGTAAAATCTCTCTCCTGGTACAGAATAATCTCATTGTAAATAAAGTGTCTTGCTGCCATCTAGTGGAGCTGTGTGGTACCGTCACTATAGCGCAGAGCTGGAAAAGCCTTCCTCAAAAGAACAAAACCAACTCAATATATGACTCTATGATGATGTATTTTCTTGGCTTGATGACAAGCAGTCACACACTGCTTGCCATCTCATTGAGCCTTCAGAGGCTCCATCCAGTTGACCCCTGACCCCAGCAGAGTTGATGGAAGCCTCCCTCAACACCGTGGATCTTATTAAAAATTCCTCCTGTGTGTTCAGGTCTCTGCAGGACAGAGGCTGGGACAGCCCCCCCTCCCCCCTCACCACAGGCTGCACCACGTTAGACTGCGCCCTGGTGGTCCACCTCAACAAGTGCAGCCCCCAGCTGCTGGTAAGAGAGCTGCTACACTGCCGTTTGTCATGTCTCAGTCAGAGGGAGGTCTCTGGCTGCCTCACATGCTGGTGTGACATATGTTCCTCTAATTTTGTCCGTCAAGGTTCCAGCTTAGCAGAGATACCTGCTATGGAAAGAAATTGAAATACAGGACAGTAAAGATAAAAGTTCACACAAGGTTTATAAGAATACAAATTATAGATACATAGTACCTCTGGTTATGTAGCATGATCATTTGAAGAATTAATAGTGTATGGCATAACTTTTTCAAAAGGAAGTAAAGTGTCTTTGTAACCTATTACACTATTAGATTTGTCCATTCCCCAGGAAACCTACTCTATAACACCTACATTAAAACTATATGATATTCATCTTCTCATGTTATATGTGACGTTATGTCTGCAGTGTCTGGGTATGTTTGGTCCCCTGCGCTGTGGAGAGATGTACGCCTTGGACAGACTGCTGAGGGAGGCTCAAGTCCTCGAAACCATCCGACGCATCGCCAAGGACAACCCGAGGCGCTTCAGACAGCCTGCTGAAGGTCAGCTGCAGTCTTTATATCTATGTGGCCCTGTTCTCTCTGTGTGTCAGCATGACCTGCAGACATCCCTCTCATCAGCTCAAGAGCTCAGAGCAGATGTGTGGAACTCAAGGCCTGTGAGACGAATGCACCCTGGCACCACATTTTATGTGGCACATGAAATCTTGAAAAGAATAACGTTTAATAATATATATTATATATAATACAAACCCCAATTCCAAAGAAATTGTGACGTTGTGTAAAACATAACAAAAAACTGAATACAATGACTTGCAAATCCTTTTCAACCTATATTCAATTGAATGCACAACAAAGTCAAGTTATGTAATGTTCAAACTGATAAACGTTATGTTTTTTTTTATGCAAATATTCACTCATTTTGAATGTGATGCCTGCAACGCGTTCCGAAGAGTATATATATTTATAAAGTCTTACAGTTAACGCCAAACCTTTGAGCGACCATAATGCTTATCTGCATTACAGATTCACAGAGGTGGTTCATATTTCAGCCAACAAGTTCAATTCATGAACATGCTGCCCGGATCATCACCCGCACCAACTCATCCGACCACATCACCCCTATTCTCACTCAACTACATTGGCTTCCTGTACGCTACCGTATTGAATACAAACATCTTCTACTCACTTATAAAGCTCTCCACAACCTTGCCCCCATCTACATCAACGACCTCCTTCAGCAGTACACCCCCTCCCGCACCCTCCGCTCTTCCTCCGTAGGACTTCTCACCATCCCAAGCTCTCGCCTCAAAACCATGGGTGCTCAAGCTTTCAGCTGCTCGGCTCCCAGACTCTGGAACTCCCTGCCACTACATATCCGACAGTCTGATTCCATAACAACATTCAAAACCCAACTCAAAACCCAACTCAAAACCCACCTGTTCAAACTGGCATTCTCTTTATAAACTGTACCCTGTGTCCTTTTGTGTCCTTTTGTAGTCCATTTCCTGTTGTTTGTCTTGTTTTACCCCGGCTGACATTTCATTAAATCTACTGTTTTAATTTTCCCTATATTACCCTATGCCTTGTAAGGTGTCCTTGGGTGCTATGAAAGGCGCCTCCAAATAAAATGTATTATTATTATTTATTATTTGTCCACCAGGCCTGCATAATGGTCTAAATATATCATATATTAAAATAAACTCCTATAATACTTTGCAATTTCATCTGGATTTTATTTTTATTTCATAATCAAAATGCAACCATTTCACAGGGCCAATCTGAGTATTGTACGCACATTTGATCTAAATCTTGTCACAACAGTGCCGTGTGCTGAAGAATCATGGCAACAATGTTAATGTAAATACATTATCTACAAGAATTGGAGGAAAGAGTTAGGAATAAGCAGTAAGTATAACGAGGGGTTACGTATGGTAACCCTTGTTATATAAGCACAGGCGGAGCGCTCTACTGGACTCTATGGTACTACCCCTTGATCATATCATGCAAGCATTCATCCACTGAGACTTCCATAACCGTAGCCGGCCCCGGGGCGGTCCTATCTGAATGCGCGCGCATCTCACCGTATAAAAGGAGGCCTCGCCTCCTGACTGTCATCCTACACCTCTCTTCAGCGAGCGGCATAGGACAGACAGTGCCCAGAGTAGAGGGCTCCGCCTGTGCTTATATAACAAGGGTTACCATACGTAACCCCTCGTTATATCTCTCACAGGCTCCGCCCTCTACTGGACTCTATGGGTACAGTGGGCGGAGCCCCGATGTATACACGCGCTGTCGTCCAACAACACCGTTCCATCCCACTGCCCCTGACCGGCTTTCTGGTTAGCAGCCGCTGCACCTCACTCACCTCTCCCTCGGTTGTGACCGTGGAGAAGTCTGGGCCGCGGCTGACAGAGCACACTCCAACGCGCTTACCTCGCGAAAAGTGTGCTCGGAAAACAGCGCTGAGGGCTCTCCCCCCCCGCCCATAGGCAGACGGAGAGAGTCCCCAGCCCTGTATGGGCTCACTATGCACCACCTCTCCCGAGTCCCTAAGGAGCACGGGGAGAGCGCAAGTGCCCCATGTCCCCCACACTCAGATACTGACCCCGTGCAGAGTGTGTGTGGACTATAGTGTGGGCTATATAAGGGCTCTCCCCTTCTGCCCTTAGGCAGGCGAGGAGAGCCCTCCAGCCCCGTATGGGCCCAGCGCGCACTACATCCCCCGGGACCCTCCAGGCAGAGGGGGGGGGGTGCAATTTAGGTTCCCTGGCCCCACTATGGGGTGGAAGACTAAAGCCCCCTAGCTGAATAGCCTAGAGTGTGGCCCCGCTCCGGTCACCCCGGATCACAAGCAACTCGGGTGCACCGACAGAGCGGTTAATTCGGACACTCTCTTGGCTGACGTTAAGGCAAGTAGCAATGCTGTCTTCCACGACAGTGCTTTCAGGGAGGAGAGCTCCAGAGGCTCAAATGGTTCTGTGACCAAAGCCTCGAGCACCAACGGCAGGTCCTAACTCACAAGATAGGTGCTCTATTCTCCGCTCCTCACACCATCGCTGGAATCCCAGCCACTTTGGCCTGTAACAGGCTGTGGTGGATCCCGCTCTAGCTGCCTGGATAGACTGAATAACTCTGTCAGACAATCCACCCTGTCTCAGCCTGTCCCTCTCAGGAGCCAAGCCTGAAGAGGACGGCCCAGAGTGGGTAACGCCCTGATTGCACCTGCCTCTTGAGACATCGCCCCCCAGAACTGGGGAACCGCATTCATCTGTGTCATCTCTGAGTACCACAGAGCCCCGACGCGATCCGGAGCCACTAGGATGACTGACAGACGTTCTCGCCTCACTCTCCCCAGGAGAGGGAGAATGAGACGCAGCGGTGGAAAGGCGTATAGCAGCTTCCTTGGCCATGGCTCGTGTGCAAACGCGTCCACCCCCAAGGGCGGAACGTCGCTCAGAGCCATGGAGAACCACAGGGCACAGTGGCTGTTGCGCCGGCTGGCGAACAGGTCCACTTCTGCTCTCCCGAACTGGGCCCAGACCTGCTTCACCACCTCCGGGTGAAGCGCCACTCGCCTGGCAGGGGGCCGCCCCTCGACATGAGGTCGGCCCCTCTGTTCTCCAGTCCCGGGATGTGGAGGGCTCTCCGAGATAACACCACCTCTGAAGCCCATAACCACAGTTTCTCCGCTGTGGTCAACAAGGCGGCGGAGCGGACTCCGCCCTGCCTGTTGATGTATGCCACTGTGGTGCTGTTGTAACCCGAGTGGGACCACAACGTGAGCAGCCGCCATGAGACCCAGAGTCTGCATGAAAGTCAAAGCTGTCACTGTTGCCCCCTGTCGCAGCCTGCGAACCGACCGAAGCAGGGACCCGCGTCTGCTCTCTGACAGGGTGGCGCGCAGTGCGCCTGCATCGAGCACCACTCCCAAATACCACGCCTGTTGGTGAGGTATGGGGGTGCTCTTCTTCCAATTGATCTCAAAGCCCAACTTGGTTAGGTGTAGGATCAATCGTGCTGTGCAAAACATTGCCCGTTCCCTGGACCTGGCCATGACTATGAGGTCGTCCAGATAAAAGAAAACTCTCATGCCACGGGCGCGCAGTGGCTGGAGCGCTGTGGCCACACATTTGCTGAATGTGCGTGGGGATAGGGAGTAGCCGACCGGTAATCTGTTGTACTCATAGGCTATCCCCTGGAAGGCAAAAACGCAGATACTTTCTGTGCTCTGGAGAAATGTCTACATGAAGGTACGCGTATTTCAGGTCGATGGTGGTGAACCAATCGCCTGGCTGCACAAGCCCCAGTAATTGTTTTATAGTCAACATGCGGAATTTTCTGCAGGCATGTGTCGATTCAGACTGCGGAGATCTAGAATAGGTCTGAATTCCCTGTCTTCTTGAGAACCAGGAAGTACATGGAATAAAGACCACTTTCTCTGTGCTGAGGGTGCACGACAGACACCGCCTGTTTTTGCACCAGGGCAAGAGAGGAAACCCATCTCCTCCTGGGATGCTAGATTTACCTCCCGTATGCCTTTGAATGGAGGCGGGATGCTGCAAAACTGGAGTGAATAACCCTGTTTCAGCGTCCTGTCCATCCACCTTGTTAACACACAACTGAGTTTCATTCCCCATAACACTGTGTTAGGGGACAAGCACTCTGTGATACTCCCTGGTGACCCGTTCCGCCGCAAAACTCCCCGTGAAGGGAAGTTCTGCCCGGGTCGACACAGAAAGGGCAGATTTTTTACGAGGTCCCTGATGCCATAATGTCCCCTTTACCTCTATGGTAAACTGCATTAATCGGAGTCTTGCCTGCGGAAGCAGATGGGCCGCTAGGCTCTCGTCCGAGCGGCCCTGCACCCTGATGATACCTGCCATGGCTGCTATCGGGGCCTTCGTCCTCAATGGCTGCCGCCACGTCGACTCCACACACGGCCAGATATCTGGCACCGGGGGCGAGGCGAAGGCCGGCTGCGCCGGATGCACCTGGCCGTAAAACCCCTGTCGAAGGCGGCTGACTGGCCTTGGTGGCAGCGGTGGGGGGAGCGGTAGGCCCACACGCTCCGCCGCCAGGGTCATCACTGCCGGGAAGTCCAGACGCGCAGACCTGTGTGCTGGACCCTCCAGACAACGAGGCGTCCTCCTCGTCTTCCTCCTCCGTGACCATGGCCACCCGGATGATATGATCAAGGGGTAGTACCCATAGAGTCCAGTAGAGGGCGGAGCCTGTGAGAGATATAACAATGTGGGATAAAAGAAAAACAAGATCTGACTTAGATCGCAATACATTTATGGTTTGCATATCATTAAAATGGCAAACATGAGTTTATCCCATGTTGATGGACTCAGTCTGTGTTAGAAATCTGACACAAACAAAGCTTCTCTGCCTGAATCCTCCTCCCCCTGATGTCAAGGTTTATTTTTGAAATGATGCTTATTTGTGCAAGGACCTATCTGGAAAAAAGTTCTGATGGGTTCAGACAAATCTAAAGTTTGCTAGAACAAAAGGTGAGTAAGGGAACCTTTTCAGTTGAGGGGGTTTCTTCACACAAGGTCAAGGGTCCATGCTCAAAGCTATAGGAACCACTCCAAATACAAAAGACTAACTCTGTCCCATCTTCTTCCGTCACAGTGATACCACAGCTGGGCCTGTGCCTGGGTGCTGAATTACTATGGCAACAGTGTGTGGGGCAGGGCAGTGTGTACAGCGTCTCTGCTGAGAGCTTCCTGCTCACTCTGTCTGCAGTCTACTCCAGAACCCTGCCGGAGAGGGCCAGCAGCATGGGCGACACAGGTACAGCTACACCTGCACGGTACTGCCACTGTCCAGGGTTCGTCCTGAGATAACACCTGTGTGTGTGTGTGTGTGTGTGTGTGTGTGTGTGTGTGTGTGTGTGTGTGTGTGTGTGTGTGTGTGTGTGTGTGTGTGTGTGTGTGTGTGTGTGTGTGTGTGTGTGTGTGTGTGTGTGTGTGTGTGTGTGTGTGTGTGTGTGTGTGTGTGTGTGTGTGTGTGTGTGTGTGTGTGTGTGTGTGTGTGTGTGTGTGTGTGTGTGTGTGTGTGTGTGTGTGTGCAGTGTTCTTGTGCCTAGTTGAGCGAGTGCTGGATCAGAGGTTACCACGGCGAGGCAACAGAGACGGAGTGATGGTGACGCTGTTCCAGCTGTGGAGTTACATGGAGGCCAACTGCATCACTGACATGGACACACACATCACTGAGGTGGCAGAAGAAGGTATCTCACACACACACACACACACACACACACACACACACACACACACACACACACACACACACACACACACACACACACACACACACACACACACACAACGCTTGATAAATGCAGACACATTATAGTTACCGTGGCAGTTCTCAGTGATATCCTGCCTCCCACAGTGTGGTTGGTGCAGAGCCTGGCGTCATGTGACCAGGAAGTGATCGTGCAGGCTCTGCGGCGCCCTCCAGAGTGCAGCCTGAGGAGAGAGGGACTTCATGCTGTGGCCAAATTACTGAGAGACCCGCGAGGAAAAGTGTCAGCCTCTGCCAGCTCTGTGCTGAGGAGCCTGGCTGCTCAGCCCGGGCAGAGGGAGCAGGTGTGTGTGTGTGTGTGTGTGTGTGTGGTGTGTGTGTGTGTGTGTGTGTGTGTGTGTGTGTGTGTGTGTGTGTGTGTGTGTGTGTGTGTGTGTGTGTGTGTGTGTGTGTGTGTGTGTGGTGTGTGTGTGTGTGTGTGTGTGTGTGGGTGTGTGTGTGTGTGTGTGTGGTGTGTGTGTGTGTGTGTGTGTGTGTGTGTGTGTGTGTGTGTGTGTGTGTGTGTGTGTGTGTGTGTGTGTGTGTGTGTGTGTGTGTGTGTGTGTGCAGTCGTGGAATGTAACTAAGTACATTTACACAAGTAACATACTTAAGTATAATTTGGACATAATTGTACTTACCTTGAAGCCAATATTCTACTTTTTACTCCGCTACCTTTGTACAACACTCATAGTTACTAGGTATTTTTACATTTAAAAGTACCCTGATTTGAAGTGATTGAAGTGTACGTAAGTCACTTCAATCACAATAGATAAAACAGTCAGCTAAATAACATGTTGGGTAATTATGAAGCAGAATACAAATATTGAGTCATAAATCTTCAATAAGGAAAAGACTTAACATGGACAGCAGTGTAAAAGTAGTCCTGAGATCAGTTAGTACACAGTAAGACACGGATATAAACACTACACACTCTCCTCCTCAGGCGCTGGTCAGCTGTTTGGAGCTGCTGGAAGACGAGCAGTCGGACACCAGAGTGTGTGGATGCAAGGCTCTAGCATGTCTCAAGGTACACACACTTCTCTACTTTTATGGCACCACAGTGATGTAACATCATAAAGTCTTATCTGTACTAGAGTGTGTCCTCCTAACCATGCTAAATAACGTATTTTATCGATTGTTATTCCAGGCCAAAGAGAGTATCGACCAGTTAGTGTATCTCTGTCGGACGGACAAGGACGATGTCCGAGACGCTGCCAAACAAGCGCTGCTGGTGCTCGGTAATAAACATCACCATATTACTGAATGACAGCTAAACAATGCACTTCCTGGATAAACTCATATCCATGTATAAAATAGTATTAAGAAATAATGTGCCTGTATTCATATATTTTGTATTTTTGTATCCATTATTGTTTGTTTATTCCATTCATTCATATATTTGTGATATAAGACAATAGAATGGTGCAGTGATGACGTGTTTTCGTTGGCGGCCCTGGAAGTTAGCATTGCTGGCTAGCGCTCCCTCGACTAAAGCAATGTGATTTTAACATTGGAGTTGGGATATTACAGAAAATAATAAAATATGTGGTTAACACACGTTTATGACAGCTACACATTCTGTTCGGCAGGATACTCTCTACATATTAATGCCACCTTTTTGATTTTTGAAGGGTAAATGCAATTGCCATAAGTACAGTAAATAGCTAACTTAATGCCATAAAGCACATTTCAGTCACGTCACCACCGCTAAGCTAAAGGGTGGCTAATGTTAGTTCTGATGAAATGTTGCCGTCTAATTTAGCCACTTGTTAGCAACCGCCGCTTTTTAAGACAGGAGTGGGATATTTGATGACTTATTTTTTGCCGTAAAACAAAATGTGAAAAATCTCCTAAACTTGTGTTCACCACAGTCTGTTCTCAGAAAACAGTTGACTAGAGACGAGGGAGCCCGAAAGTGCTAAAATGCTAACTAATTTCCAGGTTTATGACTCATTCCTGCACCACTCTATAGTTAAAGCAGAAATTACAAATATACATCTTGCTTGTTTTCTGTCATTTCACTTTGTCCAGTGCATTCACTCATTGGTCCATTGTTGCATTCCATTTTTTTTTGTTCTTCAATCCATTGTGTGGAGCAGGCGAGGAGGGGAAGATGGCCCACAGACACGTGGAGACGTCTCAGGACAGCATCCCCAGACTCTTCGCTCCAGGAAGCATGGCCAGCACTGCTTTCTAACACTTCACACACACTGGGTGGGAGAAAAAACTGAAATAACACAAAAAGCCTCAATGAGAATATAAAGTAGGTTTTTTTATTTTCCAATACTACCACTAAAAATCAGAGAGGTAACTATGGTATCAAGGATAGCCACTCTATTTAACACTGGCAAACATGTAAAGTTATTAAGCTACAAACACACCAGTTTATGTTCATCAACCTGTGCTAACTACCAAGTTGGCGTGTAAGAGTGTGAGGCAGGATGTAAAATGTGAGCAGGCTTGAAGGGAAAGACAGATGAAGGGAGAAGGATGAAATGGATACTGAAGGAAGGAAATGTAAATCAGATTCATATCCAAATCAAATAACTGGATATTGATCCATCATGGCACAGACACAAAAACATTATTTTGTAAGTGGATTAGGAAAAGTGTAAAGATCTATTTTAAGTCACTTTATTCAGATAATTCACATTTTCACAGCCTACTAAGTGCCCAACATGTTGAGTGTCTTGTACTCCGACTCTCTGTGGTTTTGACTTGTACCAGTAGGCATACATAGAGTACATCTACAGTACACTGCTACTCCTACCATTAACTTTTCTTAGTGGATACTGCTGTCTCTTGTTAGGGCCTGAGCATGAGAGTGCTGAGACCCCAACGCTGTCCCTAGCACGAAGTGCGAGGAAACCTATTGTTTTCCTGAAGATTCTTATTTAAGGTGTTTTTGGAAAATGTTACCCCAGTTGCAACATATTTTCATATAACTCTGCCTTTCCTATAGCCATGGCTCTACTAGCTTGTTGATTTAAAGACTGAGACCTAAGTAATGCAGCTGTACTGCAACACTGCAATGCACCTGAGAATGGATGAGCTCCAACTTCCCACACTTCACTGATGCATAGATCTGGGCTGCACAATTATTCAAATTTCAAATCACAACAGAGCCGGCCAGCTAACCAATCAGAGCAGACTGGGCTCTGGTTTCAGACAGAGGGTGAAAAGAGGTGCTGCAGCACAGGCAGTATGAGAAAAATAAAGAGCTTTTTGAACATTAAATGTCACAGTAGAGACACTCAATACTAATATGAACCTGAAAATGTGCAGAATAGGGCCCCTTTAATAAAAAATCCTTGTTTTGTACAGATTCGCACAAAAAAACACTATATTATCATTTATATATGTTTTCCATTCATATGTGAATAAGGTTTCAAAATGATCATTTACTTCAATATCACAAATCATATCGCTATTGCAATATCAGTCAAAAATAAACACAATTTGTTATATTTTCCAAATTGTGCAGCCCTAGCAGAGACACTGTGATGAACTTATAACATCAATATCCGAACTTCATACATGTCACATCACAGTGGGCATCACATGCATCATTCTGAAGTTGACTTGGGTGTCCTGCAGGTCAAAGGGCGGGGGTGATGGAGATCCACCAACTGGGCAGCAAAATAATGAATGGGATTTTTATTGGATCCATTTGTTGACGCATGTTCTTCAGTCTTAATGGAACTGTCTCTGGGGCTTTTTTGCTCATGTAGAGCTAAATGGAGGTAGGGGTCTCTGATGCATGGACAGATACTGGAGATCTGCTACTGCTGGACTCACTGTGAAACGTCTTCCAGTTCAAAAGATACAAAGGAAAGCTTTTTACTCTCTGTCTCGCAGAGGTTTATGTTTAATGCTGTCATTATATTAGCACCAGGTTGAAAAGAAAGAGAAGCTCACACTGTAGTTTTAAATAAAGAGTTGAGACTGTTGCTAAGCTGCTTCTGCACAGTGATAGGTTAAAACAATTCAGTGCCATCACTCTTTACAATAATGACATATCTTATTCTTTATGGAATTACATACTATATGATTATTTGCCACTGGAGTTCAATATTCTGTGATTGTAAATTGTTTTTTTTCTTGACAGTCTTTATTTGTAAATGTATACTTTGTTTTATAAGATGTGTTTTACTGTTAAAATGACATATATTATTATCAGTTTGATAAATTGATTAATTGAATGACTTACCACTGACATATCTGCTGTAAATGAAGTCACTGAATATTTGCATTACTGTCAGACTGCTGCGGAGGGCTTTGTCTTTTGAGAAGGCAAAGACACCATACACCTTTCTTGGTTGGGTATATCGACATTTGTAACAGTTGAACTTCACACTTAAACTAAAGATTTTCTTTACAAAGAATGAACATTGCATTTTTCTGCGTTGAGTTGATTTGGCATCCTCAAAAATGTGGTCATGGAATTATAAATGATTGAAGGGCGATACCAGTGTTTTGCATGTTTATGCCATTTACTACCAATGACATACTAAAATATTTCCACTTCTGCTGCTGACAATTCTCCAAAGTGAGCCCATTACACTCACCAAAGAAAAACATTGTAGACCTACTGTACTTTGTTATTATTGGCTTCATAATAAAACTATCTGTGATTTTTGTTTGGACTCAGGATTCCATTATAACACATCATCGTAGCATTATGAATTAGTAACTCTAAAATAAGAGCTGCAATTATGAAACGATTCCTAAAATGTTTGAAGGGATCTTATCATCTTAAATATTTTCTGAAAATAATTAGATACTAAGTCATAGTTGGGGGACAATGTTGTCATTTTACTTTGGTGAATGCAGTTAGTATCATAATGGCAAACATAATGGCTAAATTAATAAAGTAACAAAATGTAAACACAAAGCTGATGCTCCCTGTGATGGATTACCAAACTCAAGCAAATGTCAGCTATCTTTAACTCGATATTGATACATTACAATACATTACATTATGATACTGTAAACATAAAAAAATGTACAAAACTACTAACTTTGGAAAAGTGCCAGCGTGTGAAGTCAAGAATATCTTTTTGGTAGATGGGGTTACAAATATGCAAGTTCACTGGTTTTATTTATCCACACTGAGTTTACAGATGTCAGTAAAAATGCCAAAGTTTCCAGGCCAGTGACCGTTAATTGTAATCGTGTTGATCCTTTTCATAGTGACACTGCTGATGATGCCAGTCTGCCTTTTCCTTTCCTGAGCACTAATGACTGATGGTCTTTTATTGATATCATATGGATGTGTTCAAGTCTCATACTGTATGCTATGCTAACACTATGATGTAAACATGTTGTATTGAAATTGACATTGTGCAGTTCTAGCAGTCAAAAAAAGACATTTCTACTGACAGGAAATTATGTGTAATTCTTAGCCATGCCAGCAGTAGCACTGTGGAGATGTCAATGTTGCTCAGTTAGCCAGACAGAAATATCTCAACAAATAATTAATAGAAATTGGGTTCAGGCCCCTCATTAACCCAGGATAATTTGTAAAACCAATAATTGTGACAAAATACCTGTAGGACTACTGCAATTCCTTAAGCCTCTGCTGTACATTGTGTAAAGTGCTTTTTGGCAAATGTTAACATCAGCATGTTACATTTGTCACTTAGGACACGTTAGCATGCTCACATTAGCATTTAGCTCAAAGTGCCGAAGCAATTTTCACAGAGCTGCTAGCATGGTTAAACTGGACTATAGGCCTACTTTTTTCTGTTGTCTAAGCTTTTAAACCATTGTCGACAATGTTTTCTGCTTTTTGTTCTAACAACATGACATGTAACAATGTAGTAATTTCAGTCTTGCTGCAAGTTTAAACTGTACTTAATTTGTTTTTTTACAACATGTGAACATTTGTAATAATTCCACAGAAAATATGACACAGCTTTTGTCTATAAGAAGGAGGGTCCAGGTTCCTATATGAAATGTGCCAACCCTGTATACTTCTCTTAGACTGACTTACATGTTCAAGCAACACTGTGATTGAAAAACAATTCTGTAGCTGTTCTTAAAATGATGTTACCATTTTCACAGAGGTTAAGGGCCATATCTTTAAAATATATATTTAGAGCCATGAGAAATAATGTAACTTCTAAGACTAAATTCAAGATTATCTCGATGTTATAAATAGGACTATATCAGAATATGGGGAAAAGGTTTAAGTAGAATTCTGAGATGAAATCATTATTTATGAACTCGGATCTGAATCTCTGATTTAGGTATTCTTAGTATTTTTCACAAGGCCTATCCCTTTATGCATCATCCTTTCATATTTATTGAAGGCAATAATGACTTACTGATGTACTGCTGTGTCCCTGAAAAGAACTGACATTCAGACATATATTCAGCTGTTGATCAGACAAAGAGCTATTTGTACAGTGTTTTAAATCTGGATGTTTAGTTCTTATTCAGCATTAATTGTGCGACAGGCTGCAGTGTCACTGGAATCATAATATAGGATTTTTCTTTAAGTGGGAAACTCACTGTTTGTGTATGTATATTTGATGGCTTCCGCTGTGTTAAATGATTTTACCACTATTGTGCAGCCCTATTGTTTTGTGAAGGACAGCAGCTATCTGCAGCTATACCTCTGCATACATCCCAGTGTTTAAGTGCCTCAAGCTTTGATAGTAACAGAGATGCAAGACATAGATGAGATTGTGTGAAGCAGTGGGAAACCGCTCCAGCACAATATATTTTCCCCACAACCTTGATTAGTTGTGCAGTATTGGAAACATTTCTTTTTTTTCTTTTCTAAAATATATTTCCAGTCATTCTGGTGTTGAATATACACAATATTAAAATATGTTCAAAGATTGTCTCATGTACCATTGTTTGTGTTAATCATAGTGAGCTCAACATACATATAACAATAATGTGGTCATAGACTAACATTTTCCCAGCACTGTATATATGTATATATATATATATACATTTTTCCAGCACTGTATATGTATATATATATTTTATATCTCTTGAGACTTTACCAATAATTCAGCATTTTCATTTTTTCTGTCTAATTTGAAAAAGCAGGGAGTTTGTTTATACAGGACAGTCAAGACACAACGGTGCTTTACATAAAGTATAAACAAAACTGTAGAAATGTGTATTCATTCATTTTATTCTATGACAGAAACACTGATACTGTGATAGACATCAGCTGTATTGTCCTTATTAAAGAACAGAGAACACATCTTAGCTCAGGTGTGCACAATATCAGAACAATTATGAGGGAAGCCCTGTCGTTCATGCTTTGATTCAAAACCCATGGATGCATGTGACTGCACAATCAAACTCATTTGAAGCTTCCAAAAGGCAGTGAATAAAGATTTCTGTTGACTTTCTCTTTCTGGTCATTTTTGCAGTCAGTAAGAGCACAGACTAATATATGGGACATTATCCTACAGATGGGTCATTTACTACAGTACATTGACAACAATTATACTAATTGCCATCGTATTACTTAAAACAAATATTACATTTAAAAATCCTATGTTATATTGTGTATTTGATTTTATATTTTCATTGCACATACACATATTTATTTATCCTTTTTATTAATAATTCGTTTTATCCACAAACGGAGCAACAGTCACGAACCTCCCCAGGGATAAATAAAGTATTCTGATTTAAACAAATCAATGTATTATTTATTTTATTATATTTGAAATAAACACAATCTCTTACAAAGTGTTTATTTGTTATGGTACTTTGACATTTAGAGGTTATTTTCCTATAGTAAAGCTCATATCTCCAAGGGTCCTGAGAGAAGCTCTATTCCAAACAGTGTGATAAATGGGCTTCAATGTATTGTATTCCAACGGGGCGCCCCTCCTGGCCAATCAGGGTGTCTACAGCAGCTTCGACACCACCCCCCCAGCGGCCGCACAGGCGCACTGAGCTCACAACTGCCATTTTGTGGCAGAGGCTACTCTGCTAAAGCGGGAGAGGGATTAAAACAACTGCGAAGAAACCTGCATTTCTTACCAGGCGGGCAAACTTTGTAGCACATACTCCCTGCTTTCGGTCGAGTTAAAGAGGTCGAGAAACACACAAAAAAGAGGTAAAGTATCACTACTTTTCTGATAAGGGGGGAGTTTGCAGGATCTTTAATCGGCCTCTAGGTGTCACGATGGGGCTCTGGGTCCGGGCAGCTCGTCGGAGAGTGTTTGTCTCCCTCTATCGTTATTGAAAACCCCGTCAAAATACGCTTAAATAACCGAAGTTGAAATAAATATATACACAGCCCGCTGCATTATAAGCCTATCTGTGAATATATCGTCGAAGATAACTTTAAAATACTTCGATGATTTGGTTGAAGAGTTTAGGCCGAGGCGTCCATTTTCTCGCTTCTTTGTTTCCCGTCTTTGCAGCCTTGACGACATGGAAACTGGCGGGTTTAAGTTATCGCCCTTAGCTAACATGAGCTTGTCAGCATTATTATACGCAAACACACACACTATTAAATGAGCAATTACATATCTTATAGTTAACACACAACCCCCCGTGTCGCAATACACCCATTTGACGTTACTTTTAAGCGTGTTGCGTAAGGTAAACATATACATTTATTTAAGATGTTGCAACTAGCGTTAGCCAACAGTTAGCTTTAGGCCTTCCCCACCCTGTGCCCTAAGTAACTCCTAGAAGGAAACTTAAAAGGATCGCAGTGTCAACGTTACTACAGCCAACATTTTTGTTTTGTATTTCGTTAAACTAAGCGTGTTGTTTTCGCGTCTACACCTATCGTTACTGACATGCTGATAGCGAAGTAAACACACGGAGACTATGACGTTTAGGCCAGCGCGGAAAACAGAATGACGAAGCATTTCCAGCAGCACTGTGGTAACAGCGGCCACCGATTCAATGCCAAATGTGTGTTGTCCCAAACATCTCCCGTCGTCGAGTGTTTAATTTATCTTCTTTTCCCCCCGTAAATCTCGCTGGGGTCGGAGCTGGCAGTTGTTGTTACACCCGCCGCCCGCTTGTCTCTTATTCTAAGCCCACCTAGAGCATCATAGCCACAGATATATATTATAGTGTAGAGCTCCCTCTACGACTCGGCTTGGAGAGCTACAAAAATACCGCTATATAAATGCTGTGCATGGAGGCGACCGCCGCCCGTCTGGGTGCTCAGTAACATTACCATGTCGTTGTAAAATTGTTTTCATTAGTTAAAGAATCATTGATGGCCTAACGTCGTACAAAAGCATCCCCAGTTTATACCATTTAGCTACATAAAGACAAGTGTAAATCTACAAACAGATGTTTGTCACATATATGACTATGCAGCTGCTACACTCCTTGTCAGCAATAATAAATACAGTTACCAAGTTGTTTGCATGTAATCCTCAGATTATATTTTATTATGTACTGTGGTTGTTAATTAATCCTTCATCCAAAAATCTGAGTCATGTCGATGTAAAGGCTTATACTGGTGCTGACAAGGTCATGGGTTTAATCATTGTTTGACTAAATATCCAAACTGTTTTATTCAAACAACTACTAGATCTTTCAATCTGGACATATGCCAATTATTGGATCGGGGTGAATTTTCGACTAAAGCCAACAGGGTGAAATCTTCAAAAATATATATTTTAAATTTGATTTCATCACACAGTCTCATCTATATTACTTCTCTTTTCAAAGAGGCCTGTGAGCAAAACATTCCCACACAAGTAACTACTAACTGCTACACAGTAGAAAGGAATTTAAAACTATAACAACAATCATTAAATTAATAAAAATGGAAAAGACTAGTTTTATGCAAGAACTTAAAACTGATTTTGTGAATTTCTGCACTAGGGGTAAATTGGCCCACTGATATCTGACTATTTTTTATATGAAAAATGTCGACATGATACTGATGTATCATGATCTACCACATCAGGATACATCACTGAATTATAACACCACTGATGTATTGTCTCAGCTAAAATATAAATCTTCTACAATAGAATAAAGTGTATTAAGAGCCACACTGATTAAACTGAAGCACTAATACACACACATTTAGGTTAATAATACATTTCAGCCCTGCTTTTAAAAACTAAAGCAAAAAAGTAGGGATGCTCCGATCGCCAATTTTGGGGCCGATCGCCGGAATCAGTATCGACCGTTACCGATCGCCGATTCAATCGAGTGGGCGGGGCCTATGGGGATCTTCCATTTAAAGTGATGGAACTTAAAACTCAGTTAATGGGGCTCATTCACTGGTGCTTCCACAAACAACAACCAACATAATTATTACATTCAAATTAAGTACATTATTCAAGTTTACATTAACTTTGGATAATAACACGGGAGAAATGAGCGGAAGCGCTCTCTTTTCCTCTCTCCCCCCCTCATCGTCTCATGCAGCTCACTGATCCAGTAATGAGTGACCCGACAGTGAAGAATAAATATATTTATAACTAGTTTAGCTTGTTCCAGAGGTAGATAAAATAGCTAATGGCGCGTTTCCACTACACGGCCTCGCTCGGCCCCGCTCGGTATGGCTGGGCCTCGTTAGGACTGGCTCACTTTATGGCGCATTTCCATTACAGTTTAGGAACTGGGGCAGTGTCTATAGTAACGCAGTGTAGGCGGAGCCGTGACGTGATCTTCAGAGGACCCCAGAAAAACAACACAGCCGTTAGCTGTTAGCACTCAGAGCTCACAGCTCCTCATATATGTTCAGAAACTAGACAAAAGTTAAACAAGTACAAACCACAGACTGCCTGTGTCATGGTGAATACAGTCGCTGCTTTATTTATGTCTGTATAGGCCGTTGTTTTGAGTGTGGACGGTCGGAGCATATACTGCGTTAGCTTAGCCAATCTCCATTTAGAACACACGCATTTTAAAAGGTAGACCCGCGATTTTATGAGGCCAGAAAAACTGTGAATTAGGACCCGCCGGCCGGTACTAGGCCAAGTTGAAACGCAACCAACGACAGGCCGCTGACGTCACAGCCCTCTTAAACCGTGCTCCGCGCTGTAGTGGAAACACGCCATATGTGTGTTAGGTCTAACTCTTAGTGTGTTTTGCTCCGCTCACCGTTCCGTCACAGCGGGTGGAGCTGCAGGATTTCTGCTGCACACACGTTGCATACCGCTATTTTACTGTCATTTTCAGACACCTTAAAATACTGCCAGACTGGTGAAGCCATTTTGCCGAGCTTGTTTTGCCGCGCACAGAGAAAGGGGTCATGTATTTTTACGTCATGCGATCGGCTCTCGCGATCGGCATTTTTAGAGAGCACCCCGATCGAGCGGCCGATCGATCGGAGCATCCCTACAAAAAAGTGTTCGTGCTGAAAGTCGCAACGTTTTCTGCTTTGAATAGATGTCCACATAGCAGTTATTTTTGAGTAACCTCAGTGTTATCATAAGTTGTACTAAAGTTTTCTACATGTTCGCACAAATTCATCATGCAGTTTAATTTTTTTGAACACACTTTGTATGAACTGTGATCTGTGAGTTGAATGGCCTTTACCACTAGTATAAGATAACTGGGGCATCCTCAGATCAGCACACATGTCTTTAACAGTTAAAGGTCCCATGTCATGCTTTTCTGGTTATTAACCGTCCCCTTGTGTGTTATGTAGCTTTTTCTGCATGTAAACGGTCTGCAGAGTCACAAACCCTCAAAGTACACCCTGTAGCGAGTAAAACTCTAACACAGAAAATACCTGTCTATGCTGCCCTAGAACGCCTCGTTGGGGATTTCTCTTTTTCCATTGTTTACTTCTTGGGTATAGTGACGCATTTCGGGTATAGTGACGTAACGTAACGTCCGCGGAGCCGTTACGTTTGGACCAATCCGCGGACTTCCTCACGCACACACACACTCGGCGGGACGTTGCGAGGCTCGCTGCTGCGGGGAGCGGAACACTGTGAGCTGGCTCATTGGTGTAAGGTCAGCGAGACACTGCGGAACTCAGCCTGGGCACACACACAAACTCCCAGCCATGCTGCGGGTGTGTATGCCCAGGCTGAGTTCAGCTGTGTCTCGCTGTCTCGCAGACGGCCACTGGGCTCACAGGGAGGGGGGGGGCAGGAGCTCCAACAAGCCGTTTAGGACAGAGAGTGAATACACATACTATACAGAGATGCTGTATGAGAAACCAATGTGAGTTTGGAAAATTGCACAATATAAATGTATTTTAGTATACCTCAACAATGGAATTATGATCAGTAGAAATGGCCATGAGTCATGACATGGGACCTTTAACATTTTCAGAGTTGTGTAGCCTGTCAAATTCAGAATCTCTATAGCCGCTTTCACACCAAGTACTTTGCCGTACTTAGTTCCCAGTACTTAGTCCCGGAACTGTCCTAGTAGATCGTGTTCACACCGGAATAAGTCCCTGAGGGATGATTACGCAAATGAAGCCGCTGACGTCACTTCTTCTTCTTCTGCTTTGGGTTTACTGGCAGGCCGCAAACAACTTCACGGCGTATACTGCCACCCGGAGTCCCCCGGAGTTGGGGACTGGCTTCAGTAGAAGCTGCTGGTTAGCGTCTTCCGAGTAAATCGCCAGAAGCGCCGACACCTCCTCATCACTCCACCGCTCCCATGTCTTCTTTTGTGTTGCCATAAGTTAGTCTCTCTCCGTTGGTGCGCTATGCTAATGCGAGCAAATCAAATGGCGGCTTCACAAAACTTTTCGGAGTTTTACGGGCCGTGGTTTGCAATTCGCCCAGCCAATCAGAAATTGGAACCTTTTCCTCCCCAGGAAAGTACCACCTCTCTAGCAGGAATTATCTGGGGGTGAAAAGGTTCGCATGAACTAGGTTCTAGTTCCAGATCTTTTTGGTGTGAAACCAAAATCCCAGGAACTATAGTTCTTGGGAAAAGTACTCCTTTGTGAAAGCGCCTTATGTGTGAAGAATAATATATGTTCTACTGTGTAACATTTCTCTCTCCCCCTCAGGTTGTCAGGGACAGTCAGGTAGCAGACTTTTGATTCAGCAAAGCTCAGGGCCGTCATCAGGAAAGCAAAAGGAGATCAACTGTATCAGCCCATGCTACAGAAATCATGTTACGGGTCAATTTATCCATGCTATTCAAGGTAACACTAGAAGTGTTAAGAGACAACCATTTCACAACACTGGGTTGTAAGGTTTTCACAATCGCAACATTTAAAACTTTAATACAATACTTGTATAAAGAACACAGCGCTCGTACGGATACCAACTCATTTATAATGGCCTAATAGTATGTTAACAATAAAACATAAACTATTGAATGACCAATTTATAACAGATATCAAAATAAAACGGCTCCAGGTTATTCTGAAAATGTAATCCAACTGAAAAACAATTGCATTATATCCAATTTAAGCTTACATATTTTACTCCCCCAAAAGAAAACGGGTACAACATGGGTATAACAACACGTTTGTTCCAATTTTATTAAGGTGGTTCCTCTATAGATTTTTCTGGACTTGCAGAAAAACTTTAGGTGCCGATCTGTAGGTCTAGTTTTTTTTTTGCTTTTAATATTTAGATTTTACTCTTGCTTCTTAAAAAACAGTTACTTGATCAAGTTATTTAAAATATATTCTTTCGCAAAAGTGTTCTGACAACCTTAATCGATTGTTATGAAAATATCACACTCAAACTCACCTTTTTTACACAAATCTCAGTTCAGAAGTCAGTAATGAGTCGTTAATCAAACAGCATAGAGAACATGCTGTGTTTCCGCTGCATGGTATGGAAGAACTCGAATCTGTGAAGAAAGGTTATTGATAGTACTTTGCACATTGCCTTTTTTTCTACCAATGCAGATTATCCTTCTATTGCTATGTCTTCAGCAAATCTTCTTAGTTTTATGTGATGAATATCTGAACCACCCATTTTAACTGAGGGGGAAACCAGAAGAGAGTAATGTCAAAAAGGGCCTTACCATGGGATGGAAATGCATCAATAGACTGGAACTAAGCTCTGTAAGGCTTAATGTGATTTGTCACCCCCTTACTTGGTCGATTCAGGGCCTTGAACCGAGTTCCAGAGCCCAGTCCCTGCAGACTGAGCTACTGCGGTTTTAAGATCCTAATCGGTTAGTGGATTTGTGGAATTGTAGGAACATTTCCAAATTCTTCCATGGTGTCAGACTAAGCACCGCTGTTCGAAAGCAAACATGTGTCCAGTTGATGCCTTTTGAAGAGGTAATGTAACACACTGATAGATATTTTTAATTCTCACAATGCCATTTTTCAGTTCCTACCCAGTATGGACGGAGGGCCAACAGAGGTTGTAGGGGTGATGGAGGTGCCCTCCATCCAGGCCGTTCACAGCCAGGATGCCATGGTGGCTGACCTCCTCCAGCAGGCTGCAGAGGCCGGCGGCATGTTGGAGGGACAAGGAGGAGTCCTGGAACAAGGTGCTTGCTCATTAGCTTGAAATCGGTCTATATGTGAAGTAAGCAGAGTGTATAGGATTTAAATTTCACTTTTTTGTGGAAAACATGGTTATGTGTTTTATTCATAATGATGTTTTGTTTCAGGTCACGGGGAAGGGATGATGGCAGCCAACCAGGCCCATCAGCAGCTGATGGAGGCTGGTGTGGGTATGGACGGGGGCGCCAGGATTGAAATGATGGTTATGGACTCCCTGGATCCCACCTTGCTGCAGATGAAGACTGAGGTAAGCTCACTATTTATAATTTTGTGTTTAATATGAAATGATAGCTGCCTAGTCTTAGGGAAGTTAAAATGTAGCTGATGTCAAATCAAAACATCTTTTGAACTGAGGAGACCTAATGTTATTTTAGAATGTGTTCTAGGCCTAACATTTCGGAAGCCTAAACATGAGGTTGATTTGCAGGTGATAGATGCTGCATTGGGGGGTGCTGCTCACCAAGCAACTGTAACAACAGTGGACCAGACTCAAATCATCACACTACAGGTAGGTGCTCTTTTTAATTTTGCATGATAGCAACCTCCGGTTATTTCTATTGGACACGTGTTCCTACCTCCTCTCTGTTCTCAGGTGGTGAACATGGAGGAGCAGGCAGCTCTGGGTCTGGGCGAGCTCCAGCTGGTCCAGGTTCCTGTTTCTGCCTCCACTGTGGAGGCCCTGCAGCAAGGCACCTTTGTAGACACTACTGCTATGCCAAAGGACGGCGACCCCGTCATCTGCCACACCCTGCCACTGCCCGAGGGCTTTCAGGTACACATACACGGACATACTCATTGTTATTAAGGAATCAACCAAATTGAATTACATTTCATAAACCTCATTATTGTTAGACAAAGGGTTGAATTGCCTTTACATCAAATTATTATTGTAATATAGATAACTGACTTTAAAATTCCAGAGGATCCTGCTCATGTTGGATCAATCTAAACCTATTTCATCTGTGTTACACAAACGTTTTTATGAAATGTTAAATCTCCACTACAGTAGTTAATTAGCTTACCTTAACTGAATATAAATGGAGGACTAGAATTTAATCAACCTTTAATAGTCACACATGTACACAGTGATCACCAATTGATGAATGCTGTGCAGGTGGTGAAGGTTGGAGCTAATGGAGAGGTTGAGACAGTGGAGCAGGAGGAGGGAGAAGCCCCAACTGAAGAGCAGGATGACGAGGAGGTGGGGAACCAGATGTTGGAAGAGGTGGAGGATGAACACATTCAGCCTCAAAACGAGGACCCAAGCTGGGCTAAAGACCCCGACTATCAACCCCCATCTACAGCTAATAGAAAGTTCAAAAAGGTTAGATATGTTTGTTGTATAGCTTTATTTGTTACTGGAATTTGAGACTATGTGTTGACATGTGAATCTTGGTGAGGACTAATGACTTGTCTGTTGGTTTGTCCAGGGTAAGAGTAGCCTGCGTTACACTGAAGGAGATAAGGACATGGACGTCAGTGTCTATGACTTTGAAGAGGAGCAGCAAGAAGGCCTCCTGTCTGAGGTCAATGCTGAGAAAGTAGTCGGCAACATGAAACCACCCAAACCCACCAAGATCAAGAAGAAAGGTGAGACACGGCTGTATGCTTGACTGATGGCATGATGTCAACCATCTAGCCTTGCACTCTGTTTGTACCCCCTATAAGCTGCTCCTTGCAGCAGTTGTTCTTCCTAAGGTCAACTTTACCATTTTATACACAATGCATATATAGATTCAACATTCAAGGCTTTTGTCATTCGTACATAGCTACAGAGTAGTTATGTCGATGAAAATCTTAAGTCACAGGCTCCTCCAACAGTGCAACACAATAAAACAGATAAAATAGTGCAAGTAAATACAATAAAATAGAATGCAATTTGTCAAATCACATTCCATTTTGTACAGAATGACAATGACTTATCTGTTGTGGGAATTCTTTGGAGCAATACACTGGAAAACAGATTGATGAACAATGAAGGTTTATTGAAAGCTTTGCCAAGAATGTCATTACAAAACCGTACATAGAGAAGTGTTCACGCTGTATGCCCCAGTCAATTCTGCTCTGCATATTTACCCGACTCTTAGACCATGAACATATCTGCCTCGCCCTCTAGTCAAAACATGTCTAGACTCTAAAGAACATGGACGCCAGATTAAGATAAAGATGGATGTCATTGCCTGGTGTGACCCAATACCTTAAAGATTCCTAACATGAAAATAGGCATTCTAACAAAGTAAATATGAAGAAGGTAATGTTTGAAAAAATAATGTATGTATACACTAATAGATGGGAACATTATATACAGTAAAATATTACATACAACATCAGCTGGAAGACGCACAGACTAGCCGTTGACCATTATATTGTGATCTTGCTGTAACAATATCAGTAGTGTATGTATGCCATACTATAAGATTTTGTCACATTGCATCATAATACTAATATGTTATTATAATTTTAAAAGTTTATTTTTTAGCAATGAGATTTTCATATAAACACAGAATATTAGCTTAACTATTAAAGGTCACCTATCATGCAAAATCCACTTTTTCATGTCTTTTATACATCAACATGTGTCCCCTCTGTGTAAAGAGATTCTGAAAGTTTCAGGAAAAAAAGATTCTCTCTCTTTTTGTCCTGATCCATTTATATAAAAACCTGTCTGAAAATGAGCTGATCAGATGTTGGCCACTTTATGATGTCATAACGATTTTTGGCTTGTGTAACCATTAGCTAATCACCAACCAAGGTAACCCCCGCCCACCTTATCACCTGAATCTCCTCCTAGAGCACCATTGTGTTCTTTTTAGGGCTGTCAGTCGATTAAAATATTTAATCGCGATTAATCGCATGATGTCCATAGTTAATCGTGATTAATCGCACATTTTTTATCTGTTCTAAATGTACCTTAGAGGAATATTTTTCAAGTTTTTTAATACTCTTATCAACATATGAGTGGACAAATATGCTTTATGCAAATGTTTGTTTATTATCATTGGAACTATGACAAAATATTCTCCTGAATATTCTCAACACAACGACCTCTGAACAATGACAAATATTCTCCTGAATATTTTCAATACAACAACCTGGAACCTCACTCTCTCTTACACTCTCTCCCAACCCTGTCTACTTCTCTGCACTGAGCCAGTTGCTCAAACAGACAAGCCTGTTTACAGTTGTCGGCGAAATGCCGCTCCTCTGTCTTCATCTTCAGTCAAAGCATGAGACTGAAGTTCCCACTGTGGGTCAAAATAATGCGCTGTGATGTGCAGTCACATCACGGCGCCACCCATTTAGCTATCGCTGTTGTTGTCCAGGCGTCTCCCCGGCAAACTTTCAAGCGTGGTCTGCCGCAAACGAGCGGCAGGAGCGGGCTGTCAGCATCAGCTGTGTGCTTGGCTTGCTGTTTAAAACACCTTTTTTTGTATCCATATCACTCGCTAGAATCTCCCATCATCCAACTAACAACAACAACGTCAAGCCTTTGGGCTCTGAAACTACGGGGCGGGCCGAGGACAAATACACATGCGTTAATCGCACGTTAAAATAATTAGTGGTGTTACAAATTTTTTGCGTTAACTTGACAGCCCTAGTTCTTTTTAACCAAATGTCTCTCAGAGGAGCGTGGGGAGTGGCTCCTTATTTTCATCTAAAGTAACAGACAGAGAATCAGCACTTTTGAAACAGGGCTGAAACAGAGGGGATTATGGGATGCTGCAATGATCTGTTTGGTATTTCAAGCCAAACACTTCAGAGACATGTTTGTATATATATCTGAGAACTATAATATATTGACAGGGGTCTTAAAAAGTCTTACATTTGATAATCAGAATGTAAGGCCTTAAAAAGTCTTAAATATAATCAAAACAATTAGAAAGGTCTTAAATATGATTTTAAAAGGTCTTAAAAATGATCGGATTTGAAAGGTAGGCTACTTCTGTGTTGCGATCACGTCTAAGTGTGTTTTGGGGGAAATGTCCGGGCTGCAAAGTAACCAGTACGGTAACAGGGTGTCCGCGGGGTCTTAAAAAGTATTCAATTTAGTGAAAATTAAGGCTATTAAAAAGTATTAAAAAGTATGAAATGGCATTTTCCAAGGTATTACATTTTGTAGCTTGTTTTGTATAAGTATATAAATTGTCCAAAGAGGTTGTATTCTAAAGTCTGCCTGAATGTAATCATTGCGTAGGTGTGTAGTGTGATTCTGTGTAGTTTATTTATGGCATCCCGTTGGATTTGACCTCATCTGAACAGGACATCGCACGCTCACTGCTTGATAGCGCGCGAAGGTCCGTTTACGCCGGTTGTTAAACAACATCGTTATGGGGAAATGCAAGTTTGCGTCCAAATGGTTGGAAGATAAGGAGGAAGGACAATCAATACTGTATATAGTAAATGTGAGGTAAAGTGTGTCTCCAATGTAACCGGTTAAAACTCCAAGTGGCGATGAGGTCTTAAAATGTATGGAAAGGGTCTTAAAAAAGGTCTTGAAAGGTATTACACACACACACACACACTTTCACGGTTAGGCAGTTCTTTTTTTCCTGGTTTTTGGCTAACACAGTTCTGTCTGCTGTTATGTTCAGTCATCGTTCTTATGTTGAACGTGAATACATTTACTTTGAAAGTAATTATGGGACGTATTTCTTCTTTCCTAGCAATTTTCCTTCATACTTTCTTGCTGTTAAATAGGTCTTAAATTCTATTCAAAGTTTTCTTAAAAAGGTCTTAAAAAGTCTTACATTTGAGTTGGTGAAACCTGCAGGAACCCTGATTGATGAAAAACAGTATAATAGTGGACCTTTTAATGTAAACAAGATCTTAAAATGCTTTTAAAACCTGATGTGACATTTTCTTGAGAATATCGTCTGGGGGTCATATTTCATTGCTATATTGCTTTATATGACAGTTATCTATTACGGGTCAGTGTGTGAAGATTGATCTACTTCGTTTCTGTCCAGTACCAATTGTGCTTAAAGGTCTCCTATTATACTATTTTTAGGCATATATTATAGGTCTCAGATATATACAAATATATAAAAAACATGTCTATGAAGTGGTTTGCTCTAAATACCAAACGGATCACCCATTCTAGCCATGCCTCATATCCTTCTACTTCACCCCGTTAGAGAAATGCTGATTCTGGGTCTGTAGCTTTATACAAAAAAAGGGGGGGGGGGGAGCTTATGCAGGAGAATTCTACCCAGATACTCAGCTAAATGCTGCCATGATTAAACGCCATATCATGTTCAAAACCACATCAAGGATTAGTTCTGAAACAGTATGGAGCTCAAATGCTTTTTGAGGTGAGTTCCTTTTTATTTCCTGCTTTTTTACACATACTCTCTCCAGTACAGGTTAGCTCTGAGTGTTAGCGATTATTGCTAATGTAAACAAAGACCATATTACGTCCAAAACACGTTGCACATTGTTTCCGATAGCAATGTTTCTGATAGAGCCTTGGGTGTAAAGCCAGCCCACATTGCCGATATTACGTCATATCGGCAGCAAATCTGGATCAGCTCCGTTGTTTTTTTTCACAAAACTGTGTCTCAGGGCTTCTTAACATTTAAAAACCTATTAATGTGTCATACCCACTTAACGGGAAGAAACTCAGCTAACTGATGATACGAACCATTTTTACCGAAACAAAACACAAGTCTCACAAGAAGCGTCTAAATGAGCCCTGAGCGAAAAAATGCTAACACACTTAGCACAGAACTCTAGGTATAAATACCCTTATTACATATCGGATCTGCACAGACAACATATCGATTAGCAAGTTGAGATTCCACAGATTCTAGGGGTATAAGTATCATCACTGAGCGATCTGAACTCGTGACAGGGGAAACAAACACAGACATCACAACACTGAGCTTTACGGAGCAAAAACGGGACATTGTCTTACTTATTCTGATCAAAAGTTGTGTTCAATGGCATTAAAACGATAAGAACGCTGCTGAAGGTTAATCCATAGGTTAATCCAATGTGCCTGAAATGATTACTGATAATCCATCTTCATATTTATGTCAATAATGGAGTTTTCATATATAGTTTTACTATGTTTAATCTGAATTTTCTTTAAAATAAAAAAAATCTATATTGATTCTGACTTTTCTACATCCAACTCACAGGTTTATCATTGCTTTGAGAAAGAAGATTATTAATTTACCCCTTTTTAGAAGTGAAGTTATTGTAATTTGTTCTGGGAATGGCATTTTCGAGCCTGAGACCTGAAAAACAGGCTCAGTGCTTAACAGGTTAATAGCTGTTATAAAGGAAAAGGCAATGTTTCTTACTTTGTCAGTACTCTACAGTGAGTTGACATGCAAGGACAGTATCTGGTAATGTTGGGTGATGGATCAGTATTATTTCTTATGAACTTTAAGTGAAATTGTGTTGTAATTATTATTCTTTTTTATTGTTTTTACAAAAAAAAATCTAATTCAGAAAATGAGTTACGTTGAGTATGTTGTTTTTCTCCAGAGAAGTGTGTCCATTGGGTCGTGGAGACAAAAAAAAGCATGTTAAGTTATTAAGTGAGTGTTCTGTTTATGTCATTGTTGTGTGTTAGGAGTGAAGAAGACGTTTCAGTGTGAGCTGTGTAGCTACACCTGCCCCCGGCGCTCCAACCTGGATAGACACATGAAGAGTCACACAGACGAGAGACCTCACAAATGTCACCTGTGTGGAAGAGCCTTCAGGACCGTCACCCTGCTCAGAAACCATCTCAACACACACACTGGTACACATAAGCACACATCTTCATTAAAACTTTAATGAGACAGAATCATTTTTAAGTTCTTCAGTACCATGCAGTGATTGCTGACGTGTCTTTGTTTTGTTTATGAATGCAGGAACTCGTCCACACAAGTGCACGGACTGTGACATGGCTTTTGTGACCAGTGGAGAGTTGGTGCGTCATCGTCGCTACAAACACACACATGAGAAGCCCTTCAAATGCTCCATGTGTGACTACGCTAGTGTGGAGGTAACACAAGCTTTGTGTTTTACGAGTTTGATACACTAAATATGGTGCCTATGAAATGGATGATTTACTTTTTGTTTTAGTGTTCTGATATGTGCTTGTGTGTTTTGTAGGTGAGCAAATTAAAGCGTCACATCCGTTCCCACACCGGTGAGCGTCCGTTCCAGTGCAGTCTCTGCAGCTACGCCAGCAGAGACACGTACAAGCTGAAGAGACACATGAGGACACACTCAGGTAAAAAAGACCACTTAAATCATTTGGTCATTTGATCTTTTTCTATACCTCTCCCCCATTAGTTAACTGCAACTAACTAAACATTTAACAGGGTTCCCGCGGGGTCTTAAAAAGTCTTACGTTTGATCATCTGAATTTAAGGCCTTAAAAAGGTCTTAAATATGACCAAAAAAATAAGAAAGGTCTTAAATATGATTTAGAAGGTCTTAAAAATGATGCGATTTGAAAGGTACTTCTGTGTTGCGATAGCGTCTAAATGTGTTTTGGGGGAAATGTCCGGGCTGCAAAGTAACCAGTACGGTAATAGCCTTTCAGTTCCCCCCAACCATTTGTATTGAAATAAATCAACATGGAACCAGTAATCATTAACTTTGTTTCCCCCGGCCCCTTATCGGAGAACACCCAGCTAGTAACCTAGCAACCAAGCTTCAGCCAACCAGCAGTCAGGAACTCATGTATCTTCGAATCTACTTACAAATAAATATGAGGAAGTGTAAGTTCAACCGTATTTGGTTGGAAAACATCTAATTTAGTGCTTGGTTGAAACCAGTGGAGGGGAACGTGTTTGAAGCCCGCTGCACCTTTTGCAAAAAAAGAGCGTTTGTTTTGCTAATGCAGCGTTAGCTAGTGCAGCGTTAGCTAGTGCAGCAGCTCCCGCAACAACATCGGGGGACCTCCAGGCGACGTTTGGGTCTACGTCAACCCTAAAGGTGGAGGTGCTGTAGACGCTAAATACCGTAGTTAAACACCAATTATAAAACGGACAAGTCAAATCAAGCAATCTGATTGGTTCTTAGCCGTGATATACTGAGCGTATACCACGGGTAGAATTGTAAGTTACTTTTCACAACAAGTCAGTATCCCTCCGCGTCTGAGAAAAACAGTATACTGTACAGTTGGGCAGAAAAGCAAACTGGAACAAGAAAGCAGCGGAGAAGTAACGGGGCAGAAACCCTCCTTTTTCACGCAGCGGTCCAGACATAGACATCAAACGGCAAAAACATATTCAGTGTGCAGTTCCTTTGGCATTAGGACAGGGATATCTAGATACTTTCCAAGGTTTGATATAATGAATTGTGCTACTTTTAAAGCAAGCAACGATGTTTTCAAATCTGTAATCAAAAAGGTCCGCAAAAACATTTAAGATTAACTTCGACCTCCGGGGGGGGGGGGGGGGGGGGGGGGGGTCTTACTATGGAGGAGTGGATTGAGCAGTGCCTATCTCCAGAACAAAAAGCACCTAAACGACGACATGTAGAGCTACGTGAAGAGCAGGTAGTAGACCAACTGGAAAAGTATCACCATTCAAAAGCTTTCTGATGCGGGTCTTGAAACAAAGCAGAGAAATGATGACCGTTAGTGGCCACAGGTGCGAAAGCTCTCTCCAGAGCTACTGGAAGCCGAATCTCGGGGACCGGAGAAAGTGGAGCAATATTCTCGCCACGCCAAGCAACAGCCTAGAACAACCTCAGCCTATACAAGTAACCACGTAAGCCATGCTACTGATGCTGGACAGTTTTTCAGTGGGTGCACAATAAACGGCAACATACACATTAATGTAAATAAATAGCCAAATAATGGATCAACGCTCTCTGTCTAATATGTTCGCTAGCTGTTGTTAGTGTTGTTGCATAGCAACCACCTCGCACTATGTTTCGTGCAGAAGGCAACGAAGGGACTATTTTATTTTGAACATCATTATTTACTAATAAAAACTATTTAAATTAGAGTGTGTATTTTTCTTTCATATTGCCACACTTGGTAACCGTTTTATAAAAGCAATAGCTCACTTCAGGCCGTGATATATGCTCATTATATCACGGCCTGTCGTGAGCTATTGCTTAATCATACAACAGCAACGATGAAAGATTGTAGCCAAGGCAGCAGAGCTCTGAATATAGCTCTTGTCACTCTCACACACACACACACACACACACACACACACACACACACACACACACACACACACACACACACACACACACACACACACACACACACTAGGGCTGCTCGATTGTGGCAAAAATCATAATCATGATTATTTTGGTCAATAATTGATATCACGATTATTAAATACGATTATTCATTGACTTTGAAAACATCCATTTATTGAACTTTAAAACAAATACAAATAATAATTTGAACAGTATCTTTTTAACTGTTGATTACCCTGAATGTATAATTCAACTGAAAAACCAATACAAAAATAAATGATACATTTAAATAAATAATATCAAAATAATAAATACCAATAAACAAGATCAACACATATTTTGGAGAGCACTTCCACAAGCTACTAAACATATATAAATATGATAAATAAAAATAAATTAAACTAAAATTAATTAGATCAAATATGTTGTAGTGCACTGTCACAACCTAGCAAAGCAAAATAATCATTTTTTTCGATTATGTTGTTTTCGTAATTGTGGCAGGCCAAAATCGTAATTGCGATTAAAATATGATTAATTGCACAGCCCGAACACACACACAAGCACACACAGAGACACAAGCACACACAGAGACACACACACATACACACTTTTTGTCTAACACGCTAACACAGTTCTGTACTGTTATGCTGTTATGTTCAGTCATCGTTCTTATGTTGAACATGAATACATTTGCTTTGTAAGTAATTATGGGACGTATTTCTTCTTTCATAGAAATTTTCCTTCATACTTTCTTGCCGTGAAATAGGTCTTAAATTCTATTCAAAGTGGTCTTAAAAACTCTTACATTTGAGTTGGTGAAACCTGCAAGAACCCTGATTTAAATATATACTACATTTTATACCTCCTTCCCTATTGTTACCTCTTGCAAGGTGCAACATTTATTTTTTGTCTACAGGAAATATGACTTGTGAATGTTTAACTTTTACCTACCAGTTAATACAATATTATTGTGTTTGTTTTTTTACTATACTAACCACTTTCATTTTCTACCAGCAATCAGCCAGTAAAATATGAAAGTTGTGGTGCTAATGTGACCCGCCTCTTATTCTTCTATATTGTTTTGTCGACTATGAACATAAATGTGAATGATGATAAACATATGTACATTTTCAATCCTCTTCTCAGGAGAAAAACCTTACGAGTGCTACATCTGCCACGCCCGATTCACCCAGAGTGGAACCATGAAGATGCACATTCTGCAGAAACACACAGAGAACGTGGCCAAGTTCCACTGTCCACACTGCGACACTGTCATCGCACGCAAGAGTGACTTAGGTAACACAAACTGTGTAAACTTATCAGACTGACAAAATAGATCACTTTGCATGTCGTTTTTATTCCCCTCATGTCTTTTATTTTTCTCATCTGTTTGCATTGTAGGAGTCCATCTGCGTAAGCAGCACTCTTTCATCGAGACTGGGAAAAAGTGTCGCTACTGTGACGCCGTTTTCCACGAGCGCTACGCTCTGATCCAGCATCAGAAGTCCCACAAGAACGAGAAGAGGTTCAAATGTGAGATGTGCGACTACTGCTGCCGCCAGGTGTGTGTTCTCTTTTATCTTGAGTTACTTTACTCATAACAATTAAGGAGCAAATATCAGGTATCGGTATCCAAAGCCAGTATCATGTTATTATCAGCAGCAACTTCATTACATTCGGAAAAAATAAACAATTTGGAATCCTGATTTTATTTAAAATAATATAAAGAATAGCAATCAATGAAAAAATGCATACCTGGGCAAAAAGAAACACCTGTAAGTCACATGTTGGAATCATTTCGCTAACTTTAAAGATACACTGTGTTCACAATTATTAGGCAAGTGAGTATTTTGACCATATCATAATTTTTATGCTTATTTTCCAACTCCAAGCTGTATAAACTTGAATGCGTATTGTATTGAAGCATATCAGGTGATGTATTTGTGTAATGAGGGAGGGTGTGGCCTAAGGCAGTGTTTCTCAAACTTTTTCATACCAAGGACCACTTAACCAATAAAAAAACACTCGTGGACCACCTAACCACCCACTCTAACCCTAACCCTAAGCAATAGGCCTGCTTACCACTCCAACAGTTTATAACAAAATACAGCCTAATAATAACAGCTTAACGTGACCTCTCTATATCGCCTCGTTCATACATTAAATCAACAATACAAATACAACTACAGATAATATAAGCCTTTCGTTCAAATGCGATTTAAAAATGCTCTCAGGTTTTACCCCTCTTATGAAATGTAGACTACATTTATTACGGAGTTTATGTCCGAGCCAACAGACTCACAGATCGTTGGCTACTGAGAGATATGCAAAATACACCGCATGTAGTACGACACAAACCTCCACTGTGGATTTTCAAAACAAAATACAGTAAAATATTGTTAGCAGGCCCAAGTTTAACCTGTTAAGCCCTGAGCCTGTTTTTCAGGTCTCAGGCTCGAAAATGACATTCCCAGAACAAATGACCATATCTTCCCTTCTAAAAGGGTTAAATTAATAATCTTTGTTCTCAAAATAATGATAAACCTGTGAGTTGGATGTAAAAAAGTCAGAATCAATATAGATGTTTTTTATTTTAAAGAAAATTCAGATTTTACATAGTAAAAAACTGTAAATTATAGTGTCCGTCCAAAATTCTTTTTACTTATAGTGAAAACTACCCTTGGATGATGGGTTAGTAGACTAAAAGCTTTAGGAATCCAAAGTACAACATATAATAAGTACCCTGTATCAAGATTGATGCAAAACAAGTTAAATTTGACCTTTTTAGAGAGATTTAGCAAAAATAAACCACTTCTGGGGTCATTTGGGTGGATTTGACCTATCTCTGGCCCCCCTTGGTCGATTTTGATGAATGAAATTTCGTTATAACCGTTAGAGCCAATGGAATCGAGGGAAAGTTCTACACACACCAACACGTTAACAAATAAGGAGTGAGAGTGACCAAAACCGGAAGCTGCATACCATTGGCTGCGGTGGCTACCATTAGCAGCTAACTTTTTTTCTCCGATTTTTACATAAAAATGGAATTATGGATTATAAATAATTTTAGCGAGGCACACCTTACGTGTTGTTGTTAGCATCTGGTGCTAGCTAGCTGCGCTAACGGATATAAGGAGCTGTTTCAATGAAAACAGAGGAGCGACATTTCGCCGACAACTGCGCCGAGCACTTGACTTTATGCAGGTAGCCAGACAGTGGGACATTGTACGAAAAGTCAGCACACTCAGCACGGATAGTACGCGCTACATGATTGCAGCGTCCAGGCATCGCCCGTTCGAGCATATATGCCTTGAGCTGCACATAGCTCAACGATCCATCACAGTGTCTCCACATTCTCACACACACACACACACACACACACACACACACACACACACACACAGTATTATTGTATGAGAGAGGTTCCAGGTTGAATTGAGGCGAATATTTGTAATGTTCAGAGGTTGTTGTGTTTAATATTCATGAGAATATTTGTCATTGTTCAAATGATAAAACAAACATATAAAGCATAGTTGTCCACTCATATGTTGATAAGAGTATTAAAAACTTGAAAAATATCCCTCTAAGGTACATTTAGAACAGATAAAAAATGTGCGATTAATCGCGATTAACTATGGACAATCATGCGATTAAATATTTTAATCGACTGACAGCCCTAGTAATAAGGGTATCTTTATCTTGAGTTGTGTGCTAAAGTGCGTTGGCATTTTTTCGCTTAGTGCTAATTCAGAGGCTTGGTATTACCCTTGTTTTGTTTTAGTAAAAATGGTTCATATCTTCAGTTAGCTGAGATTCTTCCCGTTAATCTGGTGCTACACATTAATAGTTTCATAAATGTTAAGAAGCCCTGAGACACAGTCTAAAAAAAAATGGTGGGGGGGGTCCACTGGGGGGACCCTCGTGTAACTCTCTGAGGTCTAAGCCATTTTTTCACATGTTAGGCTCGCCTGGGCTTTTTTTTATAAAAATGCTATTAAAACATGAACCTTGGTGACCATTGGGCTGGCCTGCATGGTCTGCCTACAAAACATTTGCAGCCCCAACAACAGCCTCTGATCATCAACAGACGTCATGCAATGCTTCATTGGATGCATAGATTAGATAATAATCTCTATCTAACTCCTAACACATCTAAAACTACTTCCAGCATGGATAAATGTTCATCAAAGACATCCATTGTTTGTTTTATACGCTTCTTGAAATCTAAAAAAAAACACATTGTTTTTCTAGAACAGATTACAAATCGCCTGGAAATGGTACAAACAAGTGGCAAAGTGTGGCGAAGGTGTTGCGCTGGGCTATATCGTGCAATCGAAAGAGAAACTTAAACTCGCTCCTTTGTGGAGATATTCCCGCGAGAGTGCGGACATTTTATATTTATTTATTTATTTCAAATGTGAAATGTTACCAATATACTCACGGACCACTAGGGGGCGCTCACGGACCACACTTTGAGAAACACTGGCCTAAGGAGATCAAGACCCTATATCAATGTGTGCATAATTATTAGGCAGCTTCTTATCCTCAGGCAAAATGGGCCAAACTATTTATTTAACTAACTCAAAAATTGTAAAAAAAAAAAAAAAATCAGAGGGATGCAGCAATCTTGAAATTACAAAGATATTGAGGCGTGTTCAGAAGACCCTCAAAGGTTTGTTGCAAATAGTCAACAGGGTGGCAAGAAACGTGTTGAGAGAAGAGACGCAAATAACTGCCAAAGATCTGAGAAGAATCAAACGTGAAGCCACCAGGAAGCCATTATCCTGCACTGCTGTCTGGGAGGCTGTGGTTGCTGCGGCAACAGGTGATCGTCAACAGATCAACAAACTGACACACTCCACCAATGGAAGGCTTGTGACTGTTATTGAAAAGAAGGGTGGCTCTATTGGTCACTGATTTTATTATTTGAAATGTCAGAAATATTTATTTGTACATTTTGAGTTGTTTGTTTTATTATTCTCACTAACAGATGAAGTGGGATGGGATATGTTTTATCTTTTATTCAGTTGCATATTCATACTGTACACTAATAGTTGCCCACTAATTGTGCACACATAGATATTCTCCAAAGAAAGCCAAAACTCCACTTTCCTAAATATTTAGGTTTGAAGTTTATTCACCTTTTGGATTGACCGAGAGCACTGTAGTTGTTCAATAATAAAATAAATCCTCAAAAATACAACTTGCCTAATAATTGTGCAGACAGTGTATGTGTGGGTTCAAACACAACGTTGTTTTTTTTAACAGATCTAAAAGTAAATACCTGTATATAAAGGCTGTAACAGTGAAAACTCATATTCACCTTTTTATGTCAAACCAAAATGTTTTCTGTATAAAATAAAATGTAAGTTTTGTTCTAATGTGTAACTTTGTTTTTCAAATGTGCCCCATGCTTCTGTTTCCAGGAGCGTCACATGGTGATGCACCGTCGAACCCACACCGGAGAGAAACCGTACGCCTGCAGCCAGTGTGAGAAGACCTTCAGACAGAAGCAGCTGCTGGACATGCACTTCAGACGCTACCACGACCCCAACTTCATCCCCACCGCCTTCGTCTGCCCTAAGTGCAGCAAGACCTTCACTCGCAGGGTAAACCCACTCCCATCTGAAGTGTGGCTTAATAACAGTCAGCAGCCTATCTAAAAGTATTTTCTTGTAGAACACCATGGCTCGCCACTCTGAGAACTGCAACGGTGAGGTGGATGATGCCGAGAATGGATCTCCAACCCCGAAGAAAGGGAGGAGAGGAAGGAAGAGGAAGATGAGGACCAGGAGAGATGAGGATGACAGCGGTGAGAATTTGATATTGCACGCAGTTGTGGGCATGGTGCTGCATTTGCTCTTTTCTCATTTGTTTATCTGACATCTGACTGTGTTATTTCGCTGTCATGCAGAGGAGGATCATGGAGAACTGGATGAGGAGGACGAGGATGAGGGTGAGGGTGAGGAAGAAGAACTGCTACAAGAAGAGGAGGAGCCAGAGGACATGGAACTGGACCAGGCCCCTGCCGCCATCCCAGTCCCGGCTCCTGACGAGCCACCAGTCAAGAGAAAACGAGGCCGACCCCCAAAGAACGCCCCCAAGCCCCCAACACCCAGCAAGTCTGCCCAGGTGTCTGCCAAGGCTGCTGCTTCTGGTGAGAGCACTGACAGGAGTGATTGGACAAGAAAATAGAGCAGTTTCACGGGAAACGGGATGTATTTAGTCTATGGGTGGGGGGGTGGTATATAATGTATATGTTCTGTAAAAGCACATGCCCTGTATATATATATCTAACCCTAAGTCTATATTTAGTGTGATTCCTGTCAGTCAGGGACACACTGCTGACTGAAACGATCACTGTAATGCAGCTGGTGAGAACGATTCGCCTCAACATTTCAGACTGGATGTTATTTTGCTGAACCGTACATTACACAAACAAAGGCAGGCTGGAGTGATCTATTGGGAAAAGCTTTCAGAACGGACGCTGTGTACAAGAGTTGTTATTATGTGTGTCAGTCTGCTGTAGAACTAAATATCTTTGCTGCCCTCCTGCATCCATTCTTCCTGTTATAGATTAGATTAGTGTGTCTTAATTAAACAAGGCATACAAATACATTCATTTCAAAAAGAGTAGAAATGATTAGATTCAGCTATTATCCCATATCCTCGGAAGGTACACACATAACAATGAACTTAAAAACACAACATAGTCTTTATCAGACTAACACTTATCAGACGGATCTAGAATTTAACAATTATTTCAATTTAAAAATAAAAGAACAATCAGGTTAATGTTGACAAGACTGGTTGTTTGATACAAGTCTGTGCACGTTTGATCTCAGCTAGAGGCATATTCCAATGCTTTATGACAACATACACAGCGTTTGGATGAATGCAGAAAGAAAATGTCTCTCATTCCAGCATTATGGTACTGCCCTGTGATTTGGCAAAGGTTCAGGCATTACATTTTCTTTTTATTTAGCTGGTAAAGTCATGCTTTAATCTTAGTCTTGACATGAAAGACAAAATAAACTGAATATAGGTGCAGCTCTGAGGTGAGTCTTTGTGTTTGCAGCTGCTGCCATCATTCAGGTGGAGGACGAGAGCACCGGAGCGGTGGAGAACATCATCGTGAAGAAGGAAGAGGGCGACGGCTCTGCAGCCCCCCTGGAGCAGGAGGGAGCCCTGACGGTGGAGGGGCTGGGGCTGGACGGGGCGGGGGTGGAGACTGTGGAGCTGGTTGTGAACGAGGAGACAGCGGCCGCCGCCAACGGAGACCTGACGCCAGAGATGATCCTCAGCATGATGGACCGGTGAACCCCACACCGGACCATGAGTGAAACTGGCAAACACATAAACATTTCCACCCCCCCGGCCCACCCCTTATATAGCATCTACGTCAGATCCTAATGGTGGCCATTCAAGTGGATGCTAAACCAACCGTGCAAAAGAAGGGAAGCCGCATGTAAATACTCACTGAAATAACTTCACATCCATGTACACGACACACTGATGTCTGTGGGTCTCAGTTACACACACACACACACACACACACACACACACACACACACAGCAGAGCACACACAGATGTCCTCCCAGACTGCTCTCTGCTCTTATTTCAGTTTGAATGTCTTCTGAATGAATCATCGTGTATTTAATACTTTGTTCTACCCAAAGCCACTTCCTGTCAGTCTCTAACCAAACTCTGCAGCTACTGCTCAGCTCTGAGAATTATTTGATCACATTTCACTTTGATTTCCTGTTTGCTGTTCTTGCAACTATGCTGATTTAGCAAATTCCCAGCCTTTATATTTGTATATATAGATTGAAATGTAGTTTTTCCTAATGAAACGTAGTATATGGTACTTGGGTTGAGAAACACCTTGCTTTCAGTCATATGGGCTGTATATTTTTGGCTTGTTTAACACTTGGTCCATGTTTTGGTATTTCAATATTGAGGCTTTTATAGAATGAAGTTACGGGGATTGTTCTTCATTCATGAGCAAACGTGCAGATCCATCTAAATGAACAGAAGTCAGTGATCTAGAATGATTCAGCTTTCTACTTCATCTTTTTGACATTCACACTGTCAAAGTTGATTCAGTTTCCCATCAACAACATCATTGTTTTTCAACAGTTTTTATTTTGTCTGACCTCGATGCTCGAAGGAATTGTTAATGTTCGTCCTCCTCGTGTTCCGAGCTTTGAAAGAGGTAGCTTGGTTAAAGAAACTGAAAATGATGTAGTTGGCAAAACGCTGTACCATAGTTGTGATCGTGAACATTCCAAATACTTCAAAACACATGAAATTATGTCTATGCATTTCAATCATTTTACTAGTAAGTAATAGACAGAAACACTCTCGAACATTTCATGATGATACCAGTCGCTCTTTATTTTTCTTTAAATGAATTCAATTTATGGAACAGATACTCTAAACCAGATTGTTAAGAATATCTAAATAATCTATGATCAAAAACTGGCAGGTGTTTTTGCATGTAAATACACATTTGCTTTCTGATTGATCCTAATATGTATAAATGCCTGATTGGGAGATGTGTTGGTGAAAGGGACATCGAGGTTTTCATTTCAATGGTTAACATGTTGGGGTCACTCATGTCCTGTCTGTTTCCCTCCCATCAGGCTGTCCTCCAGAAGAGCCCCTCTAACCAGCCAAACTGGATGGAACTAATCTGAACCACTTTCAGTTTCTGAGTGTTTTCTGTTGTTCAAAGATGTGTTCAGATACAAAACGGTTTTCACTTTGACATTTTTCATTTCGTAGTTGCTTAATGCTGATACTGAGATATGTCCTCTCCATGTCCCTGATTTATGCAAAACAAAGGTTTCAAATCATCTGAATCAAGGTTAGAACAAAGAGATCACCGTATGATTGGAGTCGTCTGAAGATGTAAATCCAGAGGTATTTCTTCTAAGTGTGACCACAGGCTATGATGGTTGAATGTGGCCTTCCTTTTATAACATGTTATAGTTGCATAGAACCATTGGTTAGATCGGCCCAGCACTGTAAATAACCATGGCAACAGAAAGATAGTAAACATTTTGTAAGAATCTTTAAACAAACAACAATTGTGTGACTTTGGTCTGAGATGTCATTCTGTAAAAGGAGAATAAAATGTCCTGTCATCACCCTATCATCGTCATCATTATGTTCTGCAGGCGGACGGACGGAAGATGGATGTTAAGACTGTTTTCATAGCAACAACAGCATTGTTTTTTTGTTTGCACACTGCTTATTTGTTGCGGCAGAATAAATTAAAGAGAAAAGTTTTAAAGATTTTGAACACATCCCTGTTTTCAGACTGAGAGAACAGGAGAAACCTTAGTCATGTCATTATGGAAGATGAGACACTGTACAGCTGATAAAGAATAAAATCATCCCATGTGCCCATGTCTGCCGCATCACTGTTTTTATTCATACTAGTAATAGCACACAATGGCTCTGATCTTATCCTATATGTTTTCTGTTTGTATATAGACCATAGGGATGGAGGCAGTGTCATCTATTGTATGAAGCTAAATGTTCAATAAGGGAGACTACCTTTACATTCATTCATTTCTCTTATTCTCCAGCTGCATCTAATCAACAGAGTATGGGCGTCCATTTTTTACTTTCATCTCAATACCCATTCATCATGCTGCTTTCAGATTTTCAATCTGTTCTCTCTCCTACCGTCAGCTGTCATTTCAGGCGCAACAGATTCCCCTGAACAGAGTTCAGGAACAGGTGGAGGTAAATATCACTCAAATGTGTGGTCCTTCATTAAACAGACTGATTAAAAAACGTGTTAATTTAGGTTGTAGATTCCACGTTTGGCAGTGTAAAAACCCTGGGGGACCCACCCTTTGTTTAATTTTGGGATAGAAAAAGTCCCATAATCACTGATATATGTGAGTCAAGACTGTTCTGAAAATAACTGGAATTGAATTAATCCAGTTTCCTAACTCCTCAGGTCAAAGCTTTTAGCTCAGTGTAAATATACTCTGAGGGCTTCAAACTCCATCACACTTGTTAGGTTGCACACTGGACCATGATTGACTTCTTAACTAGTTCTTCTGTCATGAATCCAACTAATGCGTGTTAAACTCAGATTCACAGACAACATCCAATAAGAAAAGTACATTGTAAGTGATTATTAGATAAATATGCCTAGGCCCTTGTACAAAGTGAACACATTTTCTTTCAGTCTTCTTTATACTTTTCAACACCTCAAAGATAATCTTTACTCAAATACAAATTTGAAAGATTGTGGTACACGATTTGTGTTTGAATGCAGGTTTGGTACCCCCTGGTGGTTAGAAACAGCCCCGCATATAAACAGAAGCTGTTGGTCTTCTATGATTTTCTGAAATACGGTTCTTCTTTAACTCCTGTAATTAATTAATATCTGTGTATCCCCATAAAGCATTCAGTGTGTTGACAGTTTGAAGTGAAACTGCAGACAGGTTGGAGGCTTCTGACACCTTCAGTCATCTCTACCTTCACGACAACAGTGACTCACAGCATGGAACAGGAAGTGTGTGTGCAGAAACTGTGCAAGCAAGGAGAGCTGATGTGTGCAAGCAGGGGTGGAAAAAGAAAATGGGTTGTCAGTGCATCTGTAAAACGGTAGTGCTGGTGGTTTCTGTGTGTGTGTGTGTGTGTGTGTGTGTGTGTGCGTGTGCGTGTGCGTGTGCGCGTGCGCGCGCGTGTGTGTACTAACACCTTCCTCCTCTTGTCTCCACTCCTCAGCTGACGCTGGATGTGACACTGTTTTTCTGATTGTTTTATTCAGATCAGATTTTTTTTAATTTACAGATATGTTTCCCTCCAATATGTCTTCCTCTAGTGAAGATCATGTTCTGTAGAATCAGCCTGAGGAGTTTTCACTAGTTTACTTATCTTGGAGGCGATCTCATCTTGACTTGTTGGTGCATTTCTTTATAATAATGCTATTGTCTCATTAAAGTCTCTACAGGATGGACTCCGTCTCTCAGAACCTGAAAGGTAAGATGAGCCAACTTTACATCAATGATCTTTACTTAGAGTAGATTTGATATACTTTATTATTATTATTATTTATTACACAATAGGACATTATTTTGTCCCCGCAGCTTGTTAACAGACATTACACACAAGTTAAACATATAATAAACAACTTAATATATACAGTACATCTCAACAGATATATAGATTATACATTGTTGAATTAAAGAATTAAAGCTATTAGATATATGGAGAGAATTGAAACCACTTGCAAAAGGTATTCCTGTTATTCTAACACATTCAAGAAATTATCTCGAATAGATTACTTTTTGATTTCCTCAGAATTGCGTACACAAATGTGGTGCAATACATGGCTGCAAGATGAAGAATTCGTAAAATATATAGGAGGACAGATCGACGAGTTCTTTTAAATAAATACTAAACAAACCTCTGCCTGTACGAGATGGGAAGCTTTTAACGCTTTCCTGAGAAGACATAATCATTAGTTATACAGGGTCAAAGATACGAGAGGAGAGATTAAGATTGGCAAACAAAACAAAAACTCTTCAGGAAGAAGTCTTTGAGAAAAGTAATCCTCAACTGGAAAGTGAGTTACTAATTTTGAGAGCTGAATATGATCAACTGTCAGCTTTTAGGGCTGCCTATAGTCTTTTAAGACTCAAACTAACTTTCTATGAACAAGCTGATAAATCAGGCATTAGCCACTAGCATGGCAGATTAAACAACTAGAAACCAAAACATCACTAACAATGACAATGGTCGGATTGTTGTGGATCCTACAGAAATTAATGATGCATTTAGTGACTACTATAAAGATCTTTATAATATAAAAAATGAAACTAATGTACGAAACATGAATAGATTCTTAGATTCACTATCAATGATCCAAAGGGAACATAAAGAAGATCTAGAGCGAGACGAGAGATTGGGCACACCAGATGGTCTTCCAATTGATCTGTATTAAATATTTCAAAACAAATTGCTTACACCTCTAGTTGAAATGTTATTGTTATTGTTATTATGGGAAGGTAAGGTTTCCACAACGTAAGGAGGGTGTTTAAAGGCACGGACACACCAGGCCGATTATCGGCGTCGGTGGGCGTCAGGCCGACGATGAGCGTCGGCACGCCCTACTCAGATTGGTGTGTCCCGCACCGTCGGGTCTTTTCAGCCATGCCGACACCTTTTCGGCCGAAAACCCCGGCGGGCAGTCGGCAAAAGAAATCACTCTGATTGGCTGTTCAGCTTAGCGAATCAGTGCATGAGAAGCGAAACGGAAGTGAGGGACCCAAACAAACTATTAAGAAGGCAAATCTGAGATTTCATTTAACTCCAGCTCTCGACACAGGTTCGGGAAAGCCCCATGAGCTTCTCGCTGTAGAGTGAAAATGGAACGCACACGCTATTTGTTGTTTGTTTATATCACGCAGTCCGTTCTTCTTCTCTCGGTGTATCACGCAGTCTGTCTTCCGGTTGTTGCCTCTTTTGAATGACGAATACACACTACCGCCGCCTGCTGGTAAGGAGAGTTATGCGCAGTTCGTACGCCGTTCTGTAGAGACTTGGCCGCTGGCTGAAGTCTTTGTGGTGTGTTCCAGTGCGACACATGGCCAAAACGCAGAGACGCGAGGCGACGCAACAGTCGGGGTCGGTCTGTGTCAGTTCTTTGTTGTCAGATTGGTGTGTCCGGGCCTTTAAACCCTCTGGAGTCGGTGGACGCGCCGGCGAGATATATTTTCGATTATACGGAGTAGAAATATGATTCAGATATCCGCGGAATCGCTGGAAGTTTAGCTTTCCACCGGTAGCCTACCTCCTGTGAGACTGTAACCAGGGCTGAGCCAATATGGCCGCTCAAAGCAGCTTGACTCGGCGTTACACTGTGTAGGATTGGTCGATTCGTGTGTCCGTCAAGGAAATCTCGGCCGGCAGCCATGATGGTCTGAAACGACCAATGGACACTCGAGAAATCACTAAGGACCTCCCTGCCAAGAAAAAAAAACATAAACCACACGTGGTTCCCAGCTATGGGCTTAGATATGTCTCATAATTATTTGTGTGAACATAAAAATAATGTGTGTAAATATGTGATTTGTAAATGTAAAACACCATCCACAAATGCATTTAAAAGATTTGCAAACTCACAAATAAATTTGCAAATGTAAAACGGATCTGCAAATGCGCTAAATATTTTTACAAATAAAAAAAAGATCTGTGAATATCTCTTTAACATTGACAACTTTCGATCAGGCATTTGTGAATCCATTTTGTATTTGTCAACCAAAAATGCGCTCATGGATCTGAAATCTCTGCTTGTGGATCTCAAATCTCTGCTTGTGGATCTCAAATCTCTGCTTGTGGATCGTCTTTTTACACACACGGAGTTTTGAGACAAACTTTCCGCCGGTCTCGGCTAAAATCTACTCGTGTCACTCGGTTATTTTCGGAAACCACGTGATGGCCTGCTGATGACGACATTTCCGCATGGTTTTCAAAGTAAGAGCATGATGGTTTGTTTAATGCACTGTTTTTTTAATGAACAGCGGAACGTTAGATGCATTCTTTATCACCATCATCATCATGTTATAGTGATACAGTTAGTTTGTGTTAGTTTATTGGTTCAATTTTCTTGCTGAAATCCAAACAAATAGAAATATTTCAAAACCAATAAGTATTAGCAAAGGCTGCAGACAAGGTTTGTTTAAACTAGCAGTTAATCCTCTCGCGATAGTGGTCTGTTCAAACCCTCAATTTAGTGGAATAACATTAGGCCCGATTGAACTCAGAATCCCCTTTATGCTGATGACTGTGATGGAAACTTCTGAAGCAATGGAGTCAGGACTCAGAGACACGGGGAGAGCAGGAACTTTGATGGCAAACACTGATGGTTTATTTGGAGCTTCGGCCGGAGAATTCACAAGACATGTTCTGAGCCATGAGGTGGCACAGAGGTTGCCAAACCAATTCTGAAGATCTCTACCTCAGACCCATGTATTTAGCTGGTTCTGAGAGAATAATCAACATGCTGCATAACAAGATAAAACAAGCAAAGCACAATAACTCCTATCAGCTGAAGCCAGCAGGCAGGAACAGGGAGACCAAACACTGAGAGCACAGCCAAGGCTCAGGTGCTCAGTGAGGGCATTACACACTGATAAACTGGGTCAAAGTTATGGGCCTAGGGAAATATTTCCCCAACAATGACATCATTTTATTCATATCCAAATTAAAAGAAAAAATATATATATCTATAAAGAATCCAAAGAATACACATTATAAAATAAAAAGAACATCTGCTACTAAAACAAAAATTGATAAACATATTATACTCTACACGTATTAGGAAACGATAAACTCTGTACGAAACCTAATTTTCCCCTGGGATGAATAAGATATTTTGATTTCAATATACATTTAGAAAGTGAGCGAAGTATTTTCAGTTTTTAAAATGAAAATAAAATGTTAAATGCAATGTGAGTACATTGCATTTCAAATGTATTTCCCAGTGTATTCGTACTGTTTTAGGGAGGTGTTGATTTACTTCATGCTTATATTGGAAGCTGTCCTTTTTCATGTCGTTGAATTGTCTGTTTCATCAATAGGGGTGTGCTTAATATGTTAGTCTAAACATGCAGAAAGGCTGATATGTAAGCTCATATGTGATATATACAATTGACATATTTAATGCCAGAAATGGAAGCGTTTGACTTTTCATATAACTATCAAACATTTGAAACAAGTGGATAACCAGTTGTAGAATAAACAGGACAATAATTCATGCAATGTTATCTTTGCATATATTTGCTCCTCAGAGCTTTTGTTTTTTTGTTATAAAGGTCAAACATTAAAGGTCACAGCTGTTTCCATTGTAACAGTCAGTGACAAAGAGAAGGACATGACTCAGTCTGTGGTTGGTTAATCATCTTTGAACCGAGAACACAGGGTCTGTTGTTTTTACAATATTGCTTTAATTATGACTGATATATTGCTAAGATGTTCCGAAGTCTTTACAACGGAACATGTTCTGGGATTTTGCTCATTTGCTCAAGTTTCCCTGCCAAGCCCAACATTTAATTTGCTAAATGTGTTGATCTACTAAGGTGCACCCAATACAGGGAGAGTTTCAGTCATTTTAATCATCATTTTAAGTGAAAGGATAACACAATTTGGAAGCATTTAAGGTGAAGAGAAATTGAATTTAACTTAAATTCTCTGAAAATCTCAAGATACTCAACCCCAATTTGCACCCATAGGCATGTCTAAGATTAAGAGTGTATAAATTGATTTCAAAAGGGACACATCTCTTCAAGACATCCAGAAAAATTCATAATAAAGCCACAACAGTAGAACTTTAATAATTTAAAGGTGACCTATTATGCAAAATCCACTTTTTCATGTCTTTTATACATAAACATGTGTAAAGAGATTCTGGAAGTATCAGGAAAAAGATTCCCTCTCTTTTTGTCCTGATCCATTTATATAAAAACCTGTCTGAAAATGAGCTGATCAGATTTTGGCCACTTTATGATGTCATAACGATTTTTTTGGCTTGTGCAACCATTAGCCAATCAGCAACCAAGGTAACCCCCGCCACCTTATCACCTGAATCTCCTCCCAGAGCACCATTGTGGGTTTTTTAAACTAATCATCTCTCAGAGGGGCATGGCCAGCAGCAGCTCATTAGCATTTAAAGCTACAGACACAGAATCAGCACTTTTGGAACAGGGCTGATGGGGTTATGGGAATCTTTTCTAGAGCTGAAAGTGACGTTTTCAGCTGTGTGTGTGTGTGTGTGTGTGTGTGTGTGTGTGTGTGTGTGTGTGTGTGTGTGTGTGTGTGTGTGTGTGTGTGTGTGTGTGTGTGTGTGTGTGTGTGTGTGTGTTTGTGTGTGTGTGTGTGTGTGCAGATGAGATCTCTGAGCTGCTGAATCCTCACAGAGTGTGTCTAGTGACTCCTGTCATCCTCCACCCCCCCACTCAGACATGTGGGAGGTCGGCCAGCAGGTTTGTGGTGAGTGATGGACACTAAAGATGTTCTATGTAATATTAAGTATATTGTGCTTATAAATGTTATGTATATTTAGAAATGTTGTATTTTCTTTTGACTTACTTATTTTTCCCGGGGAAAATAAAGTTTTCTGAATCCGATGATGTGAAGAAAGGAAGTGTTGCATATCCTTGAGTTTCAGATCATTTTGTTGCATACAAAGTGTACCCTGCCCTTAGATTCCTGAACCATTCATTGTTCACTGTCACTTAGTTTGAGGCATTTTGTACATTTTTATCTAGGAATATGTAGCTATAAAGAGCAAAACTTAAATGAGTTATGTTGACACCTGCACAATCAACAAATATCACACAACTCACCAACTAAAACACAGTTTCCCTGGTACAGCACATCCAACACAACATGCAACAACCTCTGTAGTTCCAGAGGGGGGGCTGTGGTTCTGTCAGTCCCATTTCTAACGTCCTGTTTCTCTCATCAGGTTCTGAGTCTGTGGAGAGGTTACCTGTTTAACAACAAGCCACCTGTCAGGGTAAATCACAGCTGTTCCATTTTACACCACAGCTACACTCGATTGCACATTTTATAATGAATACGGTTTTATTTTTCTCACTGCTTTTCACCATGAACTGCTCATTCTGAACCCTTGCAGGCCACAGTGTGAGTTTTCTAGTGGCAGGAGTTTCTTTTTTTAAGGACTATTATCTTATGTTGACTTTTACGTGGAATACTTTTACATCTTCAAGCCTCCAACAGTTACTCAAATGACACATATCGGACGTTTTAAAATTCAGGGAGTTATTTTAAAAGTAATATAAAATGCAACTGGTTTTTATTTGATCTAATTTCCTTTTTCGCCACCACAATTGAATGGATGAGGATAGATTGTCGTTCCTGGTACTCACTGTCTGAAAGAGAAACTGCTGTTGAATGATTTTTTTCTCATTTACTTCTGTGTGCGTGCTTGAATGTGTACAGATGGAGAGCACCTTCAGCTACTTGGAGATTTGCTCCATCAACATTCACAGTCTCACTCAGGTACACTGTCATTTATTTCTATCTGAACTATACTTGTTTAACATTTGTTTATATGTATATCTATGTTTTATCCACTGAAGCACTGGATTCCATGTTAAACAGCAACGGTTAATATGAGAGCAGTTTACAGTCGTCATTGTGAACAAATATGATGTAAATGTTATATTTCCTTTCTATAATACAATATGACAATGTGCATGTGCTTCAGGTTGTGTTGGAGACAGACCGGCAGACTCTGTCCTTCAGTGTTTTGCATGTTGAGGATCTGGAGGCCATGGTGTGTCACATGACTGCCTCTCTGAAGAGGATCTTCCCCGACTCTTCTCCAGGGTGGGCTGCTCCACCTGCTTCATGTCTCAATGCTCTGCCTGAACACACAGTAACACTAGCTCAAACACATACACTGTTTACATTTGAGTCATCACACACATACCTTCTCTTTTCAGACCAGGCAGATACTGAAAAATACTACCATATCAAAGAATCTCTACACACAATGTATTTACTTTGTCTTGCTGATTTTTCATTGAGCGGAATCACCAGCTCAATGTTTCTTCTTTATGACAAAAAACCTGCATAACTAATGATGTTTAAGTAATAAGTGCTAAATAGCAAATGTTAGAATGCTAACATGCTACGCTAATATGCTAAGAATAGTGAACATTGTAATCATTATATGTGCTGAACATAAACATGTTAGCATTGTCACTGTACGCATGTTAACGTGCTGCTGTTAGCATTTAGCTCTTAACCCCAGTGAGTCTCACTGCGCCTCACAGAGCTTCTAGCATGGCTGCAGACTCTTTGTCTTGTTTGATGATGTCAGTATTTAATGTCAGGTGATCTCTTGCCCTCTAATCTTCAGAAAGCTGCTGAAGACGGTTCCTGCAGATCTGCAGCAGAGAATCCTCACCCTGACGGATGAGATCGAGGAGCAGCTGAGCAGCCGGCCGGGCTCCTGTGGTGTGTTCCCTCCACAATACACTATACTGTATATCAGGGGTGTCCAAACTTTTTTGACCGAGGGCCACATCCATAAAAATATACAAAGGGCTGGGCCACTCCCTAGAGGTATATGGCCTCATAAGTTAAGTTATAAGTCAGCAAAAGCTGCCAAATGTAGGTAAATTATGCTTGATACTTGAATATGCTTTATGAAAACAAACAGCCTACATCCCAGCTCTCCATAGGGTTTTATTTATTTTGTTGGCAGCTAATTCCTTTCAAGCTTGTTATGTAAATAAGTTATTGGGCTTTTTTCTTATCAACTTTGATTTTTTAGGAATAGTTTTCAACTTTAATTGACTGAATGTATTTGAAACATTTGGCTTATTGACTCATGAATACTACTGTGTAATATATGTTTGCATTTATATTTGAGAAGCACAATATAAGACAAGCACAAGTTTCATTTGTGGGCCATATTTCATTATACCTTTTGAATTTGCTGAGGGCCGATTCAAAATGGCCCGCGAGCCGCATTTGGCCCCCGGGCCGTAGTTTGGACACCCTTGCTGTACATCACTGTGAGAGGCTGGAGGTGATAGGGCCAGCTACCATCACCTGGGCAGTTTAGGTTTACATATGTATCTAGTAGAATTGATCTTTTAATTATCAGCTAATATAAACCCAGAATCAGAATCAGAATCAGAATACCTTTTATCCTACAAAGGAGACAATTCCATTGTTACAGCAAAAGTAAAGAGCTAAAATTAGCTTAATATTAATTTAGAGGCATGCATATAATATAAAAAATAATACAAAAAATTACACATATTACAATTTACAAACACATCCAGTACCAGTAACAATATTTTAAAAAGTGCAACATGTATGAAGTAGTGTGATAGCAGCCAGGCGAAGGTGGAATCATATAATGATCATACATATGATACAGGGAACTCCTGTGTGTGCAGATAGATAGTGTTGTCTGTGTTCCTCAGGAGGATTCTCTGATACCTACGCTGCTCTGTGTGACTTCAACGAGATGCCGTTCAGAGAGGAGATCCAGTGGGTGAGTCACAACTGTTCTTCAGCATGATAGGACACGGACCACACTTTCTAAGGATCTATTTTTGTCCTAATCTACTAGCCAATTGACGATAAGCTAATGTTAGCATTGGTGTGGCTAACTGTTTTGGCAGGATATTGACAACATCTACTACATGAACAACTGGAGAGAGTTCAACCTGCAGGACTTCAGCCACGTAGACAGCAGGTGAGAAACAGCAGAGTGGTTCATACTGTCTGAACTCACCTGTTACACCAGTGGTTCTCAAACTTGTTCTGCCATCCCCACTTTGAACAGGTGGGCCTTTTCAAGCCCCACCTGTTCCTCACCGCTCCAATAAAATGGTAGGCCAAGCTTAAAATTGTCAAATGTATCGTTCTATAACAGGGGTCTCCAACCTTTTTTAGGATGAGAGTATATGCTGACCTTTAACCTTTGTGTGCTGTTTGGGTCTGTGGGACCCTTTTCAGTGTTTACTAAAATAAAATGTATTCAATTTAATTATTTTAACCTGCTTTATTTGGGGGTGGACCTCACCTCCTCTAGGGGGGTCCTCACCTCCTCTAGGGGGGTCCGGGGGCATGCTCCCCCGGGAAGATTTTTTTTTTAAATGTTGAAGTGAAAAGCATCAATCTGGAGCACTTTGAGCACAACTTGAATTTATGGATACAGCTCTCAACACTCAGATGAAAGGGAGCTGTATACTTTTCAATAATCCAAACATCTTTAGAATATGATCTCAACCAATAACAAATAATTTAAACTTGTTTATTCTTATCTTATGTTACCTAGTTAGCATTCTTTCTTTCTATTTATGCATATTTTACTAATCACTCCCCTTTTAAACTGTTTTTTTTTTTTACTGTCCTATAGTACACATTGGAATGATTTCTTACTTTATTTTTTACAACTAGGCTATATTAAATAGATAAAGGTGTGCTCTCTCTAGCTCTCTCTCTCTCTCTGTCTCGCTCGCTCACAGAGGCTGTGTGCTCCTCCGTTGAGATGACGGCTTGCGTTAAAAAAAACAAAAAACATAGGCCTATTTGTAAAGTGGGGGGACACAAACGGGATTTCGAAAAGTGTCACGGTTAAACTCCTTATGAAGTGGTGAGGTGCCGCTCCACATTGCTTTTCTTCCCGACTGCAACGCTGTGTGTGTGTGTGTGTGTGTGTGTGTGTGGTGTGTGTGTGTGTGTGTGTGTGTGTGTGTGTGTGTGTGTGTGTGTGTGTGTGATGTGTGTGTGTGTGTGTGTGTGTGTGTGTGTGTGTGTGTGTGTGTGTGTGTGTGTGTGTGTGTGTGTGTGTGTGTGTGTGTGTGTGTGTGTGAGAGCGTTTCACATGTGTGTATGAGAGATTTTTACATATGTCTGTAAATGATTTTGGTTTCAGTTGTGTGTGTGTGAGCAGGCTCGGATTGGCCATCAGGAGATTCGGGACTTTTCCCGGTGGGCCGCTGCCGTTGGTGGGCTGCTGCCTTCGGTGGGCTACTGGCTCTGGCATAGGTGGGCCGTGGACTTTCACAGCGCCACTGCGCCGGTACCGCATCCGCCGCCGCAAACACCCGCCGTTGCGAGGCTCCGGCGGGTCCGGCGCAGCGGCGCTGTGAAAGTCCACCGCCGTTGCGAGGACCCAGGTTCGATTCCGGCCTGAGGTCCAAAAAATGTATTTAAAAAATAAAAAATAAATAATAATAATAATCTTCTGTTCATCGCGTCCATTCGCGACCCACCTATCACATCTCTGCGCCCCACACTTTGAGAAACGCTGTGTTACACTGTTAACACTCCTCTCCTGTGCCAAACTTATTTGTTTTTTCTAAGTATTTATTTATTTTTATATTCCTGTATTTTACTTGCGTAGGGTGGACTAGCAAAGTAAGATTTTCATTGTGCGGTGTAACTGTCTGTTTACTGTGCATATGACAATAAATATCTTGAATCTTGAATCTTTCATCTCCTCTCCTCCTCTCCTCGCCTCTCCTCTCTTCTCTTCTCCTTTCCTTTACCCTCCTCTCCTCTCCTCAGAGACTTGGCATTAGCAGTAGCAGCTCTGTCTTTCAACCAGTGGTTTACCAAGATCTACAGCAAGGAGCTCAAACTGGTAAATGATCTTAATGTTTGTGTCTGCAAATTCCACAATACCATTTCAGATAAAATGCTTGCAACATTCAGAGAATCTGACTCTCCTTCTTACTAACGTTTTCAAGGGCTAAATCGAGGCAATTCGATGCTGTCTGATCTGACCTGTTAGACCCCATCCCCCCGCCACCGGGGGGAAAAACGCGTCATCTGCAGGAAACAGCGTCTGAGGGCTTCTTAATATTTAATAAACTATGAATGTTTTATATCCATGTAACGGGAAGAAACTCAGCTAACTGGTGATATGAACAATATTTAGCAAAAAAAAACACAAGACTAACGCTGAGCCTCTGAATCTGCCCTGAGCAAAAAAATCGTAATGCCGTTATTACAGAACTCTTGCTATACTGATCGATATACTTATTGGATCTGCACAAACAAGCTTAGATAACATCCTGAGAGTCCACAGATTATAGAAATATAAGGATCATCACTGAGCGATCAGAACTCCTGACAGGGGAAGCAAATACAGACAACACACGACGTAGCTTTAGGTAGCAAAACACGGAGATATGCTCACCTTAGCTGTTATTCTGATCAAAAGTCGTGTTCAATGGAATTAAAACGAGAAAAAACGCGGCTGAAGGTTAATCCATAGGTTAATCTAATGTGTCTGTCACTTTGAAAAAATTATTGATAATCCATAATTCAATTTGGATGCAAAAATCGGAGAATAAAAATTAGCTGCTAATGGTAGCCACCAGAGGTTAGCGCAGCTTCCGGTTTTTCTACACGTCACTCTCACTCCTTATTTGGTAACCTGTGTGTGTATGTGGAACTTTCCCTCGATTCCATTGGCTCTAGCGGTTAAAAAGAGATGTCAATCATCAAAATCGACCAAGGGGGGCCAGAGATATGGAAAATCCACCCAAATGACCCCAGAAGTGGTTTCTTTTTTGCTAAACCTCTCTAAAAAGGTCAAATGTCACTTGTTTTGCATCAATCTTGATACAGGGTACTTATTATATGTTGTACTTTGGATTCCTAAAGCTTTTAGTCTACCTTACCATCATCCAAGGGTAGTTAGTAGTTCACTATAAGTAAAAAAGATTTTTTGGATGGACACTATAATTTACAGTTTTTTACTATGTTCAATCTGAATTTTCTTTAAAATAAAAAACATCTATATTGATTCTGACTTTTCTACATCCAACTCAAAGGTTTATCATTACTTTGAGAAAAAAGATTATTAATTTTCCCCTTTTAGAAGGGAAGATATGGTCATTTGTTCTGGAAATGTCATTTTCGAGCCTGAGACCTGAAAAACAGGGATGGGGTCTAACAGGTTTTAAGTAATACTTTCCAAGACCTGATACACTGTAAGAGACGGGGGTCAAAACCAAGGTCCTTGTCCTGTTTGAAAACATACTTCTAAAGTCAAGCTAAAGCCAAAATGACACTACATAAAATCCATTTGGTTGCTCTACAACATAAATACATCAGTAAATACCCCACTGGTGAACGTCTGATGCTTTGACATGAAAAATAAGTCTAAACATTATCAAGTCGAACATTAGCCGCCTTTAGCTTAGCTGTGTTGACAGGAAGTCATGTGACCATCATGTGTTCTGGAATGTTAGCTATTTACTTTTGGCAATTTCAATTGACAATCAACGATTATAAAAGTGTTGATGTGTGGAGATTGTCCCGTGAACAACATGTGTAACAATCATAAATGCATGCTTGCCTAAGAGATTATTTTCTGCGATATTCAAAATTCCAATGGCTGAAACATGTTGATACCAGACTGTAGAGTTTTGGCCTGCCTCTCTCTCTGTCCCTTCAGTCAGTGGACATCCAGCAGCAGCTAACCTTCCTGCTGTCCAGATCCCCCAGCCTGGAGGAGCTCTCACTGGAGGCCAGCGGACTCAAAATGTGGGTGTGGGTGTGTGTGTGTTGTGTGTGTGGTGTGTGTGTGTGTGTGTGGTGTGTGTGTGTGTGTGTGTGTGTGTGTGTGTGTGTGTGTGTGTGTGTGTGTGTGTGTGTGTGTGTGTGTGTGTGTGTTTTGTTGTAGCACAGTGCAGGACTAGACTGTACCTTTAAGATGTGACTGTGTGGGCCTCTCCACCTGGTACTCTGGTTCATGTACATTGCTAATGAGCTGGGTGAAGGCTAATACGTAGGGGGGGTGGTCATTTGAATAAATGCTCTCAACATGTTACAGTTATTGTTGTGCATGACTACAAACACAATAACTAAAGTCTCGTCTACAGGGATTCATTAAGAAGTAACTTGTTAATGTTCTGCAGGGACTTTGCATTAAAGATGGCCGCTGCCCTGCGGGAGCACCCCTCCTCCACCCTGCAATCCATCAACCTCTCAGGCAACCCCCTGGAGGACAAAGGTGGGCTTTTTAAAGTAAACACTAGTGAGTGGTATAAGCACAGTGTTCAACCCAGTCTCACGGCATTTCGTGTTTAATTTACGAAATTAATTGAATCTATTGATTCGTGTTCACCAACACGATTTTCACATTTTTTTCGTGTCACACAGAACGATTTGAAATGCAATGTATTTCTATTGGTAGTATGTTTCGTGCCTGCAACACGTCTTTTTGTCCGGTCGGGTCTTGGAAGACCAGAAGCTGTGTGGTTCATAAAAACATTGTCTTACTCAATATCTTACCCTAAGCCTAACCCTATCCCTTTTATTTTAAATTGTATAATGTCTGAGTTTTTTTGCCGTCAGTGAGGAAAAGAAATGGGGCTCAGAGCCTCAGAATACTGAAATCTGTATTTTATGTCATCTTTTTTTCCTTCTAATTTGTTATTATTTGGTGCAGGCACGAAACGTACTACCAATATAAATACATTGCTTCTAAAATCGTTCTGTGTCAGAATACTTAAATCTGTATTTTTTTAAATGTCTTTTTCCTTCTAATTTGTTATTATTTACATTGCTTTTAAAATCGTTCTGTGTGACACGAAAAAAATGGCGAAATCGTGTTGGTGAACACGAATCAATAGATTAATTTCGTGACTATAACACGAAATGCCGTGAGACTGTGTTGCAGTGTTAGAATAAAAATAGTGGTACTATACCATGTTCCATCTGCAGCCAGGTGACATTTTACTCTGGGCTTAAAGGTCTCCTATTATGCAAAAAGCACATTTTGATGTCTTTTATACATAAATATGTGTCCCCGGTGTGTAAGGAGACTCACAAAGTGTCCGTACCCAAATCTCTAAAAACGGGGGTACAACGGAGCTGATCCAGATTTGCGTCCGATATGACTTAAAATCAGAAATGTGGGCTGGCTTTACACCCACGGCCCTATCAGAAACGTTGCTGTTAGAAACAATGCCTGACTGTTTTGGATGTAATATGGTCTTTGTTTACATTAGCAAGCATCGCTAACACTCAGAGCTAACCTGTACTGGAGAGAGTATGTGTCAAAAAAGCAGGAAATAAAAAGGTACTCACCTTGTGGTAAACCTGCAAGAGAAAAAGCATTTGAGCTCCATACTGTTTCAGAAATAATCCTTGAAGTGGTTTTGAACATAACATGGCGTTTAATCACGGCAGCATTTAGCTGAGTATCTGGGCATAAGCTTTTTCTTTTTATTATTTTTTTTAATTTAGACCCAGAATCAGCATTTCTATAACAGGGTGAAATAGAGGGGGATGAGGCATGGCTAGAATGGGTGATCTGTTTGGTATTTTGAGCAAAACACTTCATAGACATGTTTTTTGATATATCTGTATACATCTGAGACCTATAATATATGCCTGAAAATAGTATAATAGGAGACCTTTAAGAGAGAGGGCAGTTAAAAGGCAGATGGGTCGGCCTTTTTGGAGAAAAAGCTGCCAGATAGCGTTGGGGACAGCTGATATAATACCAAAGGTTTACAATCAGGGAAACACTGTAACTAATTAAAGTCACACATTATTATTTGAACAACAGCAGTTATATTGATGTGTCGAAGAAGGACAAGCAGAATAACAGTAATGCTGGCTCCAGTTTAGGAAATGTCGCAATAGGGTGGGGCAGTGATGACATGTTTTTGTAGGCTAACCTGGATGTTAGCATCGCCATGGCTCCTTCAAGAAAAAGCCAATTACCAGTGGGGTATTTAGTGAAGTATTTTATGTCGTAGAACAGAAATTGTCAACTCATTTCTGGTTTTAGTGCTTTTTTATGCCATGCCAACTCTTTATGCCATGTAAGTGGGTGAGCACCGCCAGAGCCCTAAAACAGACATCACCATGTTAATAATTCCACCTGTGTATTTCCTGCTTACACAAGTATCTGGTTTGAAAAGTCACATGTTATACAAAACACTTATTCTTATCAGTCATGCTTTTTATATGAAGTTTAGCAATGTAATTATTCTTTTTGGGTACCTTTGTATGTCCAACATGTTTGCCCGCATACTGGACTGCACACACTTTGTGTTTCATTCCCACTGCAGGTGTCATAGCTCTCAGTCAGGAGCTGGGGAGTCTAGCTGGAGGACTCAGACTCCTCTCTCTGTCCCGGGTATCAATGACTGCTAGAGGTACACACACACACACACACACACACACACACACACACACACACACACACACACACACACACACACACACACACACACACACACACACACACACACACACACACACACACACACAATACATTTTAAAACTGTCACACTTGAGTCACTCCTGCATGGGTTTAACTGTTGTCTCCAGGTGCTGGATGTCTGAGTCAGGTGTTGTCCTCCACTCAGCTGTTCTCAGCGTCTCTGACTCACCTCGACCTGTCTGCTAACCCCGACATCATGGGCACCGAGGAGGCCACGGTACTGTGTGTGTGTGTGTGCGTGTGTGTGCGTGTGTGTGTGTGTGTGTGTGTGTGTGTGTGTGTGTGTGTGTGTGTGTGTGTGTGTGTGTGTGTGTGTTTCATATCAGCTAATGTGGATTCAAGACAGCTATTTTTACATACAAACAAGCCAATGTCATACACATAAATGACATATACTGATACATGAAGCTCTCACTAGAAGATTTGGGAGGTCTGCAATTATTATTCACTTTTACAAACAAGCTACAAACCCAACCTACCTGTAAAGTGTGCAGTTGAAAGATAATATCATTTTAATTAGAAAGACAATAAAAGATAGGTAGAATGTTAAAATGGACTGAAAGTTGGTTTATGTGCAGGGCTGGAACTTCTATATATCCCTTTTAACAACAACTTGACTTACTGTGCCGGTACATCTGTAAATCTAAATACAGATCTGCATTATGTGTTGCAGTTCCTCTTCAAGTTCCTGTCCAGTACTAACTCTCTGTCTCATCTGGACCTCAGTGATACCAGCTGCCCTCTGGACACGGTCAGCGAGAGATGCTCAGTGTTGTACCTGCTTCTTTCATGCAACTATTTCTGAGGCCACATATCTACAGGGCCCCGATGTCTGTGCTGTTAACTGTTAATGTAACTGTTGTTATTCATTGATCTTTTGTGTGTGCCAGGTACATAACACTCATTGTAACTTTCTCCTGCAGTTATTTGTTTCGCTGTCTGCTGGATGCTGTTTCAAACTGATGCACCTCAACCTGGCCAGGAATCCTTTCAGCCACAGGTCAGCTCCTCTAGAATCAGGCCCTGAATGTGGTATCCTCTCTGCATTATTGAGACACAGAGAGGTCAACACAACTTCCCTGATAAGACTCATAACAACTATCCTGTAACAGCAACTGACCTGATATGTAAATGAGCCAACTGCTATGATCCACTAAAGCTAAATGTGATGGTTTGGTTTTTTAAAACGTTTATGTGTGTACAGTAGTTGTGTGTATGGGTTTGTCTTTATGCAATTGTGGGGCTCAACATATGTTAGCACAGTCACAGCGCAGGGTCCAAAATCTTAAAGGGGACCAAAAGCCTGGACCCCATAAAACTAACTGTGTGTGTGTGTGTGTTCCCAATAGTCATGATAATGGCAAGGCACAATGGATGGCAACATCCTTTTTCTTACATGGAATGTACACACGTTCATGTCCCCCTCAGAATGAATTATAACTAGCGATCCCATGTCGCACCATGATCAGGTCAGTATTTAACCTTATGACCAAAAAACAGTGTTGAAGGTGCAATCTTTTATTTTAAGAATGAATCAGCTTTCACTGTTGTGTGACTTCTCTTAAAACCTTGGCTACTTTATACAGTATATGCTTGTGTGTGTGGTGTGTGTGTGTGTGTGTGTGTGTGTGGGTGTGTGTGTGTGTGTGGTGTGTGTGTGTGTGTGTGTGTGTGTGTGTGTGTGTGTGTGTGTGTGTGTGTGTGTGTGTGTGTGTGTGTGTGTGTGTGTGTGTGTGTTGTGTGTGTGTGTGTGTAGGAAGGTGCGGGAGGTAACCAGGAGCATTGGGCAGTTCTTCAGTCAGAGCTGTGAGTTAAAATATGTCGGCCTGTCTGCAACCAAACTACCTCCACAAGCTCTCAGGTGTGTTTACTCCCAGCTCATGCAATGACATCATAACATGTCATGTGTTTAACATGGAAGTTGATACCATCAATTGTATTTGTCAACATAATAATATTAACTTGAAGTGCACTAACATGCTGGGACGTGTATGAGTCATTGGAACGTGGCAGTGATCTTAACTGTAAACCGATTTCCTCTTTTGCAAATGACCTGATATATGCATCTGAACAATTGTTTCACTATTTCAGATGTATCCCTGTCTGTACTTGCATGTTCTTCTTCTGATTCAAAATGTGTTAATCTTTCCCTACTGTTGCCCCCCCCATCCTCCAAATCATCCCCACACTATTCCTATCGGAAGAGTTATGTTATCCCTATTTCAGTAGAACAACGCCCCCAATTTTCTCCCTTTGCATGTCTATTCTTCTCTAAACTCCTTTGTCTCTTGTAGCGAGAGCATCATAATAATGTTTTTCTGTCTTTTACTGTCTTACTACACACTTCTCTCGACCATCGAACACAACTTTTCTGAGTTTTCCATACATTTACTCTGATGCTGCCTCAAGGATTCTTGCAAGATTTGTATTTAAGATGCCGTTCTGAAGACCCTCCTTCCCCCTTTCTGAAACACTACTTCCTTTAAGATAGCTTCTACCACTTCATCATTTACATCATGCTCCCTACCCCAAAGGGAAGTAAAGACACACAGTATATGTGCTGTAAATATGCTGACCTTGAACTTCCAGAAATGTGTGCACCTCTAGTCTTCTGCATAGATTATAATAATTAATGTTTGTATTACCATCCCCCTCCATGACACCATTGTTGCACATAGTTTATTTGTAATAACTGCAGCACTGTTCCCTTCTCCCTGTCTTGCGGTTTATGAGCCTCTTCATATTTCTCATACTTATAGTTTCCTAAAAATGTTCATTCTTAAAATATACCTGTCTACAAACACTTATATACTTTATTATGTTGTTTGTTTTGCAACTAGGTTATTACTACAGGGTCTGGCCACCAACATTCTTCTATTAGGTTTAGAGTTGGACATCAGCAGCTGTGAGGTACACACAGACACACAACACCAAAAAAACACATTTGTCATTTGTAATGAGGAGAAGCTACAGTAAACAAATTGTGTGTGTAGCTTCGTTCAGCAGGTGCTCAAGTGATACAGGAGCACATCTCTGAAGTTACAGCTATCACAAGTCTGGATATCTCTGACAATGGTTTGTAAACCCCCCCACGCACACACTTTCTAACTCAGGACATGATCCTGCTACCATACACGCTTCAACACTGTGTTACATGGGTGTAGTTTGCTGTCCATGTTTTTACTCAGGACTAACAATCTACAGTATAGGTGGGAGATAACCTCCGACTCTCACTTCCATGATAATGTCCCCCCCTTGCTTACAGGTTTTGAGAGTGACATGGTGACTCTGGTTCTGTCTGTGGGTCGATGTCTCTCTCTCCGGCACCTCGCACTGGGAAGAAACTTTGCCATGAAGTCCAGGTGAGAGGAACATAATAACATCTGCTCATAATATTGAAATATATATTCCTGCTGAAGACAGCTGAAGTTAGGGTGGCCTAAAGAAACACTTGTCAAAGTTCAAACTTAACGAATAACTAGCTCCATGTGTAACATTAGCTGGGTATATTCAATAAGCGGCTTCTGTTATTACTTAATTCTTTTATTCATTTGTTTATTCGACTGGGACAGTGCACATTTCTACTGTTGCTGTTAAAGCGCCACCGTTTGCTAAGGGGCTATTTTTCCTCCTGTTATTCCAGCTCGTACATTTTCTCATAGAGTTTGGAGGTATTGGACAGTGATAAGAATGTATCGATTTCTTATCAAGAATTTTGAATTCCCGTTAATAAAAGGTCTATAGTGGTGTACAAGTAGGGTTACTGGCCTGTGAGCACGTTGTTAAACAGTAAGTGATAGTGAGAAATGACAATTGAGTGCATGTACATAATAGCTTCTGTTGACATGTAATCTCTAGTAACACCTGAGCCTTAAAGATGAGGGTAGAATCAAGTATAACTCCATGGTACCTGTATTCTGGTACAACCTTTAGCCTTTTTGTCTGAATCAATTTCATCCGGTTCAACACCAGAACTATTGTTTCAGTGAAAAAGATGCATACTGTTTTGGAAACAGCATTGCTTCAAAGCAAGCTGTTACATGAACCATGGTGTTTGTAAGTATATAAGCAAACTACCTCCATGTGCTTATAGTGCAGTGTCAACAACATACATTTAGATGTTTGTGTCAGGACATATACTGTAGATGGTAAATCATTGCTATACAATTAAAATAGCATCGATCCCAGGATCGAGCCTTGTGGGACACCTGTGAACCAATGCCATGTACCCTCTCTTTACCAGACCTCTCACTGATGTTCTTCATCGTATAGCTCAACTCATTCAGGATGAAGAGTGTGTGAGTCACATCCCTTTTCATTTCATTCACTTTCAGTCATTAACATCACGGCCACCCATAAACAAAGCAAAACAGGCCCGATTTCAGTTATTCTTTAAGTACGTTTAAAGTTCCTTATGTTATGTGTGTGTTTAGCCCCTGCAGTCTCTCTCAGTGAGGGACTCTAAGCTGAAGGCAGGGATGCACATCCTGCTGAGCGCCCTGGGGGGGCACGCTGCTCTGACTGAGGTGGACATCAGTGGAAACAACATTGGAGACACTGGAGCCAAAATGCTGGCCAAAGCCCTGTTGACAAACACCACACTCAGGTACACCTTCACACACTGGCCAACAATTATAACGGACACAAATATCTCATCTAATTTGTAAATAAGATGAAATATGTGGGAATGACTAATAATAGCCTCGTGGTTTAATAAACAGAGGGAGTTTCATGGTTGCATCTGTTTCTGGAACATATTTCTCTTTATGTTTCCTTTCCTTTTGTGAATCTACTTTTTGCCACCAGATGTCATCATTTCATTATTTGAAACATGCAGCACTTGATTTGCTCCAAGAGTGATTTACTTCCCTCTCCCTCTTTCTCTTTCTCTTCTTCTCTTCTTCTCTTCTTCTCTTCTTCTCTTCTTCTCTTCTTTACAGGACTCTATCATGGGACAGGAATAATGTTACTGCAAGAGGTTTCCAGGATGTTGCTGATGCCTTGGAGAGGTCATACACACACACACACACACACACACACACACACACACACACACACACACACACACACACACACACACACACCACACACACAACACACCAAACACACACACACACACACAACACACACACACACACACAACACGACACACACACACACACACCACACACACACACACACGACACACACACACACACACACACACACACACACACACACACACACACCCACACACACACCACACACACACACACACACACACACACACACCCACACACACACACACACACACACACACAACACACAAACAACACACACACACACACACACACACAACACACACACACACACACACACAACACACACACACACACACACACACACACACACACACACACACACACACACACCCACACACACACACACACCACACACACACACACACACACACACACACACAACACACACACACACACCAGTGAAAGCTGATTCATTCTTAAAATAAAAGATTGCACCTTCAACACTGTCTTTT